AAATTGACCATCGAGCCATGCCAGAGGTACATAAAAAATAATATTTTAAAAATGAACTGTATTTTGAAGCGAATGTAAAGAAAAAAAATGGATGAAGATTGATCCTGTATGATGATAGTTTTGAAGATCAATTTGGACGAAAATATGAGTTTTTTGGGTTGGTGGTTTGTCCAGCTTAGGTTAAATTACTGATTTGTGGTCAATTTGTGAACTTTTTGAATATTTTGGATCAATTTTTGAACAATTTTTGATAAGTTTTTGAACTTTTCGGTCAATTCTTGAACTTTAATTCAGTTTTTGAACTTCTTGATATACTTATTTTTGATCAAGTTTTGAATGGTTTCTTTATAAACTAAACTTAATGCGCCATATCCACAACAAAAACATCTAACAACTTACTTTCCTCAACGAGTTTTCAGATATATTTTATTTCACTTTATTTATTCAAACAAAAAAAAAAGAAAGAAAAAAAGCGAAAAAACATCAGAGAGTGAAAAAAATCAGGGAGGATCGGCAGCTTTTATTTCATTTTATTGTATACTTATTATTTGTTAATTTTCATATTGGTATGGTAGACATTAAACGTGATGAATTGGTTAACAAATTGTTTAATTGTGATATATCCATATGATTTTTTTGTTCATCTGAATCACTCGGCATGAGATCACTAAAAAAAAGAGTAAATAAAGCCGAATCGTTGATTTAATCGCATCATGGTTTCATTCATATGCTTTGAATACAATATTTAATATCGCAATATGTAATCATAAACTATATTATTTTTCATTTTTATTTTTATTGTTTCTCATCATCATCAGTTTATGGTCTCTTAACCCTTTATGCAATTCTCCTTCTCATCATTCTGCTGGTTTTTTTGTTGTCATTTGATCAAATCAGAAAAATGCTGTTGTTTGTCATCGCCATTGTAAAATTTGATATTAGTTTTAGAGTTATTAAAGGTATGGATGAATTGAGTGATTCTTTTTATGAATTTGACAAAACATTTATGATAATTTAACGGATTTTGCAAAAAAAATCATAAAAATCACCACAAATGATGCTTTTTACGGAACCCGATTAATATAAAGATTATTGAATATTTAAAAAGTCCAATATTCTTGATTATTCGACAGCATTTTCATATCCTTGGATACACTCAATTCAATTCATCTCAATTCAATAACATTAATTTTGTGTTATTAGATCAATTTCATATTTCCATTCAACTCATTGTTTCATAATGATTCTTTCCTTTATTTGAGTCTCTATTGCTGTTAAGATCTCTTCATTCATCCAATTTTTATTATATTTCAATTTCTTTCTTGCCGTTTTATTTTCCAGTGCTGTTTCAATTGTTTTCCTTATGAATTAACAAGAAACGTTTTTCAAGATTTCCTTGAAGTTCTTCAGGCCTCATGCTTCCAATTGAATACAATTTTTAATAAAAGATCTTCAAAAAAAAATAATAAACTTTTTTCTTCTTCGTTTTCCTATTTCACTATTCATTATTTCCATATCCAAAATGAAATATTTAGACACTAGCGAGATAAAATAAATTTCGAAAGTCATTGTTTAATTTTCAATTGTCTTCTTTGATGCGTAATTCAGTAGTATAAGGCTTATATTTCAATAAATTTATTTCAGTACTAAGAGTAAGAAGAAGAAATGATGAAAAACAACTAGAAGATGAGATATATGAAGAAATCTTAATAATCTACGTGACAAGATGGTTGGACACAGTTTATTTATGTATATACAACTGGTCTTCTTTCGCTATTGCTATGAAATGAATATTTAAACAACTTAATAAGGTATATTATGCAAATGACTAACGCTTATTTTTAGATACAATAACGCTTAGCTTTATTTTTTGATGTCAAGTAATATTAAATTGATTTAAAATGAGTTTTTCATTTGATTTGCATATGTGCTTGGTTGTGGATGGTAAACTAGCAATAAAGTTACACGACTTCTATCCTGGATTGGAATTTTAAGTAAAATAAAGACCTTTGACGTTGTTATTAATTGTAAGTTACACAAAATCTAAATTATAGATTTCATAGACTCTAAAATTATGTTATTTCATATAAAGAAAAAGTCAAGAAGGTTTCCTACTAAGTTTGAGATCATTTAGTCATTTTGTGTTCATTTTATAGCTGAAATCAGTTTTTCTTAGCAAAATTTGACATTTCTTATCTCATTAAATCTCAATGTTTATAATTTTGAGTAACGGAACAATAAAACTAATATTATTGGTTAAGAGTAGCTTTGGTAATGAGAAACAAAAAAGTTTTTAGGTATCTTCCAATTTAATAAGTCTTCCAATTTAAATAGGTTTAACAAGTGAATTAAAAAAGCCTTAAGATTAAAGAACCAATTTCAGACCTGATTAAGAACCACATAAATCTCAATAAAACCATGCCAGCAACATGAATCAACAACTGCCTTTCCAATTTTTTTTCATTATTTGCAAAGGGACTTTATGGTTAATTAGCGTTACAATATCAACATTGTCATCCGCAAAAAAAAATCAAAGAATCCGAAAACAGTTTAATGATGCAATCAATGAAGCACATAATATTAAAGTTTACTCCTTTATATTCGTCCTTGTAGAACACCACTTCTGCTAGTGACAAGCAACAACGACAAATTTTTATTTCTGCCACGTTTATCTGTTGATCTATTGTGTGTGAAATTAAAATTTTTCACAAAATAAAGGCTTTATTCATGAGGATGGAAGGTTTAATGGGTCAATAATGTTATCACAGGCACACAATCTATGAATCTATGTGAATGAAAATAAATCATCTGTGTCTGATTAAATGTTGAGGGTGAAATACGCTTTAAATTTTAATCCTCTGTATTCAGGAATGAAAAGTACATTACGAATAAAGTAGGGGATGTGGATTTGAATGCTATTTGTTTCTGGTTTCTTTTATAGAAGTAATTTTTACTTTTTGAAGAAATTTATCTCCAAGGGTCGATTGGCTGTTATTTGTCTGTCTGTCAGCTCTTTAAACCGAATAATTTGGCATTTTTTGATCAATTTTTACGTCAATGTTGAATTAAATTTTGAAAAAGCGCTTCAGTAAGTTGCATATGTCCATACTTGTCCATAATTTTTTCATAATTGATTTATGCCGTTTTTCCGTTCCTCTCAATTGAAACTCAAAAGTTGTATGATTTTCCATTGCAAAAAATATCCCTCTAGAAAATGTTTTTCCATTGAATGTGCGGCTATTTGATGCTGACCGCACTTGAACGGCTTTTTAACATGAAGTAAAAAATAAAAAGTTTATGCCTTTCAATGAATTCAATTAATTAATTTCATTTCAAGCATCTAATTAGTCTTTACATTTCGCTAATTGCTTATTATGGTTGCCAATGATTCATAAAATGTTGAAAAATTATTATTGCGATTTCATGAAAAGAGTCTATCCATTTAAATGTAAAATTTTTAATCTTCGACACGCGCAAGAAATTATGAAATTGAAATTCTTTAAATTGTTTGTCATTTGTGGTTGCAACATGCACATAATGTTGAGATTAATGTCACAGAAAAACATTTTTCATTTCTATTAAATTTTAAAATTCTATTAACGGAATCGACTTGTGTGCATCATGGCAGGTCCTCGATGAAATTGAGAAAAGTTAATTAAATTGTAAAGAAGGAAATGGAAATAATCCAAATTAAATTAAATTCCTTTTTATTGCGACCGGAAAATTGTTATTGAAAATTTTTATTCACAATTGATATAAAAGTGTTGAGAAATGTCATCCACAGATATTCGGAGCTGTGAATGTGTTGAGGGTTGAATTTTATTAACATTTTTATTTGTGCTCAAATTTGTGTATCAATAACAACATTTCTAAGCATTGACTGGATGGGGATGAAACTTTTGTAAATCTCGTTAGACATAGCCAGAGTGCGGGAGGAGATTCTTGAGGTTTCAGTCATGTATGAAGCATAAAGATATTCAAAAATATTTCCAAACTTCTTTTTTCAAGTTCCATAAACGAGCAAAAAATTGAAAGTTTCTTTTCAATTGAATTCAAATCGGATATAATGGGCCGTCCACTTGAACATGATTGAATACATAATAAAAAATGGTTCATAACTGATATTTTAACCCAAGCATTTACTTCTCATTCAATTCACATTCATGGCTACATAAAAGGCAATTGTATTCCTACTGTTCGTTAATATCAAGCTAGGGATTTTTCCATTTTAATTGATCGACAACAACTTCAATATTTTGAACAGCATAAAAAATATAGTCTAAAGAGTCGACCTCTGGCTGTGAACAATGAATGAGTTCAACTTTAATGAATTTTTCTGGTTCAATATCGATTTTCCAACATACGCAAAAATAAAGGAAAATGGTGTCAAAATGTTGAATATTTCTGAGTTATATCCACAAAATGCTCTTATCAAATGCTGGAAATATTTCAAATTTTCTGTGACTGTGACTAGAAAAAAATTTATTTATATTTGTTGCTACATTGAAGTCTGAAAACATTGAGTCAAAACATTCAGTAAAACATCGAAGAAAAGGATGGAAAATTAGTAAGCATGAGCAGGACGAAAAATGAATGCTCGAATGTTTCAGAAAGCTAAAAAAATTAGAAAAATGAAATTTTTAACATTTAACAGTCATTTAAGTTATTTTCTAGATGATGCGGTAATATGAAGAGAAGTAAACTTTTTTGTACAGCAGATCAACATATCAGCATTGTAAGCATTGAATAATAACATCAACAATAATAATAATCAATTGATGTTTCACTGTTTCACTATTTTCTGAGCCATATTGCTTTTTGGTTGGTTGGATTTTATTTTATATTGTTTAACAATTCTCTTATACACTTTTTGTATACATCTTCATGATGGTTTTTTTTCTGGGTTGGATATTGTTGAAATCAAAAATATCAATTTTGTACAATTTCATATTTTTTCGGATTCAGTATTCTTCTGGTACTCGTTGATGATGGTCGTGAAGATTTTTTGTTGCTCAGGATAGTAACAAGTTCAGTTTAGTTTTTTTTTGACAATTAAAGGATATCAGTGAATTTATTGCAAGTTAATAAATAAACAAATTAAAAAAGATAATAAGTTGCAAATTGTGATAAAAAGACTTTTGTGAACTTTTTAAAAGGAGTAAAAAAAAATAATAAAATTTATTAAAATAAATGAAAGAGAAGGAAATGAGTTTACCGAATAGTGTTGATATGACAAATTTAATGTCCCAGCATCAGAATCCTTTGCTAGGAATACCGCCAGCTTTTTTCTTAAGGGCTGCATCTGAAAGATATCAGCGAACGCCCAAGTGTGCGAGATGTCGGAATCATGGAGTTGTTAGTGTTACATTTTATTAATTTTTTTAAGAATTGAACAAGATTTTAATGAAAACTTTAAGTGTATTTTTGAAGTATTTTTGATAAATTTTGAGACGCATTTTTCCGATTTAAGCTTTTTTCAATCAAAATGAATTGAAAATTGAATTGAACAACTATTTAATGAAATTCCATAAAGTTTTAAAGATTTTAAAGATAAATTAAGTTAAGAATTTTCTTCCAATTAAGATCTTTTCATAAATTCTTGTGAACTTTGAATTGACTTCTTATCCAATTAGTAAAGTTTGAAAGTTTAAGAATCATTTGTTAAAACCTGTATAACTTTTAAACTTAGTCCTTTTAAATTCAGAACCATTAAATTTCAATCTTGATGTTTAATTCTTCAAAATCAATTTAAACATTTTTAAAACTCCTCAAAATTAAAATAAACTTCTTAAACTCATTAAAGGTTAGTGCATTAAAAGGACACAAACGTTATTGTCGATGGAGGGACTGTCTTTGTGCAAAATGCACACTAATCGCAGAACGTCAAAGAGTCATGGCTGCTCAAGTATGAAATTTAATTTTAAAACTTCAAAAACAAATTTTAATTAAATTATTAAAAATCAAATTAAGGTTGCATTAAGAAGACAGCAAGCACAGGAAGAGAATGAAGCTAGAGAATTAGGAATATTATATCCAACGCCAATGGGAATAATGAATGGACAATCGGAGTCTCAAAATTCAAATTTTCGATCAACAATCCCGTCGCCTCCAAACGATTCTATGGACCATACTAGTAGCAAAAATTATACGGAGAGTGAGTCAGGTAAGACATTTAAAATATAAATTCAAACAATTTAAAATAATTTCTTACAACTTTTAAATAGACGTAGAAATTCAAAAGACTCGAAAAGCTGACAAAATTACACCCGCATACTCACCAGATCAAAGTGAACCCGAGAGTCCTGGTAAGTAAACACAATTTTTTTAACTGATTCGCAAGAAAAAGGGGAAAAAATCAGAAGTTCAAGTATTTTTCTTATTTAAATACAGAAAAAAACAATACTCTCAGGAATAGGATTGTTTTCATGAACAAGGGTTGTGCAGCGTTTAAAGAACAAATGCAAAAACCGTCTATTGTTTGTCTTTTTAATTTTCCTCGTTAAGATGATTTTTTTTCAAGTGGTGACACGCACAATTTGCACAAAATTTTCCCTCGCTTTTGCTGTTTGTTCTTGAATACATTGGAAGTGCAATTAAATACTGTAAAATGTGACGCAAAAAGGCAGTGAAATATTTAAAAAGCATGCGACAAAAGAAAATGTTTAAAATGTGAGAAAGCGAAATTTAAGGAAGATTAAGCTACTTACTGCCTCTATAGTGTATCAGATCATTACACAATAACATGTTGTTCCTCAAACATTGGCTTAAGTTGTTTATCTTTCGATTCTCATCTCTCTTTTTGCACTTTTCGTACCTTTTGTTTCCTCATCCTTGAAAATTGAATTAAATGTTTCATTTTCTGTTCATTGTTGCAACAGTTTAGTCGAATTTCAAGTGGATTTTTTTCTATTTTTCTGTTTATTTTGTATTTTATGAGAAATCTGAGAATCTCTTAAGGCAAAATTGTCGAAGGAACTTATTTTGTTCAAGAAAAAATCATTTTCTCAGAAAAATTAGATGGCATCTATTGTATCAATATCAGATGTGTGTCTAAATTAAGGTCATATGTTGCTAAATTGGCTATAATGTCTCAAATATTAACAATTTCTTGAGAAAAATTCTCAATTCTGTGAAAAGTTTATTTCAAATTTCAGTTTTAAGTTTATTGGACATAAAATAATTAAATTGATTCTATTTGATCGATTAGAAAGATTTATTATTAAGAAGAATAGTCCTTAATGTCTAATAATTAAGTTAAAGTTCATTCTGATTGTTTCTAAATCATGTTGATTTAGCAAACAAAAATTATAACAGTTGAATAAAAAGATGCGGGAATTTGAAATCAAAATGTCCGTTAAAATCTATTTTAAAATGTTTAAATACAAAAGGGTTACAAATGAGAACATCAATAATATTTCATGTCAATTTTAATTAAAATCCACTTGAAACAGTAACCGAATCAACCGCATTTTCAAACCAACGCAAAATACTTGTTGATGGCTTGTGAAGTACTTTAGATAATTAATTATCTTTCCACTCGAGCACACTTCAACTTTCACAAGAATTAATGAAGAAACATTTATGCGAAATTAGCACTCGAAAGAGTAGATTGTAATTTTTAATATATATGCTCAAGTACTATCGTGCATACATTGTGGGTTAATATGTTTCTATTATATAAAATTACTAATATCACTGTACACTTATAATATGTTTCAATTGTTGTTCATGAATGAGGAAAAAAAAAATTTGTTATTTGATTCCCTGTTTCTAACATACGGCATTTACAAAAGAGATTAGTTTGTTATTTGTATCTTTCCTTCCCTAAAATTATTTCAACTCACGAGTACTTTTTTGAGTGTTTTTTATACAAAATATATCAAAACTTTTTAATTCAAAAATAATTAAATGATATTCAACCCCCATTGTGAAATGAAAATAAAAAATTATCTACATTCACACATAAAGAGCATAAAAATGTATAAATAATGTGCAGAACAAAGGCATGAATGGAAAGGGAGGATACTTTCATGGATTCATAGTCATTATTAATTTATAAAAAATATATATATAATATCAAAATTGTGAATATTTATGGATACAATTGCTGCCTATTCCAGAGCTAAAAAGAAAGTTTTATGTGCAAAAAATTATGGGCGGAATTGAAAGAAAGAAAAAATTTGTGCTTGACAATTTTAACGATTTTACTTTAATTTATTTATTTTCTAAAACAGTTGGAAGCAAGCGAGCACGTCTTTCGGCTGAAACAGACCATGATACAGGCTCCGAATCACCGAGTAGTCCAAAAAATAAATCATTTTCACTTCCATTATCAGTATCGCCTCCACATAATCATTCACCAAGCTCTCCAGAAAGTGATTTAGATGTTGATTCAGCGCCCGATGAAGTTGCACCTGAAAATTTGAGTTTGAAAAAGAAAGAAAGATCAAAATCGCCAGTTACTAATAATAACTTACATAACAATCTTGGATTTTTGCCATATCAACAGTCATTCCATCAGCCAAATGTTTCAACATCGCCAAATCAGCGGTCACCAGTTGATGTACTTTCAAGGTTTGTTTGATGAATTCTTTGAGTATTGTAGCATTGGTTTTAGTGTCTGGTAGGGAGCTTAGAGCCTTAAAAGTGACACTTAAGGTAGCCTCAGCCAAAAGCTGATCTCGAGTCAAGAATATATCCTAGAAACTGGACTTTGCATTCCGCTGTCCAGTTCACTGACCTGTTTGTTACATTACTCAATTATTTATAGCATTTAGAACCAATTCTCAATATATTTTAATACAATAGGGTATTTCCAAATAGAAGACGAAATGAAATCGAACAACTTCTATCAAGATACCGAGGTGATGTTGTCCAAGCGATGGAAGCAATGCTATGTGGTGATGACACACTATCTCAATTAAGGTAAGTCCGAATACACATTCTTCAATCTCAAAGCATCTTAATGAATTTAATTAACTCAACAGCTCTGCTACATCTGCATTTAAATCAGCATTTTCACCGTTAATACCTCCAGCATTTACTGCCAATCGCTATCCATTCTTACAGCATCAAGCAAAGAGATTTCTATCAGCACCATACACGGGCACGGGTTATTTGTCATCTGTTCTTGAAGCAGAGCAAAATGATGTCAATGGGAATTCAAATGCACCAGATGCTCAAGATTAATAAACAGCATTTGTGCAGAACAAAGAATTGACGCTTAGTTAGGTCAAGGAGTGAAACTTTTTATCGTCTAAGATTTTTCTTCGTTTCCATAAGTCTTTAAAAAAAATGATACAAAAGATATTTACGTTGTATACGATTATTGTGGTCTTTAAATAAAATAATTAAAAAAAAACCTTTAAACTGTAAAAATGCTATACGAGAATAAGATTGCATAAGGAAAGAATATAGAGATAATAAATAGTAATAAATATGGATATAAATACTCTACAAAACCAGATTTATTAATTCCCTTTTCATGATATTGTTGTTGTTCTTGCAGACATTTATTGACACTAAGTAACACATAATTTGTTATATTATCCTTCCCATCATCAACATTCATTGCGCACAAATGGCGCTTCATTTGAAATTTAATGCCATTGTAGATCTTGTTACACAACTATAATGTGCTACAAGCTAATAGGAGGACTGTAAGTAGGATATGAAAGGAGGTTATAGAGAGATATACATTTTGAGTGCTGGATTTATAAGTGAGGCTGGTGTGATGTTTTCAGTTTGTCTTCTAAAATAGGTATAGATTCGTGTTGACATTAAAATAAGGCAAAATACTAATTGACTGAGAACTCATTAAGTTGCATCCCAAGCACTTAGAACTAAGGTTACTCAATACGTGTCCATCAAGTAGAACGGTGACCTAATGAGTTGAGTGATGTACTATATATGGGTTTTTTGTGCTATTTTGTGAAAGCAGAAAAACAACCTCTTTGAATTTTGTGAAGATTCCAGGTCCGAGATATGAGCATTTGAAAACGGAACTAGGTCCGATTTTTCACATTCTTACTTTTTCAACTTTATCTCAAGCAAGACTAAACGAAAATTGTTGAAACTTTGCCTGTTTTATGTGCAATTGACCCTTAATCAAATAAACTTAACAAAAATATTTTAGGTTCCATAGTTGTAAAGATATGGCGATTCTAAAATGCAACCTAGTGCTAAATTAGCTATTTTTTTATATTTTTTACTGTAAATCTGGTAAATCTTGATAAAGAGTGATCAAACTTGGCCAGTAATTTGTGCAAGTGTTCCTCAATCAAATAAATTTAACAAAAAAATTTTATGTCATATATTTTATGAACACTCTTTATCAAAATTTACCGGATTTACAGTTGAAAATGTAAGAACGATAAGCTAGTTTTGCACTAGGCTGGAACGCAAAATGGCTATATCTTTACAACTATATGACATAAAATTTTTTTGTTAAATTTATTTGATTGAGGAACACTTGCACAAATTACTGGCCAAGTTTGATCACTCTTTATCAAGATTTACCAGATTTACAGTAAAAAATATAAAAAAATAGCTAATTTAGCACTAAGTTGCATTTTAGAATCGCCATATCTTTACAACTATGGAACCTAAAATATTTTTGTTAAGTTTATTTGATTAAGGGTCAATTGCACATAAAACAGGCAAAGTTTCAACAATTTTCGTTTAGTCTTGCTTGAGATAAAGTTGAAAAAGTAAGAATGTGAAAAATCGGACCTAGTTCCGTTTTCAAATGCTCATATCTCGGACCTGGAATCTTCACAAAATTCAAAGAGGTTGTTTTTCTGCTTTCACAAAATAGCACAAAAAACCCATATATAGTACATCACTCAACTCGTTAGGTCACCGTTCTACTTGATGGACACACTCAATACTAATGTGGCGATCGTATTCTTTCTGCTATTCGTACCTACTCAGTATGGTAAAATAAAATGCGCTCTAATTTGATTAACATTAAAACTCTCCAAGCTTGCCAGAAAATATACAATGAATTTATTAAAAAATTACGATGTTGATATCTGACAATTATGTATGTAATAATAACAATAAATTACTTCATGTTTCAGTTATATTCATTGCCTATTCTCACTCAGTCTATCGTTCAAACAAAAAAAAAAAGAAGAATAGAGCAGCTGGTTCACAACATTTTAAAGTGTGTATATTAAAATTATAACATAAATTCAAGATGGTTGAAATTTGTTATTCATGGCAATAGCATTCGTGTAAGATCCGGAAAATTTATAATTCACTGACAAAAGAGGAAACAATCTTTTTAAACATGCTAGAATTTTAATTGTTTTCCTATCGCCTATCGTCCTATTGCAATTTAATGCACCAATAACATAAATCATGTCCTAAATTGTTATCGCACATATTTTTATCTTTTATGGAGAGGAAAGGAGAGGTGTAATAAGGTTTTTAGGGGTTCAGAATAGAAGTTGACCTTCACGGATGTGAACACAAATTACCAAGGTTCCGAAAGTCAGGAAGTGAGCAAAAACAAAGTTTGAGGTTTTGTAACCTATTCAGCTTGATTAAGTTTCTTATAACTCACCCACTCCCTCCTCACTACACCACTTTAATCCCACAAACTTAATGGCAATTCTTAAGACTATTTTATTGCCCATTAAGCTTGTCCATAAAACAATTTTTGCAAGTATTTATTAACTCAATTTTTTGTATGTTTGGTCATTGGCAATTCATGTTAAATTACCGCACGTGATAATATTTTTGCATTTATTGAATGCAATAAATTTGTGTCTACTCCATGCCCATTTATTTGTCCTCAATTCATATTTGATTAATATTTCTTACGGACTCCTTTTTTTGCTATCCTTACAAACCCACTCGAAAATCGAGAAACTGCAATTTTATGATCTGTTTTCAATATGTTTATTATGAAAATTACTCTTTATTGCCATAGGAAGGGTTTATGCTATTTGTAAAGAAATACCAAATGGCAAAAAAGGGGTTCCTTAATAAAAAGGATAATGTCGATTTAATTTGATATAAATTGCACATCATCAATAAATTCTCTACTTTTTTGTAAGTTTGCGGAAAAAGGATCGAATTTGTCCTGAAAACTTAAGGATACTATTGAATATTTTGAAAGCATAAATCATCACAGATACACAATACGCTCTAAACAATCTGTGATCTGTAAATGAAAGAGACATACCTGCATTCAGTATCGACGGATTTTTTTTTGTGTGTAGCAGTTTTTGAGTTGAGTTTGGGTTTGAAATTTTGGTTTTGTCTCAATAAACTGAAAGGTAAATAATTGGACTTGGTTATTGACATTGGATATGTACTCATACATTGGATATATACTCATAGATCCCAAATGCGCTACAGTAACTCATTACTGTCACCATCCATACCAATTTCTAGTTTTCGAAAGTTTGATTGACTTAGAAAGAGTTGGATATGGAATAATTGAGTATATTCGCATGCTTTTGAACGTAAGCCAGACATCACCATGACAATTTTCAATTTTAAAATTACTGAATGGAAACAAAAGAATCAGCACGCCACTAACATTCAAAATAATAGCAAAAAAACCTTCCATCATACCGTACGACGGTACATACATAAATCCCATTGTATGCATAAATTTTCCAAATGGGAATTAACTTTTGCATGTGAAGTTTTCCATTGTTTCTAAATTGTTTTTAATAAGAAGTGTATAGGATGTGGAATTTAACACCATGGCGACAACTAGGAAACAATTAAATTTTTGCATAATTGAGCATAATACATGACATCTATTCAGTTATATTCATCCACTCAATGTGAATTCAACTCAATATAAAAATTACAACAATATCCAAAATACCTTTATACCTTGCTATTCTATATGAAGCCATAAACAAGAAAATTTTACATGGAAAAGTTTCAACAAGGAACAAATTTTAAATTTTGTGTGATTAAAAAATAACCTTAAGCAATTACAGATGAGGATTGAGTGCAATACAATAGAGAAGGGATCAACGAGGAGATATAAATTTTTATATAAATATTCCCACAACATTTTATTTCGATTTTTTTGTAAGAGTTATTATCTGTATGATTTTTGAGAGATTGAATTTTTACGGTAAACTGGTTTAATTTGATGATTTTAATGAATGACTACTGTAAAGTAGCAATGAAGTATGTCTAATAATTAAGTTAAAGTTTATTTTGTCGATGTTTTCTGTTGAAAATTCGGACTGAAATTCAGATCAAAACAAAAAGGGTGTGCAACTATGTAAAATCAAAAAAACTTTAGCTGTTAATAATTAAATTTATTATTCAACAAAATTGAGATAAAACTCACAGCGTCTCCATGAAAAAGATTACATTTCCTCTGTCTTACAGCGATAAGAGACGAAGGAAAAAAGAGAAAATGTTGCAAGCTACTCGGAAACATTAACGTTAATGTTTCAAACTTGGAACTCCGCCTTCTCATTGAATGTTGCAATTTTCGATTGGTTCATTCAATTTTATTTTTGTTAATTTTCTTTTTTACTGTTTCAATCCTTCCCTTCTGAAATCTTCTTATTCGCTGTTTAATGCAGTTTAATGTAGGATGTTGGTTATACTAATGAGATTCATAATTGATATTATGTTGCATCGTCACTAGTTTTTGAAGCTACAATATTATCCAGAGCATCCATTTAAAAGATATTGAATTTATACCAGGAAAAAAATCTATTCATTATAATTGCTATTGTCCTTTTATTCTACGCAACAGAAAGAATGGAGTTGAATAAAAAACCATTTTTAGTAGATTGTTAATGACTATTCAATTTGCTTGTGACACTCGCATGCCATTGTACAGATGGAGTAAAATAAAAATATGCGCAATATTGAGGGTGCGATTGAATGACATCTTTTTTTCATTTTGAAACATGCAACTCGACATTTAATTGATATTTGTATGAATTAAACAATAAAATGAAGTAAATTATGCTTTTTGGAACAATTGAGCGGATGTCTCAAAATTTTATAGTTTTGATGAAAAGGAAAACAAAAGTAGAATAATATTAAATTACATATCCATTTATCAAAATGATTTGTTCGTTTCTATTGTAATTCTTTTAATTATATTACCACAATTTATAAACGATTATTAAATGTTAAAAATATAAGTTTCTGAAACATTCAAATAGGATACTGTCTATCCTGCTCATGCTTACTGATTTTCCATCCTTTTCTTAGATGTTTTACTGAATGTGTTGACTCAATGTTTTCAGACTTCAATGTAGCAACAAATAGAAATAAATTTTTTTCTAGTCACAGTCACAGAAAATTTGAAATATTTCCAGCATTTGATAAGAGCATTTTGTGGATATAACTCAGAAATATTCAACATTTTGACACCATTTTCCTTTATTTTTGCGTAAGCTGAAAAATCGATATTGAACCAGAAAAATTCATTAAAGTTGAACTCATTCATTGTTCACAGCCTGAGGTCGACTCTTTAGACTATATTTTTTATGCTGTTCAAAATATTGAAGTTGTTGTCGATCAATTAAAATGGAAAAATCCCTAGCTTGATATTAACGAACAGTAGGAATACAATTGCCTTTTATGTAGCCATGAATGTGAATTGAATGAGAAGTAAATGCTTGGGTTAAAATATCAGTTATGAACCATTTTTTATTATGTATTCAATCATGTTCAAGTGGACGGCCCATTATATCCGATTTGAATTCAATTGAAAAGAAACTTTCAATTTTTTGCTCGTTTATGGACTTTGAAAAAAGAAGTTTGGAAATATTTTTGAATATCTTTATGCTTCATACATGACTGAAACCTCAAGAATCTCCTCCCGCACTCTGGCAATGTCTAACAAGATTTACAAAAGTTTCATCCCCATCCAGTTAATGCTTAGAAATGTTGTTATTGATACACAAATTTGAGCACAAATAAAAATGTTAATAAAAATCAACCCTCAACACATTCACAGCTCCGAATATCTGTGGATGACATTTCTCAACACTTTTATATCAATTGTGAATAAAAATTTTCAATAACAATTTTCCGGTCGCAATAAAAAGGAATTTAATTTAATTTGGATTATTTCCATTTCCTTCTGTACAATTTAATTAACTTTTCTCAATTTCATCGAGGACCTGCCATGATGCACACAAGTCGATTCCGTTAATAGAATTTTAAAATTTAATAGAAATGAAAAATGTTTTTCTGTGACATTAATCTCAATATTATGTGCATGTTGCAACCACAACTAAATATCATTTGTAATTGCACGCACGTGTTGTAAATATCTCAACTGAATTTTAAATGCCAAACTACTCATGAGTCAAAATTGAGTATCATCATCAATAAATTTTTGTTTGCAGTTATTTGACATCTTTAGCCATTTATCATTTATATTTTGTTAGCCACCGAATTACGCTTTGAAAGATTGGTAATTGAATATTAAACAATGACTTTCGAAACTATATATTTTATATCTTATTTGCCTAGAGTATCGTGGAACAAGAAGAGACAATATGAGAAGGAATAAGAAGTCAAAAGAGAAAAAATTTACAGTTTCAGCATAAACGGAGTTTTAAACTGAAACGTGGGCTCTCGCGAGAGGAGAAAAAAAAAATCTTCTTTAAATTGCAGGAAGATTTGTGACAAGCCACAAAAAAGAATGTTATGGAAATTTTATGACGTATTGTCAACAAGTTTTTATTAGATTTTGTTGAATGTGTCAAATGAACTGTTACAAATGGGAATGGTTGGTATTCCAGAGATGGTTCTCGTTTATGGCTGATGACAAAAGAAGCAGGTGGCGAAGCTAAAAGGTAATGAGTGGGTGTGTGTGTCCTTGATTATGTTTTATTTCTAATTTCTATTTTTTCCCAGAACATAACACCAATTAAAGACTTTTTATTGCAAATCGTAGAAGGGTTGACCTCGACCTACTCCCATCCCCTCCTCATCATCCCCCTATTTTCTAAATTCACCAAACAACTAGTTGATGACGTCTGTGGAAAAATTATGTAAATTAAACAAATATTGAGGTGTTGAGAGGAACGAAATGAGTCAATGGAAAAAGCAAACTGACTGTAGTTTTGAAACGACGAGGGATTCCTAGTTTTTAGTGTCATATGATGACTAATAAGTTGTTCGTATAACATTGAGGTGAATTCGTAGAATTTGATATTGAATTCTCTTTAATAATATAAAATGAAAAAGTAGCTTAATAAAGATGTGTAATCTGGGGATGTAAATTCGTAAAATATGAATAGAAAATTAAATGATTGGACATAAATGTGTTAATTCAATTCGCACTTTCTCGAATCAACGATTTGTCAGCTCGTTACATGTCATTTGTCCTTCATTGTTGCATGCGGATTTCTACTTTTGTAATATGTTGCGGGATATTGTGAAAATTGAACTTTAAAAATTGGTTTTATTACCTTTTGAGGAAGCGATGAGAGTTTATTGACTGGACTAATGGATCATGCAAGGTATTGATGATGTCGTCTACTTTTGGAGACGGATATTAATGAAGATGATTTTTCTGATATTACATCCAGTTTAGACGGGATTCAATCGGATTTTGAACCTGATTCTTTTCACGAAACTTCATGATTAGGTTTAGGCAATCTTTATGATTTCTGATCTGATCTTTTAAAGACTTAATTGTAAAGAAGCATGCATATAAAGTTACAAATCGCAAATCACATTGAAAGTCTCACGAATTCTACAATGTAGCATTAGACATCATCATTATTAATAACACCTTCTTCATCATCATCATCATTATCATTATTATTGATAATTCTCATAAGATGTCTAGCAAGAAAATTAAATTTTAGCACATTCCAGCTTCAAAAGCTTTCACTTTTCTTATCAAAACTATCACAAGACTTTCATCCACAGGTTGACAACCTCATAAAATCCAGCAAAATAAGAACCGGAATTTCCAATGCTAAATTGAATATTTAATGAACTCATCAGCCATATAGTCGCCAGAGAATTATTTACGTCTGATCAAATCAATTTTCATAGAATTTTTATGATCGATTAAGTCTGTCGTAGCTGCTTGCACACCTTGCAATTTCGATTACTAACAATGATTATTAAAAATTCCATAATTTAACGAAAATTAGTGCAAGTTTATGAAATTCCAAGCACAAGCTTGTCCACTTAATCGTGAATAATAATTTGATTATTTCCGCTATTATCAACTCTGTATGCATGAAGTATGTGGCTAGCTATATTGCAATTCAGTAGGTTAATTACCTTGAAATTCTCTTATTCGTGTACCTTTCAATTAAAATGTTTAATCACATATTGCCCCTTGTTGAATATTGATTAATAAGATTCAGATTAAAGCGTATCCAAGTGACATATTTGCTAATTGGATCATAATTTTTTGAGCAAAAATATCTGAGTAATGCAGAGCTACATTGACTCACAACATGATAATATGATTTTAATAAGATGTCAAATTTAACATCTTTGACTTTCTTGTTATCACCTTGTTAAAGGTTTTATCACCTTGTAAAGGTTTTTATCAACTTGTTGAAATTCATTAACTCATATTCAGCTTTGTCACTCATCATTTTGTATTAATTGCAAGAAGATTTGCTCATCTTACAGCTGCATATTAAGTCATTGTCTTTTTTTATGAATCAACAAAAGGAGATGATTAAATATCTGATTTGGAAAAGAAGAAGGAATTGACACTAAAAATGATTCAAAGAAGTTGCAGTAATAAAATAATTGCGACTTTTATGAACAAGCAGCTTTGAGGATGAGATGCAGTAAAGATGTTAATTAGAAAATTGGACTTTAGACCTTGATATGAAGTTGTTGTTTGAAAAATCTTTGGTTTTGAATTCCAGAATTTTCTAGATCTTTAAACCAAGGATTTTTTGATATAACCTTGATCCAAAAAATTAACCTTGGTTTTAAGAACTTTCATCCAGAATCCACGTAACAATTAAGGAACATTAACATGAGTCTAGTTTAATAGAAAACTTTGAACAGAATGATCTCAAACGATCCAATGCCATAATGACATCAGCCAAGAAGTATTTAACACAAATTGACTTCTTCATCTGATGATTTAGAAGTCACAAACTCCTAACACCTGGAGTAAATAACATGATGTGTGATTTTTAAATGATAGAGTCTATAACTTTATGGGATCGCTTGAAGCTCATGAATTATGCGACATGAGCTAATTGAATATTATTTTCTATTCTTCCAGTGGAATATGCAGCATGCATGCATACGATTCAACTCAAAGTCACGATGATTGAGAGAATCTATAGACTTTCTGCAAATATTTACCTGTTTTATTACTTTGCAGTCACTTTGAATGTGTTTTGTTAACTTGTTTCTATTTGTTCACGACATTTTTCAAATTTCTGCTGAAATATTTGATAGGAATTGAAAAGAACACTTGTTGTGTATATTTTAAGGCACAGAGATATTTTATTAAATACTTTAGAGATCGTTCACAATAAATGAATGAAAAAAAGCTTCTCATCGCTATAGAATACAAATCAATAAATAATTACTCACTAGATATTATAATTTAAAGTTAACTAGCTAGTCATACATAAATATTAAGTATGCATTCCAATTTTTTTTTTCTATAAAACTAAGGCACTGGATCTTACAAACTGATATTATTATAACATAGTGACATAGAATAATGATTTATAATACACAGTAGTAATAACTATATTTTTAGTTCCTTTTCTTTGGCTCGGGATTGAATTTTGATAATTTTTTTTTTAGGTAACATCAAACATCACAAAAAGTTTTTTTACACTCATCCTTCCTGGGACTATTTAGGCACTTTAATCTTTGTAGACACCACATATAAGTTTTATAAACTACATGAATAATAAATATGGCTAAAACTATCATCAGCAGGTATTGTAGGATCTCAAAGTTCCCAAATGATGCGATGAATTGTAAATCCTTGATTTTTTCTGGTGGATCTGGTATTGCTTTAGACATTTCTCTAATTTTGCTTAAACTGTCAACGTAAAAATTATCCACAATTGTTGTGTTAAACTTTTTGATATTTTTTAAGACTTCTTCCACATCAAACGATACACACAAAATATTTTGCTTCTTATATGGCGATTGCTGATATTTCACTGACTTTAATAATTTATATCCACTTGTTAAGACTCTACACTCAGGATCCAATTCAAGTATTCCAGACGAACTTGCATTTAAAAATTCAATAGTGGTTTTTGCCTTACACGTTACATTAAGCGTCTCATTTGTCGGAGTGTAGTAAAAATACTGTCCATCGCTCAGTCGTATGAATGTGAGAAACGAAGATTTTACAGTATCAATTTTGCAAAGCTCTACATCGATTGTATTACTCATTAATGCTTTCGTCACACAGTCATCTGATTTGCTAATGCTTTGCAGCGGGCTTTGTGTTTCACAATAAAAGACGGAATTGGATGATTTGTAGCATGGATCTAAGCTCTCGAGCATCATAGACTCATTTGAGTTAATTGCTACATATTTCCAAACGACATCAGTTAGAATTAATTTGTCTCCGAATCGTGCTGGAAACTCCATAATCTTGTAAAGTGTTCGAGGAGTTTTTTCAACAAATGGTATGTCCATTTCTAGCTTGAGGGTGGTGCCAAATACTTGATGACTAACTCGTAGGTTGTAATAATATTCGGCCATCTTACGATATGGTAGCTCTTCATTAGTATCAAGCATTCCCGTTATATTTTTGATATTCTCATAGAATTCCGAAATTGTGATGATGTCACCGCTTAATCTCTCTTTTGACAGCATTTTTATGATGGCATTGACTTTCCTATCGACTTCGTCATTTACCGATAATGCGGTTGATATTTGCGCCCTTCTACCAAGCTCATCAATTGTGTCATTTAACAGTTCTGTTGCATTTATGACGTGCCCTTTTAATCCACCGTGTGCATCGATCATCTTGTTTATTGTGTTCTTAAGGAGGTTCAGATCCATCTCAATCTTTCGTCCATCTTCAGTACTAAGACTGTCGAAAAATGTGAACCCTCGCTTCTTTCTTCTATTCTCGTTCCTCTCAGGAGGTGCTATTAGGCCATACAGAACATCTTGAAGCTCTAATTTCCTTAGAGCTAAATTTGTTCTAAGCCTATCGATTTCGTTTAATCGATTTTCGTTAGATTTCTCGTCCTTCCCATAAAATTCTTTGATTATGTCTAAATTTCTAGTTTGATTAAATATCAAAGTATCGATACTTTTGATGTCAACATCGAAGGTCAACTTCACGTAGCTGGTGATTAATTTTAATTTCCCAATTTCTTCAAATCGCAAACCTTCTAGTTCCTCTAGTGGCTCGATCTTTAATCCAGATGAGGTGATTGATATTGAAGTCACAAGCAGTAATAATGTTCTATACAAAATATATAAAATTATTATTTTTTTAAATTTACATGACATGTAGTAATACTCACTGTAATGTATTCATTATGCATCAAATATTATTTTATACTCAAAACCGGTTTCTTGCAATTTTTGTACGGCAATTACTATGATAACTGTTAACACTTTTCATTCACAAGTCAAGTCGGCAGCGACGATCGCGCGCCTTTTTATAGTCGAGAGAGATCGTCTCTGAATCAGCACAAAAAATATTTTATGTTCGTGTGAGTTTACCGAAGTTAAATTGTAAAAGATCAAGATATTGGGGGTCTGTGGGTTGAAAAATCTTGAGTTTAATCTATTTTAATTGACTTGCATTTGAAATATATGTTGAAGACCAAAAACTTATTAATTAAATTATGAATGTTGATAATTTATCAAAGTTGGAGTTTTTCAAACCGAGGACCCACTATAGTGCATACTCACATGTGCCAATGAAAAAATGTTGTTTCGAAAGGACATGTAAATAGATAATGAATATGTAAAAAAGTATTAAAATCTCATCAACTACTGGTATTCAAGTTGGAGCCGTTGGTGATCGGAAAAATTGATATTCTAAGTAATTCTAGCTTATACACTAGACGCTATGAAAAAATCAATCAAATACTGATTCTGAGTTGAGTATAATTACATTTTAATGTTTAGCATTATTTTTCTCACGAGCAGCATCAGTAACAAAATTACATAATCTCTTCTTTTTCTGCTATAAATAGTAAACAATTGCTGTGCATGCATATGTCAAGAATTCTCTCAAAAATGACTCATAAGTCACAAGCAATAACAAAAACTTATTATCAACAAATAATTTGATAAAAAAATTATAATTTGCCCTTATTTAGTATAAATGCTACAGCTCACAACAATTAGCTCTTAATAATGCGTATTAAATTTATTCTCTCTTCTTTTAAATACTTTGTCGAACAAATCAGATTAATGTCTGATTCATATCTTTAACATACCTTTGTGAATCAGCAAAAAAAGTGCATTACAAATAACAGAAAATTGTTATTTTATAGAAATTGATTAATTATTGAGTAAATTAGAAATCTCATCACGTGTGGAATTTAAAATAATTGGAAATTAAATGAAGTAGAACATAAAGGTGTCGAACAATAGAGAATCTATCATTAAGTCATTTTAAAATTATTTTTTCGACTGAGATGACACGAATTCCACAATGATTGCTGATGGGACTTTATTCAAATGATGTATAGCAAGATGCTTCTAGAAGGGGGTATGAACTATTTTGCATGCAAAATATCTTGAAAGTGGGTCTTCCTTACCCCTACTTTAGCTATGTATAAATCATTTGTCTAAAAACTCAACTATACATCACTTTCGAACGACCCCATGTGCATGCAAAGATTCTGAATTTTAAATTAACTCTTGTCTCACTTACCGATTTCTATAGAGTGAGTTAACGCCTTCAAGGATTGCTTACTAATAAAGAAAATATCTCCTTTTCATAAATTTGGTTTTGAAGAGTCATCAATTTATAACGTTTAACTATTGCTTAATAAATGACTGTCCATAAAACGGAAGAGCTGAGTTTTGCATGATTTTTGTAAGGTAAAAACCCTCCAAATATACCCTTACAATTTAAATAAAATGGATTATAATTACGATGAGTGATAGCCCACATAAGATACCCTACATAAGCTGTATCAGGCAGTGCAACATGCTGAAAATTGCTTTACTTTCCATTGTAAAATTCACACATTTTGATTCATTCAACAAATCCGATAAAAATTCAATTGAGACATTTGATGAATTTAAAATTAAAGATTCTAGAAACATTTTATCAATTCATTCACAAATCAAACTTGCAGGCAATTAACTCCCAATAATGCGTGCTAAATTTTATTTCCTGTCATCACTTGACTTAATCGGATTAAGGTGTGACTCATAGAATATTAAAATACAACTATGAATCAGCATTAAAGTGACTATATTATTATGTAGAAATTGTTTAATTAAAGTTGTAATTTATTGGAAAATTAGAGCACGTGGTAAAGAAAATAACGGAAATTTCAAATGGAAATCGATTTCGAAGTAGTTTTTCCCCCTTGAACAGTGTAGTAAACATCAGAATATTAGGAATCGATTGAAAATAATTAAATTAACTGGAAATGCCTCTTCCACCAGCACTTTTAGCTAAATTACAAAGACGAGGACTTGTTAACGATGGACAAAAAGGTAAAGCACTCAATGTTAATTCCATAAATTCAGTGAAATAATCAATTTTGTGAAATTATTCAGTGCATGAAGAAGTCTTTGTGGAAAGTCATGATCAAGATGAAGTTAATCCAGAAAACTATGAGTATCAGACTAGGAAACGATTTGGCGACAATTTATGGATGGAAAAGTTAAAGAGGAGATTTAAACAGACAAAGGAAGGAGTAAATGGTTGTCCCAATAAGTAAATAGCTTTTATTACTTTATTACACTGTATTGTTAAAATAATATTAATTAATCAATTTCACAGGTGGAATGTATTCCATGTTTGTACAGTCTTTTGTCTAGAGAGATGGGGTCAAGGAACAGAAAAGCCGTCAAAGAGTTACAAAGATCGATTCCATAGATTATTGGATAAATATCCGCTACCCAAGAAAGGAAATTGGGTATACATTTGGGATCCTGGTTGTGAGGCTTACTACTTCTGGAATAAAGACGATAATCTCGTTTCATGGCTGCCTCCATCTCACAAGAAAGCAGTAGTAAGCAAATCTGCAGCAGTAATTCGCAGTGAAAAGGATCGAATTGATATGGACACTCCAGATGAAATTGAATTAACAGCAGCTCAAATGATGCCACCGCCTGCAAATAGAACTCCACCTTCACAAAATGAGGATCGTTATCAGAAGCCAATAGCTACAAAGAAGACAAAGTCAAGAGATTTAGAGAAGATTTTAAGAACTAAGAAAGGACGAAGACAATTTTATGAGAATTCTGATGTCATTGATCCAATGGATCCAGCAAGCTACGGTGAATGTGGTAAAGGTAGATGGAGTTCTGGATTAGCAAATCCAGAAGATAAATCTGCAGACCCAACAGCAAGTGGTCCACTGTACCAATCGCGTCCATATCCATCACCTGGTGATGTTTTGAGATCTCAAGGCAAGAGAAAAGAGGAATCGTCTGACAAATCTGATGATGAGGACGATGAACCAATTGAGAAGCAAAGGCGATTTAGCGACGAAATGGAATAAAATTGTATTTAATAATAAGATATGACACAATAAAAATTTGAGAGTAATTAAAGGAATTAAAGCATTTAAAATTTATTTTGTGTACCGGCCTAATGTTAAGAATATCATATGTTTCTGACATAAACAGACTATAAAGGGGACGTAAGTGAGAAATTTATTTAAATTACATTTTCGATGAATAGTCTGTGCATTGAGCATGTAGGAACACTAGAAAAGACTTCGTCAACAGTTTGAATTAAAAACATTGAATGTAAAACTTTTTTTACAAGAAAAAAAGGATCAAAATGTCGGAATTACGGCAAAGAAAGTCAACAAATCCTTTGGATTCATTCCGAGAACTAGATGCATTTAAAATGAATAAGCTTCCAGAAGAAATTGAGCAGAAATCAAACATAGGCAAGAGTCATAAAATATTATCGGATATCTATCAATTCCTTATTAATATTTAATTATTTTAGGTGGCACAGTGTCAATTCTATCTAGACTATTAATAATTCTAGTGATTTATAAAGAAGTCAAGTATTATTTTGACACGTCGTTGATTTTTCGATTCGAGCCTGACACAGACATTCTACAACACATAAAATTTAATCTCGATATGACTATAAAGATGCCCTGCCGTAACATAGGGGCTGATATATTAGATAGTACAAACCAAAATACATTTTCATTTGGAGTAATTGAGGAAGAGGATACGTGGTGGAATTTATGTCCAGAACAAAAAACACACTTTGACTATATGAGTCATCTGAATCGATACTTGACTGAAGAATATCATTCGATTGCAGGTTGGTTTACGATTAGATTTGACAAGCTTATTAAACCATAAAAAAAAAATTGTATTTATATCCAGAAATCATGTACAAAACAAACGAGTTCCTTAATGTAAAAATGCCACAAAGAAGTATCAAAGCAGTAGAACCATACGATGCCTGTAGAATTCATGGAAGTCTGAAACTGAACAAAGTTGCCGGTAATTTTCATGTGACACAAGGAAAGTCTTTACACTTTCCACAAGGTCATCTCCATCTAAACATTCTGTTCGATGATGTTAAAGCTAATTTCTCTCATCGAATCACAAAGTTAAGTTTTGGTGATCCACAATCTGGAATCGTTCAACCGTTAGAATATGAAGAGAAAATATTTATGGATGGTAAGTAATATTCTTGCATAATCTAAACTTGCTTATGCTGTAATTTTTCCCATCTATTTACAGAAAAAGCAATGATAATGTATTACATTGAAATAGTTCCGACAGACATTGAAACATTCGTGTCGCATGTGAAGACTTATCAATATAGTGTGAAAGAGAACACTCGTTTAATTGGTATGGTTGAAAACTTTTAATAGCTTGTTACTTACAAATATTTACGATTTAATCTTCAACAGATCATGATCACGGATCGCACGGAATGCCTGGAATTTACATTAAGTATGATGTTAGTGCATTAAGAATCAATGTTCTTTTAGGACGCGAGAACATCATTAAACTTGTGATAAGAATGTGTTCGGTAATAGCTGGAATCATTGTCATCTCGTCATTCATTAACAGCATACTCTTAAAGATGTGGGAAAGCTTTCTAAAAACCTTTGCACCGCAAATCTACGCATTAAGTCAAGAAAAATTACCACTTAAAGTTGATCCACAAAAAACCGCAAATATTTATGATGTTCTCACTAAATCATCTAAAGAATCTCATCATAATGACGGAAAAGGTGGCAATATAAACCTACTGACAAATAATCTCTTATTCAGTTCTGATCCCATTACCTTAACGACCAAATAAACTGTTGATTACTTTTTTTTCTAGCAAAATAAAAGAAAGAAATTTACACAAAACTAATCTCATGACTGCTTTATTTTCCTGTGAATCTTGTGAATAGTCACAGTTATCATTCAACATGGCTCATTAGAATTATTCTATGTGAAAATGACTAATTGGCACCAGCAATAGACATCTAATTAGTACTTATGATGCAACACAGAACTGAATGGATGAAACTATCTCTGAATTGATGGTACTTAAACCAGTTTCACACGAAAGAGTCTTCGCATAAAAAAAAGACTTTTTTTCTTTCTTTTCTTTCTTTCTTAATAATCTTCTCATTTTCCCAAATTGATGCCGTCTCATTTCATTTCTTCAAACCACGTGCGTATCAGTATAATGGTATTGAATTGTTTACATCCACTATCGCTCCAATGTCTACCTTTTACCACAAGAGTGAAAGAGTCAAAAACAGTTTTGTCTTCTTCTTGGAGCAGCTGAATTGAATCCGCAATGAGTTGGATAATATAAATAGGAAAGTTTGAGTCCGTTGCTACTCAGAAGTTATCTATCATTGAACTAGTGAGAATCTCCCATTAGGAATTTATTTATTTAAACAATTTTTTTTTAATTTTTGGTGTCAAAATGTAAGTTGCAAAATAATAAAGTGTCGAATAAGAATCAATCAATGGACATGCAGCACAATAAATAAATAAAATAATTAAAAAATAATTGAAATTTATGATTATTGAGTGCAGTGCTATTGTGAATAAGTAATTTTGGATATATTGCCGTTAGTCTAAGATAGATCGCCACACACCAAACACAATAGATACAAATTGAATATTATTTTCATATTTCATTAATAAAGTTTAGTAAAAATAACAAGCAAAGAAAATGTGGGTTAAATGAACAGTATGAAGAACTATACAGTTAAATGAAAGTGATACATAATAAACGTCCAAAAATTAAAGAACAATGGACTTTTGATAACGTGTGAGGATGTACTTTCGCCAGTCTTTACAGATTATTAAGTTTTAGTTCAAATTTTTGTTTTCAAATTGATTCAGAATTTCATATTGAAGCAATTTAACAATAAAGTCTGATAATTGGATGATCCAGTCCTGACAAAATTGCCTGAAATAATCAATTTCTTAGTTTTCAACATTTCTATAGCTTAATAAATTTAAATTTCGTACTTTAATAAATCACATGTTTCCCAGAAAATGCTCGAAATTCCTTGAACGAAAGTGTCTGTAATTATGAATGGGAGAAAAGTCACACGCACGGAATCCCGACAATATCATAATTAATACCGTTCTATAACCGTTTTCGATTTCACTGCCTATTGCTTATCACAATCTCGAGCGAAAAGCGAAAAAAGTAAAGCAAAGAACCTGTTTTGTATTTAACCGATATTTTTTATGGGATGCATTACCTACTTTTTCTTCAATCTCTACAAATTCTACTTCTGCTGTTGATCATGTGGATATTAAGAAGAAAAGAAACACGACATACTGAGAGGATTACTCTCTTGGTTAGCTTGCCTACCTCCGAAAGTGATGATTAATCATTTGTTGATCTTTTTTCTTTCTTTTTGCTTTCTTTTCATTCATTCATCGCTGATTGACTGACTGATGAACAAAATTTATAACACTGTGTGAAATTAAGCGCTTATAACTTCTTTTTTCACATAAATTATGAGACTATCAACAACACTGTGCTTTGCACTTGTCGTTGCTCTGTGCTACTTTGCAACTGTTGAGTCTACACCAATCCAAAAGAATGATGTTTCGGAAAATAACAAGGAAGTAGGTAGACAAAGTGGATCAATCGTAAGTCCACCAATTCCAGGAGAATCTGATGATGATGATGACGACGATGATGATGGTAAGATATTATTTTGAGCTTTTTAATGATTTAAGGACATTAATTTAATTAATTTTCTCAGATGACGATGATGATGATGATGACATTGGTGATCCTTTCGATGACGATGATGATGGTAAGAGCTACTGATTTATGCTTTAAAACTTGAATTGATTTAAATTTCGGTTTACAATAGATGATGACGATGAGGACGAACCAGTTGCTACAGGAAATCAAGCCCCTGGATCTGGAAATCAAGCTTCAGCAGGTGGAGATGATGATGGTAAGTATCTCATGTTTAATTTACTTGTTATTAGTGCTGTACTGATTAAAATATACCTCAGATGATGAAGAGGACGATGACTATATTGAATCAATCTTCGATGGATTCTTGGGAGATGATGATGGTAAGCTAACCTTAAAAAATTCCCAAAATACCCAAAATATCCAAAATTTAAATTCCTTAAACAGATGATGATGATGACGACGATGACGATGATGAAGAGCAAGTCCAACAAGAAGTTGTACAACAAGTAGCTCAGCCATCACAACCAGCTCAATCACCAATCTCATCAGATTCTCAAGCAATTATTACCCCAGATGAAGCTGTAGCTGACAATGTTGATGATGTCACATTAAACAATGAAATTATTGCTGAAAGTGGTGCAAAAGATCCACAACAAGCTGCTTTAGATCAAGCTGCAACAATTAACAATAGCATTAACCCAGTTGGAGAAGAAGCAATTGTGGATGATGATGATGATGACGGTATGTAATAATTTATGCAAGCTGTGGCTTAACAGCTGTAACTTGAGAACATTAGAGCAATTAGAACTAATTTGAATTGTTTGTTTATAAACATTTAGATGACGATGAGGGCGGAATTGAGGATGTGATCGATGATGACGATGACGGTAAGTTCAAAAAACATTGCAATTCATTTGAATCATTAAGTTACTCATTCATTACTCATTTATGCTTTGCCTTCTCACTTTGACAAATAAAAAAAAATTAAATTTATTTAGACGATGACGATGACGATGGTAAGAGACGCTTTACATGCCTATAATATCAATCATGCCTTCATAAAAAAAATCATTAAGTCATGTCATGCATGAGAAATTTTAATAATGCAAATGAAAAATTGATCTTAACTTTCAGATGACGATGATGACTTGGGTGGAGAACTGATCGAAGCCAAGAATTCACGTGAGTTGAATAATCAAGCAGTCTATAAACTTATTTTCCTACTAAACTTTCTTGGTGACAACTCAATAAATTAAATGGAAATAGAAAAAATAACTTTAAAAAAATTCCACTGGTTCTCACATATCGTAACGTAACTAGCACATACGACTTCAAGTGACCCACTTTTTTGTCCCTCAATACACTTATTTCTCCATTTATCCAATTCAAGTTCATGAACAACAAAAATTACATATATGCACAACAGGCGTATTGACTTTCTTCTCTTGATTTCCTATGAAAAACATAAACGTGATTGATATCATTAGTCTCGTGGCTTTACACACCATATAAGAGACTCAATCACTGCTGTGAAAGACGGAATGAAATATGTAGCATTACTCTTTAATTCAATCTATGTAGTTCAGATCAGATTTTTTTTTATTGACGGCGAAAGGAAAGGAAAACTTTTATTTTTGACGAAAATAAACTTTCTTTTTCGCAATGTCTTATTTTTGCGTAAAACGAGTTTAAAATATTGAATTACAACTATTTGCTGATTGATAATTTCGAGTAAAAATTTTAATGCGACCATAAAATGAAATCATATTATGAGTCCATTGACCGATGATTTTCATTTCTCTTCTGTTGGCTGTAATCTGAAATTTTTGTTGTATTACTCGAATGAGTTCTGGATATTTGAAATTCATGAGATGTGATTTGAATATCTGCATAAATTTGTTGAATTGTAAATTCAGATTCAGTTCCAATGATGTAAATTGAGGTGATGATGAGGAAATGTTATAAGAATTATTCAATCAAATTTACCTATATTTGTCATCAATTTTTAAGCATTGACATTTTCTCAGTGTTTCATTCTTTCTTGGAATTGAAATAACAAATGTTCAGTTACTTCCTTTGCTTATTAAACCAATTTTTAATTGAATAAAATTCATTACAGAAACTTAAAATTTCTTTAGAAGTTGACGAACAAATCAATAAAAGCAGCACAAATCAGCCAATCTAGTCAATCATGTCCATTATCACACAATTTCTCACATCACAACTTTTTAATTTTCTTTCCACTTATTCCACAATTCTTCTCACATAATCGATAACTCTATTACTATGCCGAAGACATCTCAATATAGCCACTCATTTAAGTCACTTTACTCCACTTAAGCTAATTATTTATGCTACTACTCTAGTTTACCTTTTAAAGGATTTCCGATGCAACTAATTAGACATGGAATTTGCGACATTGTTTTACGATAAATTCTCGTCTTTTCTTTTATATTTCATTAAGCATTTTCTGTACGTTTCTTGCTTTTGAGTTCAATTTACCGTTAGCACGTAGCACGTTAGTGAGAGTCAACCGCAAGAGCGTTTATATGTTAATTGGCGTTTTGCACTTAATTTTTAAAAGACAATTTTTTAATGTTTGCGTTTACAGGTGCTTTGGATGATGGAAATGCACAAATGTCTGACATGTTTGTGTCCAAATACAATACATTCGTTGATGGAATCTATGATAGAATTAATTCAATCTTAAAGAAGAGCTATGATCCAGTTAATGTGAAATTGTCGGTGGAAACAGCTGAGGTGAAAACGACATCCAACAAAAAGTCACAGAAAAAGTAATTTAATTAGTGCCACAATTGAGACAATACCTGAAATTTTTCAAATTTCTAAATTAATTAATTAATTATTCATTACAGACGTAACAATACGAAAAGTAAGAAGAACAAAAAGAAGCCAGTTGAATCAAAGCCAGAAGTAAAAGCTCGTGCCATTGCCGAAGAAGAAGTGCCAGCACCAACAAAGCCAGTAGTTGAGAAACAAAAGACAGCTAAACCAGCACAAAAGAAAAGCAATAAACGAAAAACCAGCACAAAGAAGCAACCAACAACTGATGCTGTACAAAAGAAGCAAGCTGAACAAAAGCAGGCAAAAGCTACACTTTATGGACTCGCATCATTAAAGAGAGTCGGAAATGTTAAAGTTGTTCCAAGTACCGATTTTACAACAGTCAAGAGCAACTTCGTCTTAGGTCCATTAATGCTTAAAGTTGAGAAGCAAACAGAAGAGAAGCGCGATATCAAAATGGCAACAGCAACGACTCATGAAATTTATGGCAGAATTAATTTAAGAGTAGTCAATGGACAGGCATCACTTCACTCAATCAAAGTTCAACAACCAAAGCAACTGAAAGTTGATGCTGATGAGAATAAACCATCATTACGTCAATATGTAGGAAAGAGAAGCTCCAACATTGTGCGCATTGTGTCAAGAAAACTAAGACATGCAGCAAAGACATCACTTGCGCCTGCAGCATAAAAAGTATTCAAAGCAACAAAAAAATTTCAATTTTACTGGAATTTTAGATCAAAAAATTCTCAAAACATTCTTTCGTGACAAGTGTCTGCAAATGAAAAAGGAATAGCTTCTGAAAGGAATTGCAGAAAACTTACAAAAAGTTTAACGTTAAGTTATTTATTTATTTATTTATTTAATTTATTTTTTTGAACGTCTTTTCTTTCTTGTTAAGAAAATTCTTAAAAATAAAATCAACAGATGAATTTTAAATTGCTTGACGTATTCCTTAATTCTTAAAATTACAGCTGATTGTGTGTCATTGTATTCTGATCAGCTTATGTTCACAGATTAGTAAGTAGACTTCATGTCTATTAAATTAATCTATTCACACCTATAGCTTGTAAATTCAGCGAGTCAGAAAGAGAAATTTCTAGCATATGACAAATTGTATGTCTCATATTTATATTCTCTGAAAAATTACTGCTTACTGCTAATAGTGAAATATATTAATGTGTAAAAATCTTCTTTTGCAAACTTGACAACTTTCACTGGTTTTATAGCTACAAGTAAACAAATTGATTATTATTTCATTAAAGTATCAAATTGTTCAATGATTTAAGCTGGAAAGAGCTTTTGTGATAGCTTTCTTGGATATTAATCGACAGCTTAGCTTGAATTTTAAAAGCTTTATTGCTTCATTGGAATTTTCAAAAAAGCACACTAAAAAGCTTTAACTAGTTTGTAAAAAGCTTGTAATCATTTTCAAGTTTTAAATCTTATGGATTAAAGTTTTAAAGATACTAAGATTAGATTTAACTGTGTCAATACAGCTTATAACATTGTTATTGATGGCAAACAAAACTCCAACATTTAATTTTTGTCAATTTTGTTGTATTTCCAATCATATGTTTGTTTTGGAACCAAAAGTTCTTATAAAAAGTTTGTGAATCTAGCCAACAGAGACATTAAGTCGTTTACAAATGACGTCGTTTATGAAAGTTAATTGAATTTTAATATCAATTAAGGTTAAGACTTGCCAAATGTCGTTAACTTTGAGAATTGTCTAGCGAATTTCTAAAACAAATGTCAGTCAAACCAGATCTGTCAAAAATAAAAGTTTATCAAGATCTTTGTAAACAATTCAACAATTCCGGCATGATTTCAAATGTAGACAGGAAACAGGTACAAAATTCAATAAACCAACAAAAAAGTCTTCTTAACAAAATTTTCTTTTATTTTCTTTAAATTTTTTCCTTTTACAAAAAGTTTTTCTCGTCTTATCTTGTCTTAAGATCATTTAATTAAGTAAAACTAAGATAACCCTTAATATTCTTTTACATATTTTATTATTTTCGCTAACAACAAAATCAGTTCATTGTAATTAAATATCTTGGAAATAAAATTAATTCATCTATGATCCTAATGCATTTAAGTCTCTTATAAATTAAATAAATTTTAAATAGCAACAATATCCTAAACTTTTATTTATTTCTCTTCCGACGTTGATGACCAATTAATTCTGCTGATGAGGCTCTTGATATAGGATCAATACTTGAATCATGTGAATTTGTTTGTTGTTTATCGTATGGTATGGCAATGACTTCATAAAAATTTGACGATTTTGGTTGTGCTTGTGATGTTGCATATGTTGAAGGAACTTCCTCACTACTCTTTGCATTTCTCTCTTCACTATTATTACTTTTATTATCATCTACTAAATAAAGTGTTGTGGTTGGAAATCGTCGAATTGCATCCAATGCTCTTCTTTGATCTAAGTCTAATTGCTCCTGCTCTCCACTCGATCTCATTTGAAGTAAGCTACTAATATCAAAAATTCTACCCATAGCAGCAGCACCGAGACCTAATGCGGCTCCACCAGCCAACACACCTAAAGCTGGAATAATATATGACTTGGAACCGCTACCTGGCACAACTCCAACTTTTTCTTGCGCTTGCAAAAGACCTGGCGAATGTTGTGATGAAAATCCTAAATTATATGAAATTTTTTCACCGGCTTCATAAATTGGATCCATAACAGGTTTGGCTATATCTTGTACTTGTTGAAAGCCATTCTGAAATGTGTCTCTGAATTGCTCAGATATTTTCATCCAAAAAGGCTGTTCAGGTTTCACACGTCGTATATAGGAATAGTTTGGATTGTAATGTGGATTATGGCTACTGTACATTGATGGTGGTGGAGGAGGTGGCATTTTTTGGTAACTGTAATATTCACGAGTATTTAATGCTGGTTCAATCTGATAAATTGGTGCATTTGGTGATGTCTGCTTCTGTTGATATGGATTTGGATTTGTGTAATATTCTGACTTGATTTGTGATTTGTAATTGCTTTTTGGTTCTTCTTGTGAATTTCCGACAGATTGTAGACCAAATTCGGGATGAGCATATTGTAAAATTGGTGCAGATGAAACTCCTTCACCTTGTTTATTCTTATCAACTGAATAAAGTGACGATGGTGGGAAATAAGCATTGCCCGGATTAATTAACATTCGTCTTTGAATTTGTTGAGGATTTCCAATATCTTTTGGCACACGACCAGCAAAATAATCTTTCCGATGTTCCTGATCATTAATTCTCTTTATGTAATCAATAAGCTTAACATTTGACGTCCTTGAATTATCTGCAACGGAGAAAGGTCCAATGCCAGTACCTGGACTTTGTGTATTGCTACGTGATGAAAACATATCTCTGACACTGAAAGGTCCAATTCCTTTACTTGCATTTTCACTTTCACGCGATTCTTCAGAGAAGTTATCAGCTGTTGTGAAAGGACCGATACTTTTTTGTCTACTTTGTATTCTCTCGTTGTCTTCTTTCTTTACAGGATAAATTAACTGACCATATTCGACAGTTCGAGGCGGAACATAGCCATTTTCATATGGTGTTAATATTCCATTAATAACACGTGCATTTCTCCATGTTTGGCGTTTATCATTTTCATCATCAGGAACACGTACACCATTAATTAATGGAATGCCATCCGAATCAATTTCCATGAGCGATCTACTGCGTTTTGAATTTTGATTATCTTTAACATAAACCGAATCAGAATTAATTGTCACTGGTTCAGGAATTTTGGTATGGACTGTGCCACGATCATTTGGAATGCCTTCGGATGGTGATCGAGCTGATCGTGTACTTTCTACTTGCTGAACATGCTTCATAAATGAATTTATGATATTTGCTGACTTTTCATCATTTGGAGCTGCAAATCGATACGGACTTCTAAGATTAGATTGCTGTTGTAAAGTTGTGACTGGCTGCATCACAACTTTGTTGTAAACCTGTCCAGTTTCAAATTGTTTTTGTTGCTGATGCATTTTCTTCATCTCTGAATCTTCAACTCTATCAAGCACTTGAACGGGCCCAAAGAAACCGCGCTTAATTTCACCTCGAGAGTATGGATTACTGACATCGTAATACGCTGGACGTGGTTCATTATTAGCTGTTGTTTTTCCATCACGCTTTTTAACAAGAATTGTAGCAATCCCTCCGTCATTCGTTCGGACATTTAGTGTCTGCATGCTGTCTGGATTCAAGCTTCTGGATACTTTTAATTCCGTTCGTGTTATTGTCGGTTTATAAATCGTCTTGGGTTTTGCTGTATTTGTTTCGCTTTCAGGCGATATTACTGTATATGATCCCATTCCACTCACTGATTCAGCATATGATTGAACTATAGCCAATAGCACTAGGCTGACAGTAAAATGAATTTTATTCATCAACATCTGAAATGAGAGAAGGCATCATGTTACTATTTACTTCACTTAATAGTGATATTTTTTTTTCATATAATTTATTACACATATAATAGATTGCGAATAAAGAAAGTGGAAATAATCGTCACAGACACACAAATCGCAATTTTAAAATGAGCAAAAAAATCGAGAGTCTGTAATCATGTAAACTTTTATAGTAAATGAGGTATCACATAATATCTGCCAGATATTACTTTTTTTTAAGCCTTTGAGAAATTTCTCAGACATTGTGTCGACTTTATATGGATGTGAAGTTATTAAAAGTTATGAGATGATTGCTTTTAACGTTCGGAATCTTTTGGATACGTGAGATATTTTTGCGTAGATTATTGACTTCGAAATTTATTGAAAGAATTTTAATTGTGACTAATTGAGTGAGATGTGGAGGCATTAATTGAAGATTTTAATTGAAAATGCCAAATTAGTCTTGAAATGGATTGATTTACTGAGTTGGTGGAATTGATCAATCAATTTTAGAATAATATTTGACTTATGTTGGTCATTTTTAAGCAGTGTTGCATTCTGGCCATTTGTCTAGATCAGATAAATTCTGAGACAGAAATTTCTTCATAAAGATCGATTCTATATGAAGATAGAAAATTTAATCTACACAAAGATTATTTCTACATAAAGAATCTGTCTACATAAAGATTCGATGTAGATGTCTACAATTCTACATTCTTCTCTGATGTAGACCTGGAAAAAATGTAGAATTGTAGACATCTACATCGAATCTTTATGTAGACAGAATCTTTATGTAGAAATAATTTTTGTGTAGATTAGATTTTCTATCTTCATATAGATCGATCTTTATGAAGAAAGTTTCTTAGCTAGACAAAAACTATTGAAGAATCTACATTCTTCATCTAGTGTAGACATCTACATTTGCAACACTGTTTTTAAGCAAATGAACTTAAAAAGATCAACAAAACCAACTCAATTTTAAATTACTTCACACAACAATCTCAAAGCAGCTATAAACTTCTTTTCACTCCATCACAAATTTGTATGTTTAATGCCATAATAAATAACCACAAACCTTTAATTTTGTTCCTTTTCCGCCTTCCAATAAATTTGCTTTAAAATTTCAAATTTTCCTTTTTGTTGCTTGAGGCACAAAACCCCAAAATAAAAAATCTTTTCTTTTTATTGTAGTTATTGCTCGCTTAAGCTTTTACACCACAAAACAAATTGTTTTTCTCGTTGCAATTTTGGATTTCCCTTGCAATTATCGCATTTTTATCTAAATTTCACTAATGCTATTGCGTTTTTTTCTTCATTTCTTGTAGCTTATTTTTTTTTCGTTGATAATGTTGTTCTTCTCCCGCGTTTCTCAAACTATTTCTTTTCAGCTCTAATAACTTTTCTTCCGAATATTGAAAAAGAGAGAAGAAAATATAAAAGAAATGAATTTTCAAACTATTTTCCGCTTTGGTGTTTAAAGCTTGTTAAAATAAAATCTACAGAAGAGTAGAAAGAAATAAAAAAGTTAACAAAATTTTATTTTCACGCAACACGCTCGTGGCTTTTCTCTTCTCGTGGTGGTGGGTATAGGTGCAAAACTTGATTAGTTTATATTTCACTAATTAACAGATTTTAGTTTTATTTATTCGGGCATCATTTCTTTCATTTCTTTCTTTTCGTTATCGCTTCCATCACTTTTATTCGTGTTTATGACGCATCAAAGTTAAGAAAATAAGCAAGCAAGACTTCAACAAACAGCACACTTTCGCGTAATTCATTTCACGATTTCGGAAACTTCTTTCTCTTTGCGTCTCACTGACAGACACTCTACACATGCTGTCCGAATATTAAAATGTAGATATTCATATTTTTGGAGCAATAAAGCAGCAGCAGCAACAAAAATTTAAATATATACAAATTCACTTATCTTTTATTATGCTTAATTGAGCAATTATGAAGGGTATATCCATATTTTTTTATATCTGTGGTAACGAGAGTGAGTCTGAATGGTAAAAATTTATGATAAACTACTTTTTGATTTTTATCTCCTGAAACTCTCAACGAGCATTTGAAATTATCAGCGGTATTTATTTATTAATTGATGTGATTTGAAGTATGATTAATAGTTTGTGTTGGAATCGTTAGCATAGTGATTTAAAATGATACAAAAATATTGACTTTTTGACATTTTAATGAATCTCTATTTGAGAGAAAATGAGCCTATTGTAATGGAATTATCAATATGGCGGATATAAAGTCATTGTAATTCATTTAATTGAGGTTATTCACTCTTGGATTATGGTTTAAGTTTGTCCAATGGATTTTGCGAAGATCTTGAGTTTAAAATTTGGCATCTATGAGATATTTGCTTCTTATGCTAGTTAAACATCGCTTTACTTATGTAAAAACAAAAAGAAATGAATCCATTGGAGAAGCATTGAAGAAACTTCTTACAAACTTAATTATTAATTTTAATCAGTCGATCATCAAGCTAATGAGTTCAATAAAGGTTTTTGATCTTCAAAGATGATGCATTTTATTTCTTTATGAATCCTGCGACAAAGATCGACATCAAGAATTTTATTGATCTTGATATCACGGTCTCGACTCATCTTAATGTCTTCAAAATTCAATATTTACTTAAATGTCTAGTCGTAATAAAATGGAGCAAGAAAGTGAGATAATCTATATATAGGGTAAATGACTTTGAAATTTGCGCAACCTTGAAATTTGCGCACTCGTATGAAAACGAAAATTTTAAAATTATATGTAAAAATGTCACTTCTGTTCAGACGATCAATGGGAAATGTTTGTAGAACACCAGCGCAGATGTTTTGTAATACTTGACTCATCTTTTAGCAAAGTATGCAAAGTATTGAGTTTGACTATGTTTCATTCGAACTTTTAAAGTTATCACACTGAATATAATATAAATCTAAATATTTAAATCTCTTAATTCCATTTAACATACCAATGTGAGCTGTAGATTTTTAAACACAATCTCATTTTATATAACTTCTGATTTCCATTAAGATTTATAGTATCCTTAAGCAACAAAAATTATAATGATTCGGCACAATAGGTTGTCTTCATGACTTTGGTCTTAAAACTGATTTGAAATCATGATCCATTAATCCATTTAAATCAATGATAGCAATTTGCTTGTAATACAAAGTCACAAATCATGATTTTTCATAAAATATGATTTAAAATTCCCAATAGGAACCGACCATGCATCAAACAGTGTCATGAACAAGTATAATGACTTTATTTTGTTGAATTGACAGAACAAACATTCCATTCTTCATCAAACTGAATATTTTGCAAACAATTTAACATGCACAATATTGTTAAGTAGATTTTAATCTACAAAAAAGAGTATTGTTACTTCCTAACAATCATTTCCTACATAAGACATCATTATGTCTCACAAGAAAGTCACTGTTTGCTTCCTATGAATATTATATTTCACTATGTGCTGTTTCCACATTGCTGATTACTTTAGAAAACTTAATCAACATGCTTTTAAGAAGATGAATTCAACATGCTTCACGTGTAGGTGCTCTGATTTTCTAATTTTGTTTTCGTATTTAACGAAAATTGAAGCATTTCCAGGCACACACCATTCAATCATTTCATGCGAGTCAGTGTTGATGGAAAAATTTCACGTTGATAAATAAATTAGAGTTTTGAGTCACAAATGTTTAACTGGACACTGCAGTTTTTATGATTTGTAGAGACACGTTTGTCTATCTGTCCATCAAAACCGAAAAAATTAATGGAACTAGTCACTTCCTTCCCAAGAAACAGACACTTGAAGAAGCTGATGCTTACAATTTTTAATTCAATCTTGCTCTAATTTTTGGCTTTTTAAAGAAATTGAGCTGAAATTGGACATGAATCTAATTCAACTTTGATTTCAAGGGGGACGAAACTATGCTATAATTATATCACATCAAACTCTAGTTTATTCTGACCAAATAAACTGAAATTCAATACGCAAGTTCTTTGCTGTACCTAAATCAGAAACCAATGATAATTTAAGTTATGAAGGACATAAAACCACAACTTGAAATATCTTTAAGTCTCCTCAATTGATGATATGATCTCATAAACTTCTTTTAATAAATTCATAATCAAAAAATGCGCTTTCATCGTTCACATGCATATAAGTATAAGTCAATACCAGACACGCTTGGCATTCAACTTGATCTTGATTACCACTGAATAAACATTTAAATGTCCATAAACAAAATAAAACAGAAATATGTAAAATATTACCGACCTACGAATTGAAAATAGCTGAATAGAAATTATGTTGTGAGAGTGAAAGATGCACAAAATGTTATGCAGTTATTACTGTCTTTATTATCCATGAACGATCGAATGAAAATAAATTCCGTTGAATGTTGGAAAAAATGCGGTTGTCACAACATTTTGATGCAAATTTCAACCATAAAAATGTCTCTATATTACATATTATAAAAGAGAGTGAAGAAGAAAGAGAAAAAATTTCTATAATCGGCCGGAGATTTCACAATTCCGGTGTAAGTAAGCAGTATTATATAAAAAAAATTGTTCATTAAAGAGTAAAGTAACAATCTTGGCCATTTAAAACATAAAATTCACTTTCTTTACGAAATAAGAAAGAAAAAATTCATAGACAAGAAGAAAAGAGTCTGTGATGATGGAAAAATGAATGAAAAAGAAGAAGTTGAAAATTATGAGTTGAGAGCAACAAATTTAATATAATATATGTGGTGTAATAAATGCAGATAGACATTTTCATGGTGAAACTTTTCGGCTTCAAATAATTTTCTCGTGTTTGAGCGCATACAGTAAAGCATGAATACATTTAATGATTATTAAAGCTGAGTGATTCAAATTTCAATGTCTATACACACAGACTGATGATATCTCTGATTCATCTTCTGTAGAATGAGTTTTGGGGTAATTTAATCACGTGAGTGGATGGAACGCAGCTCTTTTTAAGTTTCTAATGCGCCGGTATAGCTGAATTGCCTTTAAAAGTGTAGTTAATGTGTTTCTAGAACAAATGAATGACGATTAAGCATAATTAACAAATGGTTATCCTTTAAACAAGTTTTTGGCGCCAAAATTATATTTGGAACTTAAGATTAAAGTTGGTTAATCTCTAGCTTTAATCACGGACAGCCTTCCTAAGAACCTCCCCAAACTGCAAGATAATACCAATTGCATCTGCATTACAACTGCTAACGTTTTGATATTTAAATTTTCCTGCTGTTAAGATGCGACGATTAAAGAGCAATTAAACACAGAGAAATTTATTTGTTGAACACGGCATTTGATGCAACTATGAATCAGATGAAGAGCAACAAAAGACAATTATTGTCTTAAAATGACTGAAGAAGAAAAAAATCTCTCTTTTTTGCATTTAAATTGCTTATTTTCAATTTCATTGTCCGTATTCAGCATTTCGAATTGCAGAATAAAAAGCATTCAACTTGAATAGGTAACTAGATGCGGTAATAGACATAAAGTCACGACTTAACTTCCGCGAATAATCTTAACCTGAATCAGCCTCAACTATTGCATTATATGGATAGAATGTTAGCATCATGGAATGAAAGTAAAAGTATTTACTGTCTTAGTCACTTTTCGTTTTCATTTTCGTGCTTGCTGTACAACCTCTTATTTTTTTTTCTTTTCATGCCAACGATTTGCACCTTTATGTTTGCTGTTTGCTTGTCAGCTTGCTTAAGATTACTTGCACAAATCTCTCAAAAATAGTAATTTTTGAATTTATTTTCTTTTTATTTCTTTTGATTGGATTATCGCGTTTTTGTTCGTTCTGTTTCACGTTTTGATTAGCAATCAACACATCATGCACCACTATTTTTATCTCAATAGATGTTGAATCTTTTGAGATGTTCACGAGAAATTTTCTTGTATTCAAATGTTTTTGAGAATTTTGGAGATTTTTTTTTGTTAATCTAGAGTTGATTACTGATTGATTGTCTAAATAAAAGTCTTGTTAATTTGATGACGGGATGTTATCAACTAGCTAGAGATGTTTATTAAGTGAATCATTCAGTATTCCATTCTAGGATTTCCAAGTTCAGAATTTGATTCAAAATATCCAGAATGATATTCAAAAACTTTATATATCCGAGAAAAGCCACAATGTCTTGCACTTCCTATACAATTCAATAATAATACTTTACATTTTATTGAACAATTCTAATATACAAAATATATTCACTGCATCCGATAAAAGCCGTCTTGCAATAATCGCTTTCAAATAAGCACTGACGTCGCGAGCTCTCAATAGCAGAAAAAAAAATCGCAGCATAATTTTTCCTACTCCCCGAAATATGTGTATATATAAAAAAGCTTTCGCGATCAGCTCACAATAGTTATATTTTCATCTGTTTTATATTTATTGTGTTTGTGTGCAGTCTTTAAAATGAAAATAATACAATGAACATTACTTCTTCTTATCCATAACTCTTTTTTTTTCATGTGTCTTATACATTTGATAAAATTGCCGACACGCACATATACACACTCACATGTGCATGCATGGCAAAACAGCATATTTCGTTAATGAAAAGAAAGTTTGCTAAAACATTTCGTTATGAATTTTTTCCTACGTCTTCTTATTACCGCTCTTTCTCTCTCACTCTCGTGAGTTATACAACATTTTAACTCGAGATATGTCATTGAAAAATTAAATACGTGCGGGACTAAGGTGGTAAAGGAGGCGCTACTGCATATCTTTGAATATTTTAATAACCTTGAACTTTTTTTAAACATTTGTTTATGATTGCTTGCGATTGTATTGTAATTAATGCACAACATTCAATGCTAATCGTGAGCTTCTGTTTTGCATATGAGCAGATCCATCATCATCGATAAAAATGATGAATTTGCATATGAGCACTTTAGACTTTGATAAATTGGCATGCATAAGTAGTGTAATTAAATATTTTAACAATATTGATTTAAATTTAATATTAATAAAGTACATTAGGTTATACATAATGCATTCTGAAGTTGATACAGCCATACTGACGAACAGCCAATACCTACATCTACTATCTGGAAAACAGCACTAAAAATTAATTTAAATGAGTATGCAATAAGGAAAAATATCTCCAATCTGAAGCCTTAACATTCCTTTGGAGAGACTCTTACAAGTTGTCACTCGAACTTCCTTGAATATTGACCATTACAGTCTACACACAGCAATTATTGAGAGAGTGACAAAAGCTGCATATGTGAAAAAAATGCAATATGAAATTGAAGGCAACACAAAAACCAACAATCAACTTGTTTCACAACTAAAAGATGAAAATTTCCCATGTTTAATGTCTATAGGCATTGCATTCCAAGTTGACGAAAATATAAAAAAATCTTTCTCTTCCACAAAGACCTTTCATTTCTTGTGTGATTTAATCGATAAAGATTTGTCGTCAGATTTAGCGAATACTTTTTATATTATATATAAGTAATTGCTATTTATACTGCTTGATAAGTGGCAGTTATATCTTTTTTTGTTGGAATGTTAGGCGCATTCGATGTAGACTGAGTGGTGAAAAGAGTGATGTAGCTTTTGTTGGATGCAAATACAGTAATTCAGCGAGTACTTTAATGTATCGAGGTTTTTGGTTGTTCATTTAAGCTTGTGAAAAGTCTATTTGTTGTGTCTAAGCGTCATCAACAGAACAACCCTAACCACAGCCCTAGATAAAGTAATAATGATTAAAAAGAAGCTTCTGACTTCATAAACCACCTTTTATATTCAATAAAAAAAAGTCTTCAGACCAAACTGATCCAAATGCAGCACTAATCCAACAAAATTACAGCTAATAAATGAAAGACACTAACAAGTTTTGTGTCTATTCAATAATTTAAGTCACTTTTCTTTTGCACCAATTATAATTCCTTTATATCCCTGATGATTTCGTATACTTTTCTGTCGTCTCACGTGCCACACGCGGAACAATCAATAATTAATGAAAATATCTACGCGACACTTTCAAATGTTTAATGAAATACTGTCAAACTCTTGTCTTCAGCATGCTTAATAAATAAACTTACTACTTATCTTATTAAGCGGAGGTGAAAACATCAAAATTCCTGCTCAACGCCACAGTCGAATTAAGTATTGATCGATCTCAATTTATTAAATTCTTTTAGAAATTGAACGCACATTTTTTTAATAATTGTATCCAGCAGTGTAGAGCATTAATGGGGAAAAATCAACAACGGATTAATCGAATAAAACTTGACGATCGAGGAAAAACTCAATTCATCATTTTCGTCTCTGACTATTAATGGCAATCTGCACATTTTTCTTATTTTCACTGTGCTGTGTTATCTGCTTACCATAATAAACTCGTTGAGATGAATTGATGATGCTGTTGAGGTGTTGAAGGCGCTTTTTTGCAATTAATTGAGGTGGATTGTTTGTTATTGCTTAAGATGAATGATTTGACACTACTGGATTTAACTTTGTGCATATTAAGCTCAAATTAATTTATTACCTGTCAAAACGGTAATTTTAATTAAAATAATATTTATCGATACATAGTTGCATACCCTTTTTCATATAAAGCAACATCTAGTAAGATCATGCCTTATAAATCTACTCCAAAACAATTCATGAAAAATCTCACAAAATCATAATCAAAATTGTGATGACAACATCGAATGATTAGCAGCAATTCATTCTCGATCTATTAACTCGCTCAAACTGCTCGCCGCACCAACACCCAACCAGATAGTGAGCGTATATCATGTCAAAATTGAGCTGAAAAAAAAAAATCTGAAGAAAACATGAATCGATTTACGCTTTGAATTATTTCGAGCAAATAGATTAATTTTTTTTCACTATACATAGCAATTTCAAATGAGGCATTTAGTGTTGATCGCGGTAGAAAGTTTACAACAGGTAACGAATGTCTGCTATTTTATTGGCATTTTTATGAGTTACGCTGGATTTCAATATTTTTTTTCTTTGTATTTCAAGTTTACTTATAATTTTTTGCCACATTTTTCTTAAGTCATTGCCCGTCCGCAGTTCGATAAGATATGTATTTAGAAATCTCTTCTTAATGAGATAATTGAATAACTATATAAAGACTTGATGAAATAACATTTTTCCATGTTTTATTACATTTTTTTTTTATTATTAAACTATCAAAGAAGAAGGAAAAAGGAAAACAAGACATGAAACATATGAATTCATTATATTAGAGAAGTGAGATCTGTACAAAATATTGCATCTATGCATGTACGAAGAAACGGATGGATGAGTAAGTGTATAATTGAGTTATTTACGTTCTCTTGCATTTAAAAACTCCACAATTGTGTCGCTTTATTGCAGTGAAAATTTCTTTCAGTCCACTTTTCTCAGCTTGTGCTGTTGGAGTTCTGCAATGGATAAACATAACCTTATTAAATCATATTTCAAATAATTTTAAGATACTCACTCAATAGCTACTTTATACAATGTTCTGTGCGTCAGTTCAGCATCTGGATCAGCTCCAATCAATGCCATTTCACAGAAAAGTCTGTCCTCACACGTGCCATCAATTTTTCCATTCTTCTCTCGATACGTTGATTCCATGAACTTTACAAATTCCGCTAATGAATCATTTACACCATTACTAATAAAGTGATTTTCGATGACTGCACGCTGACGCAGTGGAAATGGTGCATTTGGACCTTGTTGGAATGGTGAATTTAACTGTTGCTGTGGAGAAGAAGGTGGAATCGGTGGAGGAGGTTGGAATGGTTGCTGTGCGAATGGAGGTGCTAATGTTGGTCTACAATTAAGTAATTGAATAAAGAAGAAGTGAAATAATTACAAAATAGAAAATTATGTAGGAATTGAGATAATTAAATATTAAACAAAAGAGCATCATGCACAGGTCTTTAATTCAATTCAAATGAGAAGTTGCGTAAAATGAAGTCAATTTCATTAAAGTCAACAAATGTACGTAATACTAAATGCTATTGTCTGTTCATATTTAAAGAAAAGAAGCTCGCGAGAGAAACGTAAAAGAAAAGAAAAGTGAAAGTTTCCTTTGCAGCACAATTTTTATATCTTTCTTAATGTCTGGTGCGTTCTTTTTGTACTCGAACGAAACGATTTGTTTTAAGCGGCACGAATAAGACATAAGACAACAAGTTGAATTGCCGAAAAATACCGGTTAATTTAAAACTCAAACTGGTCAAACTTGCAGTTTTTTTGGCACAAGTTTTTGTCATAAAGAGATTGATCACATTGGGTGGCATTTAAGAAGATTTAGAATGTTTAATCTTTGGGTAATTTATTTGGACTGATTTTTGTTGATTTTTATCGTTTTGATAAATGTTTAGACTTATTAAGCTTTGAAAGTAGTAATTTAATTTGTTTGAGGAACTTTATAGGCTTTGTCATGTTGATAGTTGGAGGTTTGAATAGTTATAAAGTATAATTAAGTCTACAAACATGAATTTAAGATTGAATAAAAGGAAAAGTTTGATTTTGTATGATTTAAAGCTTAATTAGTTCAGCGTCTTTTGATGCAGTTTGATTTGTGCTTCTTTTGATGCAAATTATAATTTTATTCTTCTTTTATTAAGCTTTGGTTTAAAAATGCGTTCCCACCGTTTAAAACTCTCCACCTTCATAATCAATCTTGCCCCACAGTTAATGCACCACTTTGTTCACAGGTTAAAATTATATTCGGCAAAAAAGAGCACAAATTATGGCGAAAAACTTGCCATAAAAAATGAAATTCATCGATAAAGATTGTCTCATATTTCAATTTTAATTAACATAATCATAAACAAAATTCGCAAGAAGCCATAAAAAATTCTTAATGAACTTTCATGTGATCTTTACAACTTACATGCAATGTCATTTTGTGTTTAGCAGCGCGAAATAAAAAGAGATGAATGAATAATAAAGAAAGTTATACACTTGTTAGCCTGATATCATTGCCGCAAAGGTCGACTTATATTGCATATATTTTGTATGACATGAAACAGAGGTGCATTCAATTGAGAGGGTTGAGAGTTATTTCTTTTGACTTTAATGAGTTTTTTAAGTAGCGATACAGGATTAAGGCCTATAGAGTCGCGTTTTTCGTCCATAAAATTGAAATAAACACCGTTAAAAAACCATTCATTCAAAAGTGATATTTGTTGACATATTAATTTCAAATTTGACTTTAAATGACATAATCTAGCTTTGAACATTTGGATTCTTAATGTAAATTATTTTGAAATGTCTATATTCTTGATGAATATTTGTTTCTTTCAAAAATGATTAAATTCTATGCCAATCAACTTAGAATTCTCCACTCCCTCTATATAATCTTCTGACTCCTCCCCTGTATCATGCGCATACTTTACGACCATCGATTTATCTCCTTTTGAGACAAAAAGAAACGAAAAACATTGCAAAGATTGTCTTTTTCGTACTTTTCTCCCCAAAAAAAATATATATAAAATTAAATCGCATAAAAAAACCTGTCAGTGCAATTGGAAAATTAATGAATGCCATGGTGCAATTGCATACAGCTTATTTATTGAAAAAATTTCACATGAATCATTAAGTTGTTGTTTATATTTTTTAAGAAGAAAAAAATGTAGATGACTTTAATCACTTTTCTCTCCTCGTTCACTTATTTATTGTGTACATACACCAATGTATATTAAATAATCTTTTTCTTTTCTTTCTTAATTCACTTTTCAATTTACTCATTTGCTTGTTACCGGCACTGTTGTTTGATAAGTTCAAAGAGTTAAGAGGTAAAAAAGAAAGAGATATGAAGGCAAGTTAATGATTATGACTTATGATAATCTCATTAAAAAACGATAGCTTTCATTAAATTATAGAGTTCACCTGTTTGAAGCTGTTTAAGCATACGGTGTGAGGTTGTCGGATAAAATAGCTTTTTTGATCGTCATGAGGGGAGAAAAAGTTTCTTTCGTGCCTTTTTATTTTGTGTAATTAATTAATCTCGTAGAGTAAATATTTTGAATGCTTGTAAGTTATGGTTGATGGATTAATTTTGATTTTAAGTGTGGAAATGGGGCGATGAAAGGGATGAGTTAATTATAAACTTGGTTGCTTGAGTGGAGTTTACTATATCCGTAAATTTACATTGAATTTGTCTTGTTGGAAGGGATTGTTTGAGGATCAATAAGTAAATTTCTAAGTTTACTATTATGAAACTGATTAAGCGCTTCAAAATCACTATAGAAGCAGCTAGTTGATACTTAGAATACCTAAACCAGCGTCATATTCTGACAACCAAAACATCTAGTAAATGAAGATACAGCAATATATTTCAAGTCGATATGCATGTCAATAAAACCCAAACAAATTCCCAGATAACTTCATCATAATAATCAATTTGCAGCAGATATGCTTCTCACACTAATCACTGGATCAACACAAAGATTAATCATCAACCTTAAGAAGCATTATACATTGAGTATCAATAAAAAACCCATGAATCAATTTTAATCCCACACTTATAAGTTTAATAACTGTTCAGCAGTTCACGTCCTTCCGAAAAAATTTCTTCTCTCAAATACTGCAAATTATTAGCAGTAACAATGAGAAATTTCATGCTACTCTCAACCGGAACCAAGTGCATTTTAAAATAATATTTATTAAAAGCAATAAGAAACGAAGAAGAAGTAAATGTAAAGGCACAAGATGTTACTTAAACTTGAGTTAATGGCAATAATAATAATAATTAAAGTATATACAAAGAGAAAGACAAAATTGTCAACTTACGCAGTCGCATTTGGATGGATATAAACAATGCGGGGTGTCAATGCTGAAACTGAACAAAGTTACATGATGAAAATATTGCAAAAGTTTTACTATTGTAAATAAACTCAACTGATCATTCCAATTGGAATTGCAGCTGTCATTATATGGAGGAATCGCTTCCATGGAGATGGATGTCTGTTGGGAATGAACAATTAATGAATAGTTTCAGTGACTTTACATTAAATTCATACCTCAAATGCTTTATGTCTAATTTAGCTTCCTTATCATCTCCTTCCTGCTCTTTTGTTGTTGTATCTTCGGATGTTAATGCTTCAGCAGTAGCTCCAAAACTACTGGATCCTGGTCCAGTCGGTGGTGTTGTATGATGACTAAATATCTCACTTGATTCGAATGAATATGGTCGATCCCTTACTGTTTGTGGATTGTTTGAGTCATAGAAGTGAGTCGGAGAATGGAATGTGTTGAATTTTGTGTCTGGTGGGAATGGATTGAATTTTTGATCTGGCAAAAATGTATTGAACTTGGTGTCTGGTGGAAATGTGTTAAACTTAACGTCTGGTGGGAATGTGTTGACTTCATCTCCTCCATCATCTTCTGGTATCCATTTCCATGAGCCTTTTGGCTTCAATTCTGGTTTATTAAAGTCTGGAACTTTTGTTGGCCATGCTTGAATACTTGGAGTTGACTTTATTGCTTCATCGTTGCTAAATGGATTCTGTTCATTTGGAAAGACCATCCTTTCACCAGTATTGGCACTTCCGTGATCAAAATGATTAAACTGATGATGAAAATGATGTTGATGATGATAATCATGAGGATTATGGACATTATGAAAATGCGCTTGTCGATCAGCATGTTGATGTTGAAAATCAACATGAGTATTTCTAAATTGCCCATGTTGCTGCATAAAATGCGAATTGGCATCATTTGGATTAAGATTATCATTTGGCGATCGATTACCGCCAAGCCATTTTGCTTCAATTTGTTGTGGAAAATTAAATGAATTGTCTTGTGGAAAGTGAGCGTCTTGCTTCGTCGGAGGTCTATAATATGTATTCATTGGATGAAAGTGACTTTGAATATTATTTTCTGGCGTATATAAAGGACTTAATTCCTGCGATGGATAGAATTCTTTTGATGACGATCTGGGTGGTGTCTGAACTGCAATATCTTGTTGTACCTCTGCTGGTCGTGCAATTTGATCTTTTAACTTTACAGATTTATCAATGATATGTTTAAATGATTGCTGCTTGCTATGAATAATGGCTTGTTTCAATTTTTCGTCGCGAAGAGAATTTTGGTTAACGATTTGGGCTGGTGTTGGATGTCTGTGGATTAAAAATGTCGTTATTATTGTAATCTTTAAATCTCGAAGGGATTTTAGGTGTTGCAGGGTAGGATTAAGAGAGCAGAAAAAGAAATCAGGGGTATCAAGTCATTTGTAGGCAAATCTGCCAGTAGAAAACTCCAGCCTTAGTGCTCAATTGGATAAGCAACAAAACAAAAATCTACCTAAATCATTATCTCGAATGTTTTTCAATTGAATCCTTCTGTCATATATCTAATACTCCAATCCTGATTAAAATAACAATTAAAACTCAAACAACCACTTACGAGTAATCCTTAAGTGACTTCTCAGCCTTCTTTTCCTTCAATAAAGGTTCAACTTTCATCACATTCTGCAGTGTAGGTGGAATCTTATGCACAACACTAGGCGTAGTCACTTCATCGTCATTACTGTTATCCTCAATTGTCCTTACTTCCTTGTCTAAATTCTCACTTTCTGTGATATTACTTTCATTTACAATCTCCACTACACTTGGAGGTATTACGGTTGTTGTATTATTTTCATCTGGGTTATCAACAACTTTAATACAATTCACTGAAGTCAATAAAATTGCATAAACCACCACAAATGCCAATTTTGCTTTCATTTTTTGTGTATATAATTTTTTCTTTTAATTTATCAATAATGAAAATTTTTTAATAAAAAACTCTTTTTTTTTGGTTTTTAATTACCGCACAACCTACATCACCGAATTTTCACTTTTTCTATTTTTTCTTCACTTGTAAGCTCATCAAAAATCGTCCATAAAATGAAAAATTTTCCTCGCATTCTTCAGTTTTTATATTAGAATTGCGTAAAATGAGTGACTTTATTGTTTTAATTTTTATGCTGACGCCCATGCAATTGTCATATAAAAGCAGCATATGATATGTATTAAAGAATTGCTATTGTTGGATAATAGTCATTAACACACGGTGCATAAAACACGTTGAACCAACTATACTGCTTTTATATGTAAAGCGTGAAAAAATTGCTTCTTTTGTGAAGACTAGCTTTGGGGGTTGTTGATAAGTGACGTACTTAAAAACTAGATTTTACGATTCTCTTGGCATTTAAACTTTTTTAAACTTTTAAGTATTCAACAGATTTAAAAGAAATATTAGACATCATTTATGGACGACTCCCCAACTTCATAAAATCATCCAAACTCATAACTATCATGCTAAATTTAGAGTAACTGGGTTACCATTGTCATTTGTTTTAACAAATTTACAAATTGATCTCTTAGTTCCTTCGCATCATTATTGTTACTGTGTTATAAGCTTATATTGTCAGAATTTGCTCAATATGTTGAATAATGCTAATCATAATGTAATAAAATTATTTAATAAACTGAATAAATTGTGTCAGAGTTATATAAAATTTTACATATTGTTAAGAATGACTAGTCAGAATATTCTATCTCAAATATATCTCTCTTTCTCGACCATAGTTCCCATCATAGATATTATATAATATCACAGAACATTGAAACATTTGTTGCATAAGTTCAAGGAGATTTATTAATCTCAAGCAGTTTAAATATTTGAAAAATGAAAAAAAAAATTTGATCATCAGTTCTAATGGACATAAATTATTTGATAAGTATGATCACAATTTACGAGCAAAAGAAGATTTGTTTTGTTGGCTAAAGAACAATTTTAAGAGAAAATGAACATTTTAAATGTGATTTACAATTTGTGATTTCAGGTTCTGTAAACTATAGTTATGAAATCTACATTATATCATTAAGCTTTAATATTATATATTTCTTGAGTATGAGATGTAAAGAACATTTGATTTTTTACGAAACGAATTGAAACTAATGATTGTTGCAAACTAAGGTTCTTTCAATACAAACTATAGACCTTCTCTGCCTCAATGATTTCAAGATGATTCAATTAAGTTTAAACTTAATACCGCTACTGATATAAAGATCTCAAAGTAAACGATAGATTGAAAAATAAAAACTAGATGCAACATGCAATAATTTCTGCGCTTCAGAGATTACTAATAAAGATATTTCAATATTTATATAGACATCCATCACATGTTAATATCTATGTCACTAGGTATCTTACAATATCTTAAATCCTTTCTGATCCTAATCAGTTTTCTACTCTAGAAAATAAAAATATACGTCTAAGAACTATTTTGAGGTCAAAAACTTGCAGCAGAAATAATCTTATCTAATCAAAGTTTGCGCATTTCATTTCGACAGAATTGAGATCAAAACAGAGATATAAAACGTGTTATTGCCCTTAGGTATTTTTATGCCAAGTCTCATTTAGATAATGAAGTTGATAAAAAGTTCATAGAAAAATTATCAGAAGCAAGTGTACAAAAATTTTAGCTGTTATCAAGAAATTTTTCTCCTGGCAACTCAAGCTACTCAAAAATACTGTAAGAGCGTGTACTCGTGTATTTTCTTCTTCTTGTCGATTACATATGAAGCTCTCGAGTCGTCGACATGTGTATAATCATTGAATTTAAATGAAAAGAAGAAAAATTGTCTCCGAATTTTACTGATCGTATTTATTTACTCACGAAATATTGAAGGAAATTGTATTCTAGATAATAATTGAAGGATTGATTCCAAGGTTCACAAGTGATAATCCCAAAAAGTAAATCAGGTTTACAATAACAAAAACAAAATTAATTCAGCTTTAAATCTCAGAAGGTGCTTTTGTTATCAGTTTTAAATTGCGAAACAGAAACAAAAAAGCATTCTCGAATTCATTTTTACCACGATTCGTTCCATTGACTTATGTGTGTACTCATATAGACACGTGTTACTGTAACTTCAATATGAATTAATAAAGCAACTTTAACATTCATTTTGAGATCGTTTGGATGTTATGGATCATCCAATGTAGCTATTTAAGATACTCAATCCCCTAATTCGTATAGAATGCATGTAGACCCTTTCTCGCCTTTGCATTACGTAACATGCGAATGATTTCATTATGTCTGGTGATTTATCGAGCATGCAACTATAAAATTTTAATCATACTGCAATAAACTGTTAAAACGAACCTCGAATAAACTTCAAATCATTAATAATCTTGCCTAGAACGCTAAGAAATCCCACAAATGCTCATAATACGTATTATCTGTGTCACGGTGGCACTAGACTTCTATCTCATTTACGGAAGCACTTTTTAATGCCAAGAATAATAAATTTTTCAATGTTACATAATTACTGATAGTGCCAATCTCGCGCAAATAAATTTATGAGTTCATTATTTTTGTACTGCTCACATTCTTTCGTAATGCTTTTCTTCTTTATTTCTCTTCTTATTTCAAGTTCAAGCACAATCGTTTTATAACTTTTTTTTTCTCTTCTTGATCTGCAATTATCATCGCTACACATTTTAACACCATATTATTGCGTTTTTCCTCATTCCTTAACAATAAACTGTGCGTAAAATATGAATAAAATTAAGTGCTTGCATTCCATCTCCATAAATTGCTATCTTTGAGTTGTCGCGATTAATATGATGAGTTTCTAATTAATTCATGGTGTTGACAACATCTTTTCATGTTTATTCCATGCATCAGTAAAGTGTTAAAATTATATAGAAAACTGATTTGCTTTCAATATAACTTTTAACCATTGAACAGAAATTTAAAATTCAAATTCAAAAATTTAATGACAAATTCAAGCTGAGATAACTTTGAACTTTTAATCTAAACCAAAACCAATGAAATTAAAGCTAATCCAATTGTTAAAATAAATAGTTCTCACTTATGATGCTAAGATTTTTATCTTAAAATCCTGTTTTTCTCAATTTCAACAGTTTTAAGAGTCTCATTAAAGTTTTGAAAGACTAGAAGATTGAGATTCAAAGTTCCATTGCCTTACAAAATGTAAACAAAACGAAAAAATGGAAAAACAAAAAAGTAAATCAGTGAATTAATTAAATTAAAGAGCTTCAATGACTTCTATAATTGTGAAAAGGTAAGCAAAATAGTGACTTTTATTGAAAAATCAACAAGCTATGGTGTATGGGTATGTAGTGATCATTAAATTTCAATATTAAAATAGTTTGTAGCTAGAATTGATTGTTTACAAATATTTTCTCCTTTCCTTATTAATATTTACTACCTTCTAAATGCAAAATTGCAGCAATGATAAGAAGTATCACTAATCATATACTTTCATTTAACTTTTTTATTTGTGAACCGCTGTAAGCATTTAATAGAAAATTATGATTTTTTTCTTGCTTCGTCGCGCGATCGAAAGCAAAAGTTTTATGAACTTTAATTCTATTAATTCACGGTAAATGATTAATGGTTTTGTGCCATGATCAAATGAATGCGTCTTGTTTCGTTAATTATTTATACTTTTCTTATCTTTCTGCCAATTTTACTAAATTCGTATTTTGGGAATGAAAGTTTGTTTCTTTTTTGGTGAATTAAAGTATTGGGCGTGTTTAAGTCTATCAAATTACACTAATTGTGAGAACATTATCTTATAACTGCGTAATTTCTTTGTTTATGTGGTTAAGGAAAATTCTCATCTCATATTATGAACCATCATTATCAGACAATTTGAAGCATGCTGTGTCTACTTGTCGCTCACTGTATAGACATCATGTATTGGAGTCTCTATGACGAGAAGAAATGAAAGAAGAAAGAAAACTTTTTCTTTGATTTTGCCATTTCTCTCTTAATTTTTCTTTCTATTCCACTGTTTCGAGACGGATGGGAAAACTATATTAGTAGGGTAGAGAGTGTGAAAGAGTCTCAGTCGATATTCAACAGTAGAATTGTTTAGATTGTTCAGTGAAGTGACTTGAAGTATTTAAAGTATAGCAACAGTATTATGACAATTTAAGGATCTGATTAAATTTTGTGAAAGTTAAATAAAATATCTGTGATGGCAACGCCAAGACAAAAACTATTTTTATGTGTAAATATCCTTTCGATCATACAAGTAAGTCTTTTAGAGACAGTGCATTTTACAAACTCACCCAGAAAAATACTCAAAGCTAATAATTATACGACATATAAAGTGGAAGTTCCAAATGGTGACCCAATCACAATAATTGAAGCTAATACACCTTTAATTAATAAGAAAATCAAGTTCAATCAGGTAGATAATGCAGCAAAATACTCAATACATCATGATAGAAACAAGCAAGTGGTGGATCTAGAAACTTCGTTAAGCATGACAGTTACTCCAAATAATTATCACGATGAGTATGAAAATTCAGCTGCGGCGAGCGAAGAAGAAAGTGTTACAAATGTTTATAGTAATCTGTCACCAGAACGTCATCGTAACAGAAATACAATGAAAACAGTCTATTCGCCTGAACTTTTACAAAAATTTCTAAAGGATTATGCAAACAAAATTCATACATCATCTTCGTCGTCATCGTCGAGTAATGAGGCAGCTATTCCAAATTACACAGATAATGATCGAAGGTTTGAGCAACTCGAACATGCAAGTGGTAGCATTGAATTGAATCCAAATAGTAATGAAGGAAGTAAAGGTGACAAATATGCTTCGATTGAGACAGATGACGACACAGGAACAGCAGAAGATGGAAATCGACGAGTATCAAGTGCAAGTGAAGATGATAAAAATGATTCAGAAGATCTTAACGATATTCAACAGCGGAAAAATTATCGACCAAATGGAAATTATAATGGTAACCATCCATATAATCAGAATAATGGTTGGGTCACATTAGATGCTGTTCCATGGAGTAAAAGTAAAGTAAGCAAATGGCAGAGTCATAACGCAAATAAGTATGGAAGTCAGGGCAATTACAATTACCCTAATTATCAAAATAGTAATAATAATAATCAGCAGAGACCTCCATATCGTCCCACAAATGATTATGATTTTGATTACAATGGAAATAATAATAATAATGATGATTACTATTTGCCACCAAAACCAAGTCGTCCAACTTATCATAATAATCAGTTTTATGGTGGAGGACAGCAGAATCAAAATCAACCAAGCCATAGACCACCTCAAGATAATTTTTACCAATCATCTTCAGGACACCATCAAACTTCTTCAGTTTATAATTTTGAAAGACCAGAAAATCCTCAGAGACCATACCAGCCAGAAATAATAACAGATAATCGTCCATCAAATTTCCCACCACATCACTCACAAGAAGAACCGTATCCAAATCAGAATCAAAATAGTTACAGCAATAGACCATCGTATAATCGTCCGCAACAAAACGATTATAGTCATCATGGAGGAAATTACTATGCATATAAAGAAAACAAACATCCACCAACTTATCCTGTTAATGGTAATTCAAATTATATTTGAAGCTTTAAATAAAAAGACAAACTGAATGTATATATTTCTAGGGGATGGAGAATGGGTTTTAGTTTCAACAACAAAAGGTAGATGAATGTGCATCCTAAAAAAGCTTTAATAAAAAAATTCATGAATATTTCTAGGATATCAATTCCCAAAACGAAATGGTCAACGTGCTATGTCTTTCTTAGCAACGAATGGTGTTAATAGTGATTCTAAATATACTGATAATAAAGGAATCATTACAGCTGAATCTCAAAAAGTTGAAACATTTATCAGACCACATCGTCGAACTGGACCTACAAAAATGTCACAGCAACAAGTCAAATTGACAGTACTGCCACTTTATGTGAATGAGCCTGGAACAAATTACCAAAATAATGAAAATGATGTAAAAATGGATGTTTTCAGACCTTCAGCATATAATGGATTGATTGAAACTGATCAAGGTAGTCAAACTGTGGAAGAAAGTGTAGCTAATGAATCAAATGCAAATGCAGTCTCAGCAAAACCTGTAAATAAGCCGAAGAAAAAGCGAAAAGTACTGAAAAATTACCTGATGCGTAAAAATGCTGGTAGTTCTGATAGTAGCGCTGTGATTGCTGCAGTCGGTGCATCATTATTACCTGCGTCGCTCGGATTAATAGCGCCCATGGTTCTAGGCAAATAGTAAATTAAGTTGTTATGTGAAAGTGAAAGTATTATAAATTATTTAATTTTATACTTAATTTATTTTTCTCTTTTTTTTATAAAAATTACCATTAATTTATACCAAATACAATAAAAATGTGAAATGGAAATTTAAAGAAATTTAAGAATCTTGTTTTTCATTCAGTAAAAGCTTCAGTTTCATATCTCTAGTCACATTAAATCACTGATTATTCTCTCGTTCTATTCTATTATTATTAAATTTGATTGGGAATGTTTAAAAATTAAGGATATCCTTGAGATAAAATGATGATATTGAAAATTTTCACTAAATATTCAGCTAAAGCAAATAATTAATGGAAATTTTTTGTTTACTCATATGTCATCGTCAAGAATGTACGATAAATATTTCGTTGCTTAACGTTCAAAGATTTTCAACCTTTTTGCGCTGTAGCTTACTCGATTTTCTACTCATATCTGTAGAATTTGTAGAATTCTTATATGGATTGAATAATGGAGATGCATGAACACGTGCTTCAACACCTCTCAGATACTCTTGGAATGCAAGCGTGGCATTTTGTAAGAAATTCAAACCCAATCGCAATTTTAATTCAACTATTCTACGGAATAAATTGAAAATGTTATTTTGTCCCGGACTGATATCATAAGTAGGTGTTGATGTCGAAAATGTTGTTTCTTCTGCTTTATCAGCTTCAATCGTTGTGTCATTTTCTAATTCATGGGTGGCAGATTCGTGTGATAATGTTGTCGTTACGATTTCTGTTTCTGCTTCTGTATCACGCTTAGGTTTTTCAACACGCTCGTCTTCGTCAATTTCATTATTGTCTAAACTCTTAGCTGCAGGCTTTTTTGACGCTTCACGCTTTCTTCGGCGACGGGGTCCGTGCTCAGGAACACTACCTGCAGCATTTTCTTCAAAATTATCAGCAATTACAGAGCCGACAACAAATTTCTTTTGATTTTGACTTAAAATAGCATTAGCAATTGAATTTTGATACTCCTCGTCAAGATTTGGCATTTTAAGTGCTTCCGGTGTTGGTAAAGGTGACTCCTCTTCTTGTTCATGTTCATGATCATGATCATTCTCATTTTTGTGATTTGTTGGAACCGATTGTGCATTAATTATTGTGACTTTCTCAGATCTTTCCGACTCCATTGGTTGGACATATTGAGGTTGCGGTTTTGATTCAATTTCCTGCATTTTTTGCTGATCGATAGTTATTTGTGATGCCGGTGATGGCTCATCATCATGTTGTGGAAAGTAACTTTGTGCAATTTCATCGTAGTCCATACTATAAGGTGATGATGATGGTTCACTTGTTGTCATATCGACAGAGTCAATATTAAATTTTTGAGCACTCTCAGCTGCTTGAATTGCCTGAGGACCGTAATTGTTTGACTTTGGTTGAACTTGTTGCGGATAATATTGATTTTTTGGATATGAATTATAATATGGATCTGCTGCTCGATATCTTAAATATTGCTGTTGTTGAGATTGAGCCTGTGGTTGAATTGGTTGCTGCTGAATTTGTTGTTGAGCTATTTGCTGCTGATATTGTTGTTGTTTAAGCTGCTGAGCTGCTTGTTGTGGTGCAATTCCATACTTGTTTATTTGTTGAGGCTGTTGACCATATTGTGGACCGGGATATGATGGATATTGCTGATTTTTAACATGATAAGAATTGACACGAATGTTGTTTCTGTATGGTGAATTTTCAGGCATTCCAGCAATAACTTTACCAAACATTTCACCTTCATCTTGCATATTTCCAAAGTCATCTGATCTATCCAATATACCAACATCGTCACGTCTACTTGCAATATCATATGATCGTCTTAATGCAGTTAACGGTCCACCGAGGAAGTAAGTAGCGAGACCAGCAGTAACAACTAATCCAACTAGACCTACACCAACAGTTGGCATGACTTCTCTGGCTAGATAATTGTAAATTTGAGTAGTAATTGGTTTTTCTGGTTTCTTGTTATTCGATACTTTTGTCAAATCTGTCTTTTTGTCTGACTTCTTCTTGATCTTGGTTGTGCTATTAGTACCAGCAGCAACTGAGGCTGCGATCTTCTTCTTCTTATTTTTTGGTGATGCAGTAGTCTTTCCTGCAGCTTTCTTTGATTGAACTGACTTAGATGGTGATCGATCATTAGGCAAATTGAATTCATCATCCTTAGCTTCCATAATGAGATAAGTCGATGTTTCAACAAATTCTGGTTCATCTTTCTCGTCATCAATAACCATCGAATCATCAATAATTACTTTTTCTTCTTTTTGACTCTCCTTTTTCTTCGATGCAGCTGTTGTCAATTCAACGGTCGTGGTTGCAACTGTAGTGGTAGTCTTTGCTTGTGTTGTTTTTGGACGCTGCGTAGTAAATTTCTTGGTTTTTGTAGTCAATGGAACTTTCTTTGTTGTCGAAATTGTTGTTGGCTCTTCTGTAACAATTGGTGTTACCTTGACTCGAGTAGCTAATTTGTTATTTGTGTACTTGACCGTTGTTTTGGTTGATTTTGGACTTTGCGTAGCGGTAGTTCGCTTCTTAGTAGTTTGTGTAGAATTTGCACTACTAATGTTATTCTTTACGACAGGCTTTTTACTGTCATTATCAACTCGATAAGCAGGCTTGTTTACTTCCGAACGGCTAGTTGTTGTTGGATTATTGCTGCCACTTAATAAAATCCATGTGCTAATGCCTTCTTTTGGTGTCGATGATTCTATTGAAATCTTCTTCTTGGCCTTGGTTAAAAGATCTTTTTCTCGTGCTAGTTCTTTCTCATAATCTTCTAAGGACAATGGTACTGCAACGCCATGATGGAATGATTCTTTTAGTGTTATTTCGCTGTTGACATTGCCTGACGTCAATTGTAATTTAGTATCAGCTTTTAACTCACGATTCTCGTCAGCAGGTTTATCTTCGGCTTCATATCTATATTTTTTTAAAAAAAATAAATGCAAAAGTTTATAAACAGCCATGATTTTTTTTTATAGACTCGACAGAAAAAGTTGTAAACAATATTATTTTAGCGATTGAATAATCGTATGTTAGTACCCAATTTTGTGCTTTTGCACGATTATTTTGTAAACAAGATACAAAAATGTATTAATAGAATTAAGCCTTTCCTTAGGTATTCTTACTAATTTCATTAGTACGACACAACAGATATGAAAAGAGTAAGTGACCTAGCACAACATCTTATAAATAATAATACAATAATAATGAAAGTTCCTTGAGAAATTAGTCATAGTAAAAAATTGTTGTTTTTATATTGACAAAGTTCAACGACTTACTAAGTTTCATAACAAGTTTACCCAATCGTCTACATGCTGATCAAAAAACCTCTAAATTAAAAAGCTTTTTACAGACCCATACGATCGCATCAATTTCAACGAATATGAGATAAAAACATAAGAAACGATAGCGAGGAATTTTCCGTAAACATTGCAGCTTGAAAAATCCAAACACGCATAAATGAAAAAGTCACGTAAACACGCTTCTGTGAGTGATTCTCTTGCCTTGCCTCTCCCTCTGATATTTTTCTCTCTTTAATGACCTTATTATGTTTTGAGTCTCGATATTGCGTATTAATCTTGACGCATAGATTAAATTGATGTAGACTGATCTTCATGACATTTTAGAATTTTCAAGGTTAGGGTTTTGGGGTGGGGTAGATAACAACTAGCTTTGAAGAACGGTAAATTTATAAATTCATTGTACTTTAAGTTGAAGTAAACAAAGTCATTAAAAAAGAGAATGTAAAAAATTTTAATGAACAGCACGAAGAAGCACAAAGAGGAACTGCGCAAAAACAAGAAATGTGGCGCTCTAGAAATCTATGCGATCCGTTATAAAGAAGTTAAAAATCAAAACAAGCGCGGTGAGAGAAAAAAGTATCTATTATTAAAAAATAAGTAGATTTCAGTCGATTTTTCTACGTGACTCAGTGCAGACATAGAAAATTGAGTGCAAGATATAAATAAAATTTTCATTTCTTATTGAAAAGAGAATCAAAGAGTAAAAAAAAGAAAACAAGTGAAAAGCCTTAAAAACTTTTTTTGGTCAAGAACCTGAAAATCAATCAAATTTATTAGTGTAGTCTTTTATCAGATTTAGTGACTGTTAAATGTGTGAAATGAAACATAATTCACACATTAATCACTTACGATCACAACTTGATTTTCGAAGCTTCTCCGTCTCATTCTTTGAGGATTTCTACATTATTAATAGTGAAAATTTAAATTATTCTGACAAAGTCAAGCGTGTTTAAGATTTTCGAAGGTAAATTAGTGCTGCGTTCTTACAGTTTTAATCAATTGCGTAACTTTAAAATTTTAAAATAAATAAGCAAGAAGAAAAATTATTTTTTGAGTCTATGCTTAAAATTCATTTTTGTTTCTGTAAAGAGGCAGAATAACATTGGCTTATTTGTATTAGTGATGTGAATGAGGTTTTTATTATTTTCCTCTTCTTCTTCTTCTCCGTGTGTATATATCCATTTTTTGCATATTTTAATGAAAACAGAGAAGATTCAGCAATTGTATATTTTTTTTAAAATTTTATAAATAAAGTGAAAAATCTTCAACGCACTGTCCAATAAATTTTTACATCGTAATACTCCCGAGCAGCACAACTGTCATGTGGCAAATTTAATTGTTTGTTGACAGAGCGTTGTCAGGTCTAGAATCTTAATTACTGTGACTGAAATGCATGCAATACTGTGAGTCAGCACCTGTGCTGCGTATGTTACAGTCTTGGTGCTCAATAACTCTGCTGCATATATTTCAGCACTAGTTCCACTTCTTTATCAGAGTACATCCTAGCTTTATCTAGAAGTATTAGGGATAATGATCTGTGCCACTCGGGATAATGTTATGAACATGTGAAAAGATAAGGCACAAAAACCGCATTATGAAAGGGAAAGGAGAAATATATTTCAAAAAAAGTTTATTTTCGTCTACTGCCGGCTTCTCTAATAATAACTATTCCACGACCATCACTCTTCGTTTTGCCTCTATATGTCAAATTATTTATCTCGTCTCATTCTTTTGTAGTTAAAAGAGCAAGTAAACGTTGCACCTACGCACGTTTTCAATATTTTTTTGTTCGTCGACCAAAGATCGACAACCAAAGTCACATCCCATCGAAGTGATAAAATTTTTTATTTTATTCACCACCCTAAAACCAATTAGTCTACTCAGGACATCTTAAAAGTCATTACTTGTACTTTAAACAGTAATAAAGCAACGCAAGATTAATAGAAAGTTAAGAGATATTTTTTTCGTGAATTATGGAACGTCAAGAGCAAAAAATATCGTGGCTCAGCAATCTAAAAGCACCAATGGTAATAATCGACATAGATTAGCTTTCAATAAATATTTATTTATCGTGTTTACACCTTTTTTTCTTCTCCTTTCCATTTCCTTACTACGATAATAAATATATTAGGCCGGTGCTTTTAGTGGTTGTGTGACTAGAGCCATCACTCAACCTTTGGATTGTTCCAAAGTACGTTTACAATTGCAAGTTGAACCTGTTGCCAATGTTGCTGGCGCTAGATATACTGGAACTATCCAGACACTCATTGCAATATTTCGAGACGAAGGAGTTTTTGGATTATGGAAGGGTCATATTCCTGCACAATTACTCAGTGTCTTTTATGGACTCGGCCAGTTTGCTGCTTATGATCAGTTAAACTCAGCCGGTCGACATGTTAAGTTACTTAATGAACATTCTGATACGCGTCATTTTATTTGTGGTGGTATCGCTGGAGCCGTTGGAAATACTGTCTCAACACCATTCGATGTTATAAGAACGAGAATCATTGCACAAGATCATGGACGTGGATATTCATCAATGCGTGATGGGTTGAGATTAATTTTTGTCAATGAGGGTGTTCGTGGATTATTCAGAGGCTTGGGACCCTCAGTCTTACAAGTCGCACCGTTAACAGCGATACAATTCTGGGCTTACAATGTAGTCATAGAGACTGTATTAGATTACACGAAATCTGAGTATGTTAATCATTATCCTTATTTCATCGTTATCTCTATCATTAACATTACCAATTATCGTTCCAGTCGTGCAACACCCCATTTAATTCTATTTGCTGGCGCTATTGGTGGTATAGTATCAAAGACAGCTGTCTATCCACTTGATCTGTGCAAAAAGCGATTACAAATTCAAAAATTCCAAAACTCTCGCACAACATATGGTGAACATTTCATTTGTAAAGGTCTTTGTGACTGTTTGGCTAGAACCATCAGCAGAGAAGGTTATAGAGGTAAAGTATCGATGTCTTTTATCACGTACACTTTATATGCAACTCTTTTATTGCGCATTTACCCTCAAGTTGACATACGTGATTATGTATTCGTTTGACGCGCTAACTATTTAGTTCATCTTTAATCAGGGTTGTTATCAAAGTGACTTTTCGCGTACGATAAAAGATGTTTTGTCATTCATATTGGAAATTGACTGGATTTTATCTATACTTGATCTTTTTTTTTTGTGACATCTTTCCAATAAGACTTATCATTGTTTACCTTCAATTCTATTTTTGAAATGCTAATAAATGGTGTTTCGACAGACATGCTTTAGAAGTGATTTATGGAAGGGGTTCGATCGAATATGATGACGAAAGTCGTACTTGATTTTTATGAATCTATTCTGAACTTAGAAATAGGTTTTTTGAAATCCATCGAATAATTTTTGGAATTTTTAAGGGGGGAACTAGCATTTAGACATTACATGCAAACAATCCCTAGCATCTGATTGCCAAAAAAGCTCTAATTATTGAAAGCTTCACATGCGTGAAGATTTATCGACAAGTAAATAATAGCTAATATATTTGTAGATGTCAAGAATACCGTTAAATTCTATTCAGGCATAAGAAGCGTGAAAAACTGTTTTTGTTGATCAACCGCGAATGAAAATGCGTTATTACGGATGATGATTCATTTGTTTACACTCAGTCTAAATCTTATCTTTTAATTTTTTCTTATTCTAGGCTTGTTCAAAGGACTCTTGCCATCAGTCATTAAGTCCGGTATTGCAACGGCTCTTCACTTTTTCATGTACGAAGAACTTCTAAGTATTCTGGTTCGTGTTCAAATTTAGAAATGAAAAAACATTATCGAATATTATTTGACATACACTTATGCACACACAGTATCGATATCATTTTTCACAATAAGAAATAACAGAAAAAATAATAAGTAGCCCGTAAAAGAATCAGAGAATTAAAAAGTATACAACAATTTTGAATTAACAATTATCATAAGGAACAAGCGAAAAAAATAATAATAATTTAATGATAAGGAACTACTGTTAACGTGTGACATGAACTGACGAGAATAGCTTGTTTGAATTTTGTATGCTTTTTGAGAGCATTTTATCATTTAGAATGCTGCATGATTAATTTAAATTGTGACTCTATATTATATTCGAATGAAAATATTACATTAAAGATAATTCTGACAAAAAAAACAGTTGTAGCATGAATGAATAATGCTCATATTATGAGGAAGTCTTATTTGTAGATCAGGGAGTGCCAATTGAATTTAGTTGGGGAAAGAGAAAGTTTTCTGAATCCTGTTTTCAATGCTGAATTTTATAAACACAATGAGAAGAAAGTTTGATTTGAAACTCAGAGAATTGCTGAAGGTAGTTGACTTGTATGTAGGCTAGTATGGAAATATTGAATATTCTTAGCTGTTTGTGGCTTGATGAACCATTGATTAGGCATTAGAAATTAGGGAGATTTGCTTAAATCTTTCAAACAATCAGGACAGTCCTTAAGTCACATGCCTTGTGAATCAGCACTTACATGGAATTTGCTAATTCTACTTTCAACAGCAGTTTCTGGATCATTATTTGACATACTTTAAATTCGACAAATACTTGCATCATCAAAAAATATTAAAAATATTCCAGTGCATTGAAATTTGAGCATAAAATAGTCAAATTAGTGACAAATCGATCAATTTTCATGTCAATTAAAATACACGCGATACTTCAGTCTGGGAAATTGAGTAAGATGAATCAATTGGCACTCCTTGACATACATTCTTTGCAATATTTTCGATCTCATGATAAATTCTAAATTGTCAAAGAATTAACTTCTGTTACATGATTATTATTAAAATGCCGTGTGTTGATTAATTTATATCCTTAAATTTTCTTAGTTTTTAATTCCTACCTCGACCTTATTTATTTAAAAACTATTAAACATCATCAAAACAAAAAAAATTATTAGTTTCGACTTGCACTTGACTGACGTTCTGAACCTAAACAGTCACTCTGAAAAATTATTATCAGCAACAAAAGATAGAAATAACATTGAAAGTGAGTGAAATAATTTATCATATTCGAAAATCAATAGTCCTTAAATAAGTTGTGATATATGTTAAAAAATATATATGAAGAAGATTATTATTCTTGACTCATTAAGCTGTCAAATTCATATCCCAAAGTGGGAGAAAAATAAACTCTTTTTGTAAAATGTGAAGAAGAAAATTGGATACAAACAAAATAATAATAATAACAATGGCAATACATTGAGGGTATAAAAAAAGAATCGAAGAGGATCATGAAATGAGCATGTGAAATTTGGCGACTGAACTTTTACACAGAATACTATTTCGAATTTTTGAAATATGTAAGACTTTTTGAATGTATTACGGTCAAAAGCTGATTGACATAAATAAGAATGGATAAGAAGTAATGAGAATGAGATCTGTGTCGGGATTCTTGGGTACTATTGAGGTGAATGTGACAAAAGTCAAGATATCTTCAGCACTCTGTAACGCTTAGCAGTTCATTAAGACATCGTAGTAATGTCCTGGCAACTAGTATACTTATAATACTATTGTATTCTTAGAATGTATCTGGATGTTGTCAAGCTATATCCTAATTGTATCATTGATGTGTAATTCTTCATAAATCCATGACACAATGTAGATATATACTCGAAATTTACTTTCAGATGCATCCTAAACACATACTAGGTATTACCACAACACAGGTACAACCTAAGTTTACCTTGATTATACCCAAGAAACCTACCATCAGATTTGAGATAGAATTTAAGCTGATTTAATAAGATTATTTGTGTATCTTCGACTTAATAAAATTAATCGATTTTCTCTACAAAAATTACTAAATTAAATTAAAATGTTTTTCGAGAAATGGACGTAATTAAGCGAGTAAATTTCAATTAGATAATAATTAGACACAATAATTAATCCGCGTTTGTTATTCAGATAGATACGCAAGCCTAGATAATCAAACAACTTTGTTTTTCTTGTCGAAGCACAAAATAAAAATGTTCAAACTAGGTCGGTGCGCTGTACGAGTAACAATTTCGCGTGTCATCAAAATTTTGTCCAAAAATAAGGTAAATTTAAAATGGATTTATCTTGAATGGCGCATCATGGGATTAGTAAATTAATCAATTTAATTATGAGATAGCGTGTTAATTATGATTTTTTCTTATAAGTTGGCGCCAATTACGTTGTTATTGGATGATTATTGTATTCACATTACCAGTTGATCTATTGCTAATTGCAAGATATTTTAGTTCGTGTGTTTTATTAGGTTTTAGTAATGCAAGGAGTTTGGAGGGTTGAAAGTAAGACTGGAGATTTAAAATTCAATTCGGAAGCAAAAATAAATTCAAATGAATTATTTATTTTTGAATCCGTATGATTGTTTACGCCTAATTTGTTTCAATATAATAAGAATCCATTGGTTTTATAGATTAAAATTAATAGATCTACAATTCCAAGGCTCAGTCTAATTTTCAACTTTAAATAACCCACAATTGGCTATCAAAACTTCTATAAATCAATGGAATCACATCCAGTGAATTTTCCTTCCGAATCGGGAACACTACAATGTATGCGATATAAATTTACCTCTAAAGAGAATAGCCAGCCCAGATCAAAGTGCGAATATCACTTTTTTGGAGTAAATAAGCCTTTCTATAATTCGCGAATATATTAAAAATGGAATTTATAAGCAAATAAGTCGATGAGATATGCTTAAATTATTTCGGCTGTAGATGATAGGAAATAAAAAATCTTTTTTATACTTAACAGGAATATTGAAAAATTTAAAAAGTAAGTCCCCAGTTCACATCCAATAATAATAAAAATTAAATTTATCATCAAAATGCAATTTTCTTCTTTTAAAGATGTATGCTAAGCTAAGAAACTTATTATATATTGTACCAAAACTTTTTCTTTATCGAAAAGAAGTTTAAAGAATAATAATAATAATATTAATAATAAAAAAGAAAAAAAAGCTGAATGAAGCCATGTTTATTGAATACCAATGCATTAATTAATTCTGTTAACTGTTTATCTACATTTACAATCATCCACACACAGGTATTAGTCACATTTAAATTATTTATTAATGCTATAAGCTTTTATTTCATTCTACAAACTAATGGAAAGAATCCACAACAACAACAACAATGAGAAAAGCTTTTTACATCTACAGATTAATTAATTCTAGTTGAAGCATCTAGAGAGTATTTTTTTCCAATTAAGTAAAATTTTGGGGTCGTTCGTCAATAACGTTTATTTTTTGATGGGGTCTAGTTTAATCATAAAACTTGTTTCTGGCAACAATCGTTCTAGATGCCAAAGCATTGCCAACTCATAACCTCGTTAACAAAATTGGGAGCTTTGACACCCCTAAACCATAAGTTAACCCGAATAAGCACCAGCCAGCAAATTATCTACCACCACAAATAATGAACGCCATTAAAGCACAACCCCAAAGATTAAAATAGCAACAATTCATCAACCAAAAACAACAACAAACTCAATAAATTGGAATAGATGGCACTTGAATGCTTTGTTCACGATTTATTAGTACCTACCTACTTTCGGAAAGTCAATTTACACACACACAAGAATTATGGAGATGGATGGATGAAAAAGAACGGAAGTTTTAATTCTTTAAAGAAGTTTATACTTGAATGGATTTTGTTTACGGCTTTTATGCTTATACATGCTTGATTTTCTCTTATATGGTCCACCTTCATGAGCTGATGGGAAGTAACTATCAACTGGTGGTTCTCCATAAGATTGTTTGCCTGTACTTGTATGCCAAGGAGGTGCATATTCCATTACAGGAGATTCATGTACCATAGGAGGAGGTGGAGGTTTTGGCGGTGCTTTTGGTGCTGGATGATGATGAGAATAGTGAGAATAGACGAGTTTATGAAGTGCTGGAACATGCTTATGAAAATGTTCAATTTTAATTGGAATCGCTTCATGATTAATCTTGTTCTTAATAATAATTTCATGTGGTTTGTGATATTCATGTCCACCGCCATGATGATGATGAATTTGTGCATGATGATGATGTCCTCCTTCATGATGATGATGTTTTTCATGCTCATGTTTATCATGTTTCAAAAATTTATACATTACAAAGCACATCCCACCGAGTGTTATAGCAGCAACAGGTGACAACAACATTCCCCAAACACCAAAATTTAACGGATTAAAGACTGCCATCATTGTAAGAACTGACCATGCCATTGATCCAAAATCTGTTCCTTCTTCTTCAAGTTCGCCTTGCTTTTTCTTATTCTTCTTCTTTTTTTTATTACCAGCTTGTCCAATTTTTGTGGTTCCAGTTGTAATTGCAGTTGCAGGTAAGTCTATAATATCAGGTTCTGTCTCAATTTGATGACTTAAATTCTCATAAAGCTCTCCTTCATCTGGGAGTTCTTCATATTTATCATTTGTGGGTACTTCATAGTCAGCTGTCGATGACTGTAGATTTGAATTTTCAATCTTATTGTCTATAAAAATATTAAGTCCTTTACATTGCTCCATACTGTCTATAGTTGTTGTGTATTTATTTCCTAATTTTATTCGAACATTTTTACAATAATCCTTCAAAGATTCATAGCTACTAGGTCTGTTAAGCAACAGAAGATCATTAATTGTTGGTTTACTTGGAGCTAAAGGCTTAATTGCAGTTAAAGGCTTTTTGATTGAAGAAATTGGTTTTATTGTAGACATATGCTGTTGCTGATGAAGCAATTGCTGCCCTACAATTGTTGGTAAGTTATCGAAACTAGTAACTGATGTTACAAATGGTTTTGGAGGTGGAAACTGTGGCTGCTGTTGTTGTTGATATTTAAGTTGCTGTATGTAAGCACTTTGAACTATCTGATTCTTTAATTCATTAAGTTGAGCTTGTTGTGCTGGAATAATCGGCTCATGGCCGTAATTAAATACCTCACTAGGATTATCAGACCATTTGGATATGATTTTATGTATCACAGGCTTCTTACGAGTCGTTAATAATGTAGACTCGCTAGTATCTTCCAGATTATAATTAGACCAACCACCAATCTGTGAATTACCATTTAATTGAACGTATGCTCGATTTGTTGTCGGCAATTCTGTAAAGTGTGGATACGTTGCGTCCGCATCAACAAAAACGAGCGGTTTCGACGATGAATTTGATGTTGTTGGCGATGAAATTGTTGCAATTGGAATCGATAATTTATCATGAGCAACAGATGTTATATTTTTAACAAAATCATTAAGTGTAAGATGGTTAATATTACTAGAACTACTATCACTACTTATAATATAATTAAGATTAAGTTCATCATTATCTTTTTTCATACTCTCATCTACTGTTATGTTAGGCATTTTATTGTTAATTTTATGACTATTAAGGGTATGCTTTGTTATAAGATTATCATAATTGTTAGCATATTTCATTTTAGCATTAGTTGGTTTAGTAGTCTGCAAACTTTGACTTGCTAAATACCTGCTTGTTGTCGTGGGAACATGCGATGTTGCGATTGAATCGCTAACTGGAACTTTTTCCGCAGTCTTTGTAATGATTTTCTTTGTTACAATTTCTATTGGAGAATCTGTTACAATTACTGTCGGTCGTTCTGTAAGGTTTGTTGTCTCTTTGAGACTTTTCAATGTTGATATCTCTTGTGCATTGTCATCAGCAGGTCGCGCTGATATTCCAAGGATAAGAATTAATGTGAGCAATAACAACTTCCAGTTCATCTTTGTGAGACACTTAAAATAGAACATGAAGAAAATAGAATTAATAATTATAAATAGAAAGAACGAGCGGTATAGCTTTATATCGGCTTTTTTTCCAGCCATAAATTATCCGATGCAGGCATAAATTTTCTTAATTATTAACATAATGCAATAAAAGCTTCAAAAGATCTCACACTTGAATGCATGAGGAGGCGAAAAGAAAACAATGAACTTGATGGTTGTTTTGATGATTTGATGATGCAACTTCTTTCACATCATAGCCGCTATCTACCTTCTTCAAAACCGTTTTTCTCATCTCAATTCAACTTCTTTGTGTAAATTTTTCTTTTAGCAAGTAAATTAAGTTTAATTTAATTCAAATAAAAAGTTACGTGAGCTGATTTAACTTATAGATTCTTTTTTATGGTGATTATGCCCATAAATCTGTTTACTTCATAAAAAAGCTTATTTTAAAAGCATCATCTTCGACGAAGAAAATCATGTTCTGAATAATTGAATTTGCTTTTGTTTTCTTTTAAGATCATTTCTTGACAGTGAGTTGAATTCAGAGTTGAGATCTTGCTGATCTTCTAAGTTTTAACTATTATCATTTGGGGTCGTTCACTTATGATCATTTTTTCAAAAAAGAACAATGGATTTTCAGGAATTTCTATTGTTCTATTCTTGCTGACCCCCCCCCCCCCTTCCCCCCCCTGGATGTCATAAGTGAACGGCCCCTTTGCTGAGCAGCCATTTCAACATTACAAACAGAAAATTGCGATAGTAAGCCTCTCTAAACTTAAATATATATTTCTGATTCTAGTCAGGCATAAATAAACTAAGTCATTGTCTAATTCAAATTAAAACAATCTTTACAATTCTCTGCATCTCTTTAAACAACTCTGATCTCAACAGTGATGATGTCTTGCTGCTTACTGATTTATTTAGAGGTCAGACAGGTTACACCGATTTAGAATGGATAATTTGATTTGTGAGTTATGGCTTGACTCCTTACAATTCAGGAACAATTCAAATGTTTTATGGTCATAATTTAAATTCTCGATTTATTGCTTAAAAATTGAAAGAATTCGAGATTCTAATTTATTGGCCATAAATTTCTCCAGTTGAACTTACTGCTCCAGTTGAACTTAGCTGTATTGTCTTTAATGACAAATGAGAGAAAAAGATTCCAAAAGTGTTCAATAAGTCTACATTATATATCCATAAAAAGATATTTTACGTCACTGAATATAGAATACTTTACCGTTAGTCGGTAATCAGATTTGTAGCTATATCTTTCCTCTCCTTAACATTTTTAATATGCACACAGATCTTTTTTTTGTTGTTATGGAAATTCCACATAGAATTCAAGCATGAGGAAATATTAAGGTTGATTCTCACTTATAACTTAATTAAATATTCATTCTTGATTCTTTCCATTTCAACATTTATGAATTATTATGAGCACATAACCAAAGCCGGCTAGCTTTAAACGTGCAAAACTTCTTACTTTGAATTCCAAATTAGAAAATCTCATTGTTTCGTTCTTGCCTTACAGTCAGACAAAGACAATCAAAAGTCATTGATGTTCGATGGAAATAAGATGAAAATTAATTCCTGACCATGTTGTTGTGCCTCAATGCACCTTAATAGCTGCAAGAATAATCAACTCTCATTGTTAGAATTAAAATTTTCCCATTAAAAATGCTAATGGCACTTAAAAGTCAATTAGATGAAAGAAGTTGAGAGTGAAAACTAGACAAGCACATCCGAAATTATGAAAAGTTTCCCAAAAATTGTCAAAATTGATTATATCTTATTCACTGCACTATTTTTCGACATAATCACCTTCTTACATTATTCAGCTGATCGTAAAGAGTGAAACTTTTCTCTCAAAGTTCAGTGTACCTCCGTCGTCATCAAAAAATAGCGATAGAAGAAATGTAAATGATTTTTTTTTATTTATTTATATTTGTCGCATTTCTATCTTTCGTCTTTAAAACATAGTGAAACGAATGTTGTCATTAAAATAAAATCTGTGTCATAGAAAGAAGCATTTCTCTATCTTGTTTTGTTGCTTTACATGCTGTTTGTTTGTTGTTAAAGCTTTTTTTTTGCAATACATTGATTCAGATCAGGTGCGTAGGAAGGGAGGGGATATGAGCCAGTATGAGATGCCAGAATCATGATGGACTTGGAATTCTAGATTTTATAGTATTCGGAAGTCTAAAACTTGATGTTAAGACTCTGTCTATAGATGAGTGAGGTAGAGAAGCATTAAAAGGCTAGTTTCTAGGATTACATCGTTAGAACTGAATTCTGGTCCTTAATAGACTTTAGTTTGAATATTCAAAGCTTCTTTAAAAAACTTTTCTAAGTGGGAATCGAACCTGAACGTCTCTAAAGTTCACGATAACATACTTTTACTTCTAAGCTCTTGTTGACAGTTTCAAAGCTTGGCAGAATGTTAAGTTTAACTATTGACCTGATCTTATCAATTAGTTTAAGATTGCTGATGTCGTGGCTTAATATGAGATCCCCGAATAGCATGTCATTCCCTTTCTATCTACACTCTGGCATTATAACAACCCGATTTCTTCAAAAATCCCGACTACAACTCTTCTTCAGCAACAACTTAAAGACTAAATTCTTAAAATAGACGCACTTCTCGTGTGGGTTTACAAACGGAACATTGAGTGCTGTCTTACAAAAAAAGAAATTTCCCCTCGATTTCTTTGTGACTTACGCGTATTCTAATTAAAGCACATTATCGCTCAATTCAAAGCACCAAAAGCAGAATGAAACATATTCTTGTAATCACGTAAAATCTATGTAGCAACTACTTGTAAGTGTACAAAAGAAAATAGAGAATGATGACGGAAGACAATTGTCGTTCTTCATAATTCACAAGCATTAAGTTTGTCTCTTGTAATAGGAACAAGAAAAAGACGACGAGAAGAAATGTAAAAAAATTTCCTTTTTTAAAAAATCTCGGTCAATAATTAGCATAAGAGTGTTTAATTTTTAGTGCATATTTCTTCGGACAACGTGCTGAATATTATTGCGTTTTCTGTGACTGGATAGTGGATAAATAAAGAATCACGATTATTTGTTCAATAACAACATTTGAATGGGAATGAGAACTGTCTATCGTTGTATGTTATAATGCTGTTATGCAAGGTGGTAATGTAATGTGCTGGATAGACTTAAATGATTAGGAATTTAGAGTTTTAATTTGAAAATTCAAATCAAAACAAATGACAAAAAGGTTTGTGTCTTTGCTAAAAACTGTTATAAAATTTTAATTCTTAATGATCGTTAAATGACAATTTATTTTTTGAAAGTCGTTTCAACTCATTTCTCTCGATTCTATGACAATCTGTATATTTAAGAAGTAACTCCATAATCATCATCTCCTGGGTTTTATTGGGCTTGTAATAAAAAAGAAAGCAAATATAGAATGTGGGAATGAGAACTTTGACACTTATCCATAAATAAAATCATGATTTTTCATAATGGCCCCAAGCACTTCATTTCCACCCAAAAAAAAAAAGAAGTTTAATTAAATTTCCCATAAATTATCAGCACTCACGATCATGCTGGGAACGAAAAGAATCTTCAAGAAGATCCAAAAAATAGGTCATAAAAATAAATCGATGAATATGCATGGAAAGTTATTATTTATTGTGTATGGTCTTTTATAGAATATCTAGCAAGTCAATTCACAGTAAAAAAAAGTTGTGAAAAAAACCGTAGATTATTTATTCATAAAGGTAAGAATTTCGATCCTACATTCTCATCATCAGATTCCTTTTCTTACATTCTTAGCGGTTTTTTATTTTCTTCTTTATTTCTTTAATAAATCTAGGTCAAGTTCATCAAGTCCATGGACACTCGAGAACGAGAAATGCCGTGAAATGGAGAAGAATAATGGAGTAAACGTGTTGAGTCACTCAGTACACTGACACAAATTTGATGATATACATCTTCCGGAAAGTGCTGTACGGGAGTCGTTTGTAAATGATGTTGAATTTAAAACTATATTTCTAGGGGATAGGAAGTCTAAATGAGGTTGGAATGAAGCTTTGAAAGGAAAACTTGTTTGGCAAAATTCTTGAAATATTTTGAAGGTCAGTTTCTGGAGGATGTCTTAGGATAGTCTCGAAAAATCGACACCTTACTTTGTTAATGAACCTCATGTAATTCTAAGCCACTGACCTTCCCTTAGTGCTACAGGGCTTCTCTAAGCCTCTCAGTTACGATATTCACATCAAAAACAATAATTCAGACACAGCTCTATATCTACAGCCTCTCTGATGGGGATCTTAAATTGAATAAGTGTATTATTCCTGATAAATCCAGCTCTAACCTTAGAACTTCTCTATTAATCTCTTAAATATGAAACATCACTTAAGTATGCCCCCATCCAGAAGAAAAATGTCTCATTTGGTTCATTGACTCTTGACTTAATTTTTCTTGGTCACACACTTGAGAATTTGTCTCTTTCGCATTTCTTGTTTCGTTATTTCCACAAAAACAAAATCACAAAAGCTCTGAATAAACTGTTATGTCGTGGACATCATCTTCTGTTCAGTCATCAGCTATAATCGCCAAAGAATTAGAATCAGTGGTCAAATTTGGTGCTTTCTTGGAGTTTGAGGAATTTAAGGAATTCTAGTATATTTGAATTTTAAGTTTAAGCTAATTAAGCCTCAGTTCCTCACTGGATAGAACTAAATGTAAAAGAAATTCTCTACACAACATGATCCGTTGGAATTGGAATATTTCACAAATTCAATATTGATTTAGTATCAAGCCAATAGTCAGTAGCTCTTCATTCTTGATTTCTTACCGTTATGCGTGTTTCTAGTTTTTCTTTTCGTTTCCAATTTTGGTTATCAGAACTGTTAATTAATTCTTTCTTTACTTATTCTCTCTTTTTTTTCTGTAGCTTTAAACTTAAACTTCTAGACCAAAAAAAAAAAAGCTTTTCTTCTGTGATTAAACAATCTTTTTATTATTATTTTCTTATATCACTTCTGTGCCTTTCTCTCTTTTTTCTTGTGTTTCTTGAGAGCACATCCGATGTCTTCAACTGTTGAATATAAACTGACAGTAACACACTGCCTGGTTACTTAAAAAAGACTTGCTTCGCTCAAGTTCTATTTTTCTGCTCTTTCTATCTTCAATTTTTTTCGAGGTGGGATGGGAAGAAAATTATCGGAATTTATGAAGATTTTAATGTGATGAACATGAAGGTTGATGCTTTAATGATTCTTGATTTAATTCGATTTTACATGGGTTTTGGGATGCGTTGTTGCGTTTGTTGTTCAATTACACTGCGATTGATGATCTATTCTATCATTTGAGAATGATTAACAAAAGGCTGCACTAAGTGCAATGCTAAAACCGTACAAATGTTTTAAAATTCAAAAAATTGACTCAAAACTCTACAAATGATTTCAAAATTTGCCATTTTTCAGAACCATATAAATGTTTTTGATGTAATGTAGTAATTGTATGGTTCTTAAACATTTAAGGGGGCATTTTGGAAATAGATATGCTAAGAAAGGTCGCTTCCTTACTACATTTACTTTTAATGGGAGTTTGGGATTAGTGGGTCTGAGATTTTGTAACTGTTAAAAGTCTATGGTGGTCTGAACCTCAAAAACGCTCAAAAAGCGCTGGAAAAATCAACAATTACTTTTAAATAACAAAACTCCGTCCACATCCCAAGCAGTGCTTCTTTTCTGCTCATATACAGCCGAGTAAGAAATGAAAATGTTGAGCAAATGATCAAAAGAAGAAGTACAAAAGAAGAAAGAAGAAATTTTCTTCTTAAAAGTAATAAGAAAGAAAAATAATTTTATATTAAGCCACATTTTAAGACATAACATAATAAAAGTTTTCATTAACAAGAGAATCTTCCAAAAAACATAAAAAACAGCAGAAGAAATGAAAACATTTCGGGGCAGCACGAAGCGAACTGAATACTTTAAATAACAATTTAATTAGAAACCACTTACTTTTGCGTCCCCATAACCTGGACAAGAGTGGAGTGTGGATTTATACTTTTACTTAGTCATCATTGTAATTATTGGTAATTATCAATCCAACGGCTATTACTGTGCATTCTTTGGAAATTGTGAGCGAGAGAGAGAGCTTTTGTTTCATTAATGTTCGTTCTCGGCTATTTTTGGAAGGAAAGTTTATTGGTATGCTGATTTTTGGTGGCTTTTTAACGCATTTTTAAGTGTCACTTGATTGATTTTGAAAATTTTACCGTTTTATTGAAGATTTGAATTTTAAGAACTCCACAAATGTTTCAAAAATTGTAAATTCAAAACCTTATAAATGTTTCGTAAAATGGAATTTGGAAGACTTCAAATGTTTAAAACCTTACAAATGCAAAATGATTCGATATTCTGAAACTGTACAAATGTTCATTTCAATATTAAATGCTCAAAAGCCTTACAAATGATTTTAAAAACAATTCAACATCTCCAAATAGTGAACAATTAGGCACCATTGTAGATATTTAGAACATTTTTATTGATTAATTTTATTTTCCTCATTTTAATGTGCTGTCATTCTACCCAAATTATGAAGATCAGCAATAAAAGCATCCATATAAAACAAAAAAGTCCAAAGAATCAAGCATTTTCATCAACTTCCTGCCCACTTCTAGATCAAGCTACTACGAGCTACTACCTATAATTAGCCAAACAGCCAAAACAATCACAAAATGACTCGACGATAAGTAAAAGTCATCTCGAACTGTAAATTTTGAATATATTTTTTTGCCATCTAATGATGAATTAATAAGATGTTTTTGCGTGAAACTGACACACGCTCTCTAGGAAGAGGCACCAGATTAACAACACAAAATCCCGAATGTTTTTTTTTTTATCAACTTTCTCTTTATGAGAAGCACATGACTCATCATAATTAAAGAAATTTATCGAAACAAATGATTTAAATGCTCTCTCCTCATCCACTGTCGTTGTTGTCGTCATCGTCAAGCTCTATAACATCAATTAAGATAAAAAATTCAAATTAAAGAAATTAAATGCGTGACAAAAATAAAATAAAATCCTCTTGTTTGATATGTAGTCAGAAGCTGTAGCGGTAAATCCAATTTTTATTCTAGTGAATCAGAAAAACGCTCTTAAAACATGTTTTCTTCATTCCATTCTTTACAATAAGTGAAGTAATCTCATTTAATCATTTTTTTTTGCGAAAGAACATTAGAAATGCTTCAAAGTAAATCGGCACAGACGGCGTTAATGCTGATGATGAGGATGTCGGAAGAAGAATTTTGAAATGAAAATGAAAACTCTCACAAAATTATTGAGCGGAAAATTTGAATAAGTTAAATTAACTACATTTGTCGCGAATAATTGATTCTGTTGCTGCAAAATTATCCAAACAGTTATGCCAGTTAACATTTTCATATTCTTTATTTTTTTATTGTTACCATGAAAACATCAATTTTCCATAAAATTTCTTTAAATAAATGAAGTTTGTTATTGGAATGTTCTCATCTTTCATGCATTCCAAAATATCTTGCTTTTTATCAGAACAACACGACGTCAATCTCAATGAAAAAATTCGTTTACGATCAACAGAAAAAAATGTACTTTTTGCGCTAAATAGACTTTAACATCATTGTTTTGTGTCTGTTAATAGAATTAGGAGTTTTTTTTCTGTAATAACATTGACTTGATTTAGGTGTGCGCTGCATCATCTCTGCATGCGTTTTGAGGTCGTTCATAAATGACGTCTTTAAAAATTGGAATTTTATGACATGTCATCCTTCTGTGTCAGCGGAGCTTTCTACGAAAACATTTTATAGACGTGGTTACTCATGAAATTGGTGCTTCGTTTTAATAAATTTCAAACTAAACTGGAGAATTATTTCAAAAATAACGGTCAAAAACGAATTGAAATGACAAAGTTCAAAATAATTCTTTTTGAACTTGAGATTTAAATATTTTTTATCCGTTATTTTTTAAAAAGTTTTCTACCGTTAAACTTTAAATTAATTCTGCCAAGGAACCTTAATTTAATTGACAAGCTCGTGATTGACAACGAGTAGCCACGTCTACTTGAGTTTTCTACAAAGTATCATATCCTTCCCAACATATAAAATGTAGGTCATTTACGAACAACCTTATTATGTATAATAGATATATTTATATTGAATTTATATTTAAACCTATATTGTAATTAATTAATGATCCGTCATGATTTTATCGTGTATAAAATATTCGATAATACAAAGTTTTACTACGCCACAGACTGAATGAATTGTCAAATTTAAGTAGATACGTTCCTTCTCCTGGATAATTGTGTGATCCACAATAAACTTCATTGTGACATTCGCGTCTATATACTGGAACTATAATCGAAAGTGGTGGGCGATCAAGGATTGATGAAGCTTTAAGTGGAATTTGCGAGCTTTGAGTTCCGCATTCTAAATCATCACCGCACGTTATCTCCTCGTCCTCATCATTTTCACCTAATTCATTTTCGTCTAATTCATCATCAGATTCGCTTACATGCACAGTAACTTCCGTTGTTGTTGGTCGTTTCCATTCAAAATAGACACCGAACCCAATATCATAATTATCTGTAGCAAATTCCCAGAAAAGACTTGAACCTCCTTCTAAAGTAGGTACTTTAACTGTTACTGTATCTCCATGTCCAATACGAATCACACCGTCGCCTTTCTCTTTTGACACATCTAATTTAAATTCTTTCATATCACTTCGAGTCCACATATTTGCTGGCTGCACCACTGCAAAATCATCAGACTCATTGTCTGACTCACAGCGATCTTTCTCTTCAACTAGACTCGTTTCCTGTTCTTTACTGCATGACTCATTAAGTTTCGATTCCTCTAACGTTGAATCCAAGTCTAAATCAACATGCTGTAATTGTGACTGTAATTGTTGCAAATACTGATGATAATGTTCAGTCTGGAGCTGCTTTATCAGAACAGCTTGTTGGTCGGGATTTCCAGGAAATTGTTTTTCGGCATATTCTTTAAACTGATAAAATGTTTGCTCATTCAGAGCATCCTGTAATTTTCGTCTTTGGATCTCTTCCCGATGAATTTCAGTCTCGAGCAATTTTTGTTCTTCGTCATGTTTCTGTTGTGCTTCCATTTGGACCTTCTTTTTTGCATTCTCTACATCCTCCATTCGCTTTTTCTCCTCACGATCTTGCTTAATTGCCTCGATATAAGGTCTACATGATGGACATAAGCGATCCAGTAAGTCAATGAAACCTTCCATTGCCTGTAATTTAGTCATATCACCAAGTAATGTCCATTGATTTCGTCTATCTCTTCCAATAACGTCAAATACGCCTATAAAATGGATATCCGTTAAATTATTTAAAGATCATTAAGTTAAGTTAAGGAATTTTTTACCCAAAGGTTCTAATTTCTGTAGATTTATTGGTCCGTGACTGGCCTGCATTGTTAATGCCACTAGTTTTAAGTTATCCTCATAGCTTAGATGGACTGCCTTGCCACTCTTATCTAGATTCATAAAAGTTTGCTTATCAAATTTTTATGATTCATTTTTCTTCTATCAAATTTACCTTTATAAAACTTTAATGACAATCGATAGATATCCGACAATTGCATTCCCCATTTCATTTGATTCTCTTCTACGGCTTCTTCCGCTGTATGTGCTAAATTACTCATTTTAACTATGTTTTTAATTAAATTCAATGAAAACTTTTTGACTATGATAAAGAGATTTTTTTCTTACAAATCAGCAATCGTTGCTTACTCTTTGCTACAAGGGCTTATTGTTTACGTACTCAAGAAGAGAATAGGGGTTTCAAAAATATGCAATTGCTGTTAATTAAAGCGCATTGAACTTATGTTTATTTTTTGAAATAACGAATTTCTAATATTTGAAACTTTTGCGTCTTTCATTTGTTAAGATGCGAAAATTTAACGAACTTTTAAAATTTGAAACTGTTATAAAATATGAAAAAACTATTGGAAATGGAACCAGCCATACAAAGTTAGTGCCATGCATGCACTACGTTTGCTTACATTTTGTTTACGTATTCAAAAAGTAAAACTTGATATTCCATTTCTTCAGAAAATATCATTGTATACAAAAGAGTTTAAGGATAGTTTAATTATTAATCATGTCAAGTGCTGCAGATGACTTGTTAGGATTCAAAGACTTCGACGATATCGCCGTTAGTCAACCGAAAAAAGTGATACAAGATGGTATGAAAGTATTTAAAAATTTATCGTGACTTCTTTTTTGATTACGAATTGTTTTAAAACATCCAGAATCCCCGTCCAGCTCACCAAAATTGTCAATGTTTCAAATTGAATACTATCAGCAATTCTTCAATATAGACACAAATGATGTCGTGGAAAGAGTAATTAATTCAATGATACCAAAAAGAGCGAGTGCCTCATACTTGAAGACTAAACTGGAAGTTAATCCTGATCTTTATGGACCATTCTGGGTTACGACTACATTAATCTTTACTATCGCCATCTCTGGAAATTTAGCTAATTTCTTTCAACATGATCATAGCAGCAAGTTCCATTGGCACTACAACTTTCATTTGGTGTCGTATGCATCGACTTGTATTATTTTATACACATCTCTCATGCCGTTTCTGATTTGGTCGGTACTTAAGTATTCTGTGGATCTTAATGATGATACTAATCCTGACTTGGAAAGTGTAAGCTTAACGATTTAAAATAATTTAAATTTTAACGGATTTTTAAGTTTTAAACTTAAAAGTTCAAAAATTGAACCAGTTTTTTTGAATAATAATTGACAGTTGAAATTAACGGATTTATCATTCCCTCATTTTCAGGCACCATATATTCCAAGCCTTTTATCTCTTATCTGCTTGTATGGATATTCATTAGCAGTTTACATCCCCGTCAGTGTACTTTGGACTATTCCATTATTAATCTTGCAATGGCTCCTTGTCTTGACTGCAGCATTTTTGTCCGGATCTGTTCTCATCAATGTCTTGATGCCATCCTTAAAATTGTCCAAGTACTCAATATTCTTGATTGTTGGAATCGCATCAGCACATTTCGTCTTAGCTGCTGGATTTATGCTGTACTTTTTCCATGTTCCTTCAACAGCAGCATCAGTAGTTGTGAATATTCCAAGTCCAATTATCTCAGTCAACGCAACTGGTTAAATTTAATTTTGTGAAAATATTTATGAGATAAAAAGAATCATTATGAATTTAAATATATATAGGAAGCTTAACTTATTCATGTTTTTAAAATATTGTGCATGTGTGCGACACAAACATATCTCGATTAGCCGGCATATTTGTATCTGTACAGAAATATTTGTGTATATATCTTATAAATAGATATAACATCAGGGCAGCACGACTCGCAATCTTATTTATCCAAAATAAATAAAAAACCTGTTACTCATTTCACTCTGCGTCGTCGTCGATGACATGTTGATATTTATATTTACTAATTTTTTGAGTATGCGAATGAAGAGGCACAGCTGAAGCCCTGATCGAAACAAAAAAAATCTATGTTTAGTCACATTTTTTTGAGAGGAGCGTGAAAGATCGAGCAAGTGAACTCTTCAGTCTCTTTTGCGCTTTCCGTCGATACGTTGTGCCTTTAAAGTGGAAATTTTTATTATCCATTAAGGATTTATTTTTCGTTGTTGTGCGTAGATCGTGTATGTGGATTATAAGAGGGCACTCAGTGCTATAGTGATGCATTAGTGTGAAAAGAAATTTTATTAATAAATTAAATAGTGCAGCTTCCGTCCAATAAAAAACTGTACTTGATGATGTCATTCACAAAAATCTCTTTCTGAGCTGAATTTCTCGGCAATATCATTGATTCAATTAAAATTAATTAAATTAGATAGGAACATAGGCTTGATAATCGTCTATTAAGACCCATACATGCTGATTAAATTACTCAAGATTGTGTAAATTAAAGAATTATTTGACAACGAAACCGATCGTCGCTGTTTTTTTATTTATTGTGCTAAAAGCAGTCTTTTATGACTTCTTAGTGTTCTTAAAACTAATAAAAAAATATTTTCCATATACGACCTTGGTTCTGTGTCTCTTGAAGCTTCTTCTTTGGAACGGAAGAAGTTTAGAGAAAATTATAAAAAATAGTCAAGTGAAATCAACGGAACAGTAAGCACATACACGTACATAAGATGCCTGATCCTCAAGTAAGTACTGCGTGCAAAATTAGAGGTGTATCCAGGAGATATAGATCATTTAAGAGTGTAACGTTCATTATAAATTTGAATTTAAAGTTCAATAATTTGAACTTTCAAAAATTAAATAGCAGTTGAATTTCTTAGGTCAACCCTGAATACACCTGCTTTACATCACATTCGATTCCATTATTTACATTAATAATCCTCAATTAAAATTAAATAGAAACTGCTATCGAATGCCTTTCGTGACCGAAATCAATCAGATTTTATGTACACGCTGGAATTTCTAAATGCTAACCCAAATCATGAATCGGACATCGCGGGACGTACTTTGTTTCAGAAGATTTTAACAACGCCAAACTCTGCTGAATATATTCGATTATGTATAGAGAATGGAGCTGAATGCTATGCGGTGAGATTTAATTTATTTGAAAAATTACATATCATTTTCATAATTAGCTAAGACGGGCTATGACTAGACAGCTTGATTGGTGATGAATGAAATTTATTTTTATGATTTTATCGATGGCTCTGAATCATTGTCAAGCAGACTGTAATATTGGAGAAATTTAAATTGATGAAAAACATTTGAAAAACAACAGTCAAAAACAGTTTAATTCAAAAGTTCAAAAATTGAACTCTACGAAATTTTGAAATTTCAAAAAATTATTATCAGTTGAAAATAACGTTTTTGATTTTTAAACATCAATCGATTAAATTGATATCATTCCAAGTAAAATACACATTGAATATTGACAACTATGCTTTCACCTCTTGACTGTGTTCATCAGTCACACGTGAAGCCAAACAAATCTACCTTAAATCGTATACAAAAGCTCAAACAAATTGTTAAATATTTTCTTTTGTGATCACCAAAAACGATCATTAAGAAAATTGATTTTAAAGACCTGAATGGACGTATTTCATCAAAAATAATGCGCAATGTTCTTATGTTGTGTGTGTTTTTCTTCATTAAATTCAATAATAATAGACATAAGATGATGGCGAAGCAAATAGAAACAAGATAATGTCAAAAATATAAAGAACTCTTAAATTGGCTTTATTGTATGCTATGTGCTGCTGTGGACCAAAAATTATTGTAATTGTCAACATCCCACTTTCCATTAAATTCGATACAATTGGGGATGGCACGTAAAGGTGTAATTAACCAGGATATTGAAATGAGTGGAACGCCTATGAATCATTTTTATTGTTTCTTAATGTAAATTTCATTTTTATTGGCTAATATCATTCCAAAACAAAAGCTTTGCAGACACACTACGCATCAATAAATTGCTGTCACTAAGTTTTTCTTTTTAAGACTATTATTCAGTTTAGCTACAGCTTCACAGATCAAACAATGAGTTCATAAGGAACGTGACTCAGAGAGTATTGAGTTTCATCTTATTTTTGATGAAATATGCCAACCTTGCATGCCAGACTTGATGATTTTCTGGCACGAAGGAACATTATTTTTTAACTGAATCATGTATCATGACTAGAAAAATCCGTTAAAAATAAATTTTAAATTTTCTGCTACTTTATAACAGTTTGTGTCTCGACTAAATTCATATAATTATTGACAGTTGAAAATTAATAATTTCATTTCACTTTCCAGAAAGCAGCTGACGATCGCTATCCACTCCATTTACTTCTAGAATCTCAGTGTCCACAGAATCTACAGCAATTCCTGAAATACCATGATTCATCAAAAGTAAATGTAAAGTTTAATGATAAAAATGCCCTCCACATGCTAATCGAAAAGTTAAATACTGAAAATTACGACAAAATTATTGAGTGCCTGAAAATTCTATTGAATCATGGATGCAACCCAAACTATCCAAATGACAGCGATGAGACTCCATTTCATCAGCTCATGAACAAAAATGCAACTTTAAATGTAGAAGAGCTGCTCCGATATTTCGTAAATAATTCAGAAATTGACATTTACACCTACAGACAAGATGAAATGGTCAGCAAGTATAAGCGACTTAGATTGCCAGATTTATCACAGCAAGTGCAGAACATTGATCCAAAATTTATGATGAAATTGGCAATAAACTCAAAGGAAACAGAATTTGAAGGATATTTTAAGGCATTTAAGGAATCATGTTACAATAATCAACAAAACTTTCAGGATGAATGTGCAGACCTGCTTGAGATGGCAACAATTAAAGGAGGTACAAATATTGTTGATATTATCCTTCAGAATATCCCAGTAGACATAAATGTAAGATCTAAGCATGCAACTTGGCTGTTTCCACCATCGTTCATTGCCTGCATGAAAGGACACTATAAGATCCTCGAATTATTCCTCAAACAGTCTAATGTCATTTTCTGTTATGAAAAGCCAAAAGATCCATTCTTTGTATTGGAAAAAAATACATCAACAACTATGCTGCATGAAGTTTGCCTCAGATTTGGTGCTGACAAGAGTAACGACGACGATGTTGACTTCCAAAAATGCTTTGAATTACTTATTAATGATCCACGATGTGACCGAGATACAGTCATAAACGCAAAGGATCCATATGGCTGCACACCTCTTCATTATTCAACAAGATACAAGAATGAAGCAGCTACAATGGCTTTGTTGAAGAAGTCAGCATACATCTGTACACCTAATAATCTAGGCAAGACAGCACTTGATGACATGAACAAGGAAACATTTGAGAATTTCTTGGATGAATGCTTAGTTCCCTTAACTCGACGTGTTCAGCAAACTCACATGTATGTTTATGGATATGACAAGCAGGAACTACATATTGATTATTCATTCTTGATGCCACCAAAGAATTCAAGCCACAGTGAAATCACGCCGCTGAGAAGAATCACGAAAAATACGGAATTAAGGAAGTTGATTAAACATCCAGTGCTATTTAGTTTTCTGTACATCAAATGGTCTAAACTTAGTCTTTTGTTCATGATCAACTTTATTATGTTCTCTCTGTTCTTGCTAAGCTTCATATTCTATATCGTGTTATGCCAGTCAATTACAGTTGAGGACCGTCGCTCAAATCCTTACTACATGTTCTTTTACGGTATATCCATTGCCTTTGTCATTATGCTGACTTTCAGGGAAGTAATGCAGTGTCTGTTCTCGATGAGATATTACTTTAAAAGCAAGATGAACTGGTTTGAGATTATGTTGATTATCTTGTCATTCTTGGTGCTTTTTGGAAGCTTTGAAGAGAATTTCCAGCGAATCTTAAGAGGCATAACAATCCTATTTGCAGCAACGGAGTTCTTGACACTCGCAGGTGCACTTCCAAACCTTTCAATATCCACGCACATGGTCATTTTGAGGACAGTCATCCTTACTTTCTTGAAGTCGATTGCTTTATACTCAATTCTACTTTTTGGATTCGCTTTGTGTTTCTTTACATTATTTGGATATGATCCGTCACAAAAAGCAAGTGGAAACTCTACGACGGTGTCTGATGAACAAGGTGCTGCAAATGATGGACAAAATAATGCAAATCCTTCATTTTATCATCCAGGAATTGCTATTATTAAGACATTTGTAAGTATTAGAACTAGACATTGAGTATGTGGATATCTTGTGATGTTAAAGATCTCATGCCCATCCCAATCCTTATTAAATAAGCCTACAGTAGTCTTTAAACATGAATTTTCTCTGGAGTTGCCTGTGTCTCATTCTTCGACACCTGCAGAGCATCCAAAATATCAAATAAATTAACACTTTATTCTTTTTGACAGGTCATGCTTACTGGCGAATTAGAGTTTAGCAATTTGGAGCTACATGACTACACAAATTACATCATTTTCGTCTTATTCGTCTTCCTAATCACAATTGTGTTATTCAATCTGTTAAATGCTCTTGCTGTTTCAGAGTAAGTTGAGAAATTCTTAATCAATTTGGTTCCTTAACTTTACATCTTTGCAGCACACAACAAATTAAATCTGAAGGACAGTTGATTGATTTAATCCAGCGCATATCCGTCCTCAATAAATACGAAAAAGTTATAACAACTGGAAATTCTCCACTTTATGCCTGCTGTGGATGGCTGACAAGAATGCTAGAAGGAACAACAAATGTCTTTCAAAAGTGGATTCCAACAGGACGTGTAGCCGTTTTCACAAGTGAAGGCAATGAGATCCGAACTGTCAAGAATCCACAAAATGCACCACGAGATATTGGAGAAGAAGAGATGCAGACATTAAATAATAATAATCCTGGAAGTACTAAAGCATTAAAGTATGAGAGTATAATTGTCAATGACTGGCTGCCTGTAAAGTTCCAAAAACCAGCAATTATGGACCCAAAAATCATGAAATCAATTAAGCATGTCCTGGGAGAGAAAAAGATGCGCAGTAAGGAAGAAGAACATGAAGCATATCGAAGGAAGATGGACGAGAAGATACTAAGGGACATGATCAGCATTAAAATGCAGAATAACGACAACAGTGATGTCTATAGAAATGCATTAAAGGACATTAAGAAGATGAACTCAAAGCAATGAGATTTTTGACTTCCTGCTTAATTTATATAACTTTTTGTAATGTTAAGTGTCATGGCTTCATGTCTAATTCTATGTATTACCAATAAAATGAATACTCAGCACTTATGCTAATAATTTATAAAACATAATAAACAGCACAAACATACACAAAAGTTCTATTTTGACCAGCATGAATTATTTTATTTCAGCAGCAATAAATATTAAGGAAGAGTAAGAGATTTATTTCCAGAGAGGAATATGTATGAGTAATTGGATATAAATAAATTGAATATTATTGACCTTATTCGCTTATTGCCTTCTTCTTAATGCTCTCAACCTTGTCTTCGAATTTATCTAGACGACTGTTGAGTTGCTGTAATGAATCTCTTAAGTTTGACTGGATCTCACTGTATCTTTGCATGGACAGCGTTAAACTCTCTTCAATTAATTCATTCTGTTGTTGACTTGTTGATAATGCTTCGTTCATGTCTCTTACTTTTGGTGAGACATCAGGAATGTTGCTAAAGTATTCAGCACCAAGTGTCGTTTCGAATGACTTGATTTTCTGGAGCATCTCAAAATTAGATGCAAGATCATTTGCGACTGTATTGATATATGCTTCTTTCATTTTAATACTTTGTTGATCGTTTAGATAGTCTGGATCTAGAAGAGTCTCTAGTTCCTTAGTTCTTTTCATCATTTCACCTACTTTCTCTCTTCCACTAGTCGCGGAAGTGATTAAAGTATTTGCAGACACAATTGAATCTGTAAGATTCTCTGTAAATCTATTCTCTTCGTTGTTGCTGTCTATGCCAAGTACATTGGTAAGAGCATCAATTCGTTTTTCTAATAAATCTAAGGCTTCCATAGTTGATGATTCACTGGATCTCAATTTCTGTGAATTAATGAGTATTTGGTGTAAACTTCGATGCTGTTTGATAAGGATTGTCTTTAATAGTTACTTACCTTTGAATTAAGTTATAGATTAAGGCTTTTTGTAGCTTAATTAAGTTGTTTTGATAGTTTTAGAGAAAATTTAAAGAATATTTCAATTGTAAACACTATGGGATCATTCGCAAATTCAGTCAAGTTTTAAAGATTTGAATTTTTCAAAACCGTTATTCTATTTTTTTTTTCAAAAAAATTATTTAAACTTTCAAAAGCCGTTAATTTTAACTGTCAAAAAGAAGTAAACCAGCAAGGCATAAGTTTATTATTACAATATTTATTGAATAGCTCATAATAATCTTGGTTTTTAAAATTGAGTGTTTAAAATATATTAAGAACTTTTCTTTTCTTCAATCAAGTCACATAATTGAATTATTGTAGACTTTAAAATCTTAATTTCAGATTCCATGGACAATATGCGATTAATTAAGGCACTATCTTCATCATTCTTAGCTTGCTTTCTTTCTTCTAGTATAATTCTAATCTTCTTCATGATTTTATTGTCCATTCCACTTGAATATTTCTGTAATTTATCCGATATTGCTTTATTTGGAATCATTTTCTTTAATGCAATGTTGTTGTTGAGATTCTGTAGTTCCTGCTCATTACCCATGTTAATACTGATGTCCTTATTCGAGTTTGATACTTTATATGTCAAAATTTCATTATTCTTTTCTGGATGAATGACAATCTTCCCGTGTGGGATTGTGTACGGGAACACGCTAATCATATTCTTCAGCCATCTCCAATTCCTTCCCAAAATCATCCGTTCATACTTATTAAGGACATTGATTCTCTCACAGAAGTCCACAAGCTCTCCTTCAACTCTAATCTGTTGAGTGTCATCAATAGCTAAGGCATTAAGTAAGTTAAACAGCACAATAGTGATTAAGAACACGAATAGCAAGAATATGATGCTATAAGCACCACTTTTCTCCAAAGCAAGTGCTGAAGCATCAAACTCTCCAGTCAACATGACAAATGTCTTGATAATTGCAATGCCTGGATAACCAAAAGAATTGAAGTTATCTTGTTCTTCCTCAGCTTCATCCTTCTTAGAATCTGTTGAATTTGAGGCATCAGATTTATCATTATTATGTCCACCAAACAACGAAAAGAACGATAATGCAAAGGAAAGAAGAAGAATGGAATAAAGCAGCAAAGACTTGAAAAATGTTAGAGCAACTTTCTTCAAAATGACCATATGTGTGGATATAGACAAATATGGCAATGTCCCAACCAGTTGCAAAAATTCATATGCCGCAAACAATATCGTCACTGCTCTCAAAACTCTTAAGAATGTGTCGTTCGAATCTTGTTCGTTATTATACACAAAAATCAAGGCACAGCCGAGGATTATTAAAATTATTTCAAAGATGTTTACGACGCTTTTGAGGTAGTTTATTGGAGATAAGAAAAACTGAAATGCTTCACGAATAGCAAGCATGATGATGGATATTGCAGATAGACACCAAAATAAGCTAAAACATAGACTGTTCTGCTGTTCCTCTAATGTCAATGTCTTGCACATGACGATGTAATAAATGAGTGATAGCATGAATATTGAAAACAATGCCAAGTTCAAATGGAATAGAATAGCTAATTTTGACCATTTAATGAACAAGAAGCTTGACAAAACTGGATGTCTAATTAATGGTCTCAACTCGGAATGAATTGCAATATTCTGCAATGGCGCAATTTCCGGTCCAAATTCTTCAGTTTTCTTCTTTGGTGCCATTAAAAAGTTATAGTCAACGATTATTTCCTGTTCTTCATCGCCATGTCTACGAATATTTGTGGTAATGCAGTCATTGAGGTAGTCTTCAAGAGCTTCATAGCTCATATTGTCAATTGGAGTTTCATTATTTAAATAGCTTTTAGTGCCGATGTAACTTCCTTTCTTTAATAGCTCAACAACTGCCTTGTCGTTTCTATATCTTGCTGCATAATGAAGTGGTGTAAATCCAATTTCATCTTGTTGATTAACATCACAATAATCTAATGCCAAATAGAAACATTTTTCATAGCTGAAACTTGGATTTCTACTTGGATCCATTCCAAAATGTTCAGTCGCGATGTGTAGCAAGTTCTTGCCGTTTTCATTGACGACCTCAGGTTTCGTTTCAGCTCTAAAAAGTGCTTCCAAAATACGATAATTTCCATGTGAACAAGCTAGATGTGCCATTCCATGTCGTTGATTTATGTCTGCAGGTTTCCTATTCACATCAATCCCTTCATCAACTAAATGATCAACAACATTCTCCAAATTTTCTGAGACAGCTGTGTAAAGAAATCTTGCGCAATCTTCAGCATAAGAATTTGATTTATTTTGATCATTTTCTTGTGACTTATGCTTATTGGTCTCATTTTCTTTAAATATTTTAAAATTGGAGATGAATTTCTCTTCGTTTCTTTGCAGCAATAAACTTCTCATGTAGTCAGTATCGACAATTCTTGTAGTCTGCACTGGAATATCGGCACTTGGGAAGTTCTTTTTGAATAGATTAAGCATTTCAGTACTTTTATAAGTATACAAATCCATCTCAATTTCATTCTTCATGATAAAATCTAGAATTTCCCTTTTATACTTCATTTCTGGAGATCTAAACAGCATGAATAATGGAGTTCGAGATTTTTCATTTGGCATGTTGATGCTGCATCCATTTTCGATCAATATTTTAATGCACTCAGTTGTAGCTTCTTGATCGAGGTTCTTATTTGAGAAAATTTCCATCAGCATGTGCAAAGAATTCTTATATCCGTATCTAACATTTATCTTCTTCAAGTCGTAATTGCTGATAAATGCACGAAGATTTTGAGGTGATAATGAGTCAATGGCATAATGAATTGGATATTTTCCTTGTGAATTTCTCTAAAATTGGACAAAAGATGATGATTAGTTAAGTTGTGGCTGCTTGTGGACTGAATAAAGCGAATTTTTGGATAAAGAATTGACTTGGGGGTTGACATTACTTTAAATCAATTTTACGTACGTATTTTTACGTAGCTCACCTCCCGAAAGTTTTGAGCTATTGTCAGCAATTGAAGCAAGCAATTATTTAGATTTTTCGGCACTTGCATGTCTGACATGGAGCACACAAGTTCAGTTAAAGACAAAGAGGATTATAAAGCAGATAACCAGACAGACAATATGCAGACAATATTTTATCTATGAAAAAATCTACTAAAAATGACTCAAAACATCTTACCGAATACAGATCAGCACCATTGTCAATGCACAACTGCACAAATTGCTCTGAATTTGGTGACGTCAGAACATCTTCAAAAACAGTTTTATCTTTTGAATCTCTCGAATTCGGATCACCACCTTGCTCCAAAGCATTCTTGAAAGCATCAACATTTCGGCGATAAAAGGCACTTCTTAGGGCACTCTAAATGGTTAGACAAACAATGGAACCTTTAATTCATTTCAAATTAATTATATTTAATCTGTTAATTACCTGTGGATTGTCAAAACAAGATGGTATGTTAATTGATGTTGTCATGCTTATTTCCACTGTATATTTTCTTGTCTAATTAATTATACAATAGAAGTTGACAACAATTTGGATCAGTCACGAAAAGTTTTGTGTCTTTAGTTCCCAAAAATTACTATTTTTGTATTTTCAGCTGTAGGAAGAGAAATGGAAAAGATGATTGGTAAATTTTTTGCCTTAACTGTTCAATGGCTTTGGTTATACTGAAATAGATATGCAAAATGCAAAGAATATGAGGGATTTCCATATGTTTATTTTACAGCATACAAATCGAATTTACTGTTAAAAATAGAAACAGAAGTGGAGAAGAAGTAAATAAGATAAGGGTAGAGGGATGAAGTCATAAATAGACTTCTATGAAGTGTAGATAGATCTGTATTTATTTTTAGAAATAGAGGATTCCAGAATAATCCTGAGAGCGAGAGTGAAGGCTTAAACCTTGTGTCATTTGTGATCCACTAGAAAGCCAAAAAATCAATTCTTATCTCATTTAATCATAAAAATATTCAACTTTGAACGATCGTTTTCACAAAACTGCACATAACAATCTCTTCAAGGACCTTTGAATAAATAAACAAACATCCAACTGACTCACTGAGTCATGCGTTAAACCGTAAATCGCATCTTTTTCTCCTGAACAGATTACTAACTTAATGATGTTTAATTTTTAATAACGAATCGAGAGGTTTTTTCCATGAAATTATGAAGCTAATATTAATGTCATACTTTGCAACTGGATGTGACTAATTTATCAACATTTCCAATATACATACAAATGACGTCATAATCTATCAAATAAATTTCTTATTTCCACAATATTCCCATAAAAACTATCTTAACTATTTTGCTATTCACAAACACACATTCACTTCCGTTCAACTGTCCACAAAACATAAAAAAATTGCCTCCAAAAGAGAGTGAAAGAAACATCTGATTGCCATATGATGATGGCACATAAATATGTGTGTTCGTTTGTTAAACGTCTAAATAGCATGTTTGGTGGATGGCCCTAAAAGTGAGAATCGTGATTTCATGCTTGATTAAGCAACAATGGAACTTAAAATCGTGTAATTGTTAATTGATGGCATTTCGATGGTAATTCATCTCTCTCTATTTACCGATATGTAATAAAAGCGAGTGAAGAAGTTTATGATTAGGTAGGAAAGATGAGAGGTGTTGTTATAGCGACCGATCATTGATGTAAGCTATACAACTTGAGTAATTTGTTGAACATTATTGGAAATTGCTTGTCAATGTCAATCAGTTTATTTTCAGAATTTTAATGGTTTTTTCGGTCTTATTTTAAACTTTGAAACCTTACAACAGTTTTGCATAAAACCCTGCAACAGAATTCTTTAAAACCTCACAAAAACAAAATTCAAAAGATTTTAATAATCAAATTTTAAAAGTTTTCATCCAAAACCATACAATAAATTTTTCAAAACCCTACAACAGACGACTTCAAATTTATTTTAACGATTTTTAATGAATTTTCAATTAATCTTCATTCAATTAAATTTCAAACGACACTGATTCATTTTCTCACACATTTTCAATTCACATCGCTTGCCAACCAATCCGAATTATTTGAAAATCATAAAAAATGTGTTAAAATATTGAACAAAGATAAGCTAAATATATTTGCCAAAGTTTTTTCGGGCGCAGCGAAGCAACAAGTAACATTTATATTAAAAAGTATTACTGATTGTCCTTTTGAGTTCTTTTCTGCTTAAATTCTTCGCAAGTATCAGCAAGTATATTTGACATGGTCAAGTCATTTTGTTAATTCACAACTTTCATCATCATTGCCATCATGAAGTCATTGTAATGACTTTAACCGGACGCGCATTAAAATCTCTTTCAGTGAAAATTTTTATAGTAAATTTGAGAACAAATGCTACACCGTTGTGCTTATAAGCAACAATTGGAATTGGAAATGTATATGCATAATTAATGGAACTCATTTAACGCACACTCAAAATATATGTTTTAAAAATTTTTTGTTGTGTGTATGCGTGGGAAGTTGACAACTACTTCCGAAAAAAAATGTTTTTTTGGACATAAAAATCACAAGCAGTCTGACCAGGGGCGTAGCCAGAAAATTTTTAAGGGGGGGCCCATTTTCGAAAATTAAAAAACTGTTATTTTGTATCCTTTAATCTATATTCATTCTTCATAAGTTTAAATATTTAATTCATTATTCATATATTAAATTTCATTTTTCGTGCTGATTTTGACATTTCTTTCATCACTTCCTCTACATTAACTGGTTCTTCTCTATAAATACTTAATAAAACAATTATCAGATTTTCGTAGGGGGGGCCCGGGCCCCCTATGCCCCCCCCCCTGGCTACGCCCCTGAGTCTGACATTGACACACGAATATCTTTAGCTGTTCATAAATTTTTCAATTATTTCAAATTACTTCTAATTCTTTAATCGATATTAAAATGAGATCTATAAAGTATGATAAGGATATTTTTTGAAACATTACATGTGTACATATGCGTGAAAGTGACTACCTTACAGTAATAATAATTCACTCTATATATTTTACATGACAGTTTAATGATGATGACATAAGTCATATCTATGCGATAATAATTTGTCTTTGCCGTGCAAGCTAATAAGGAAAATGGTTGATTATTTCATGAAATTCAGGAATTAGCATGTTTACTCATGCTTTTGACATTTTGCAGATTTTTGAAAATTAAAAATTTATTTGAATTTTTTATTGCCGTTGTATTGTTTTGGTAAATCTGTTGTATGGTTTTTAAAAAGCTGTTGTGTGGTTTAAAAAACATTTAAATCATCTGTTGTAAGGTTTTTAAACACAATATTTTAAAAAGTCGTTGAAATCACTGTTGAAGGGTTTCTAGCGTTCAAAAATTATTTAAAACTTCAATCAAATCTTTAAATCCAACTCAAATCTTTTTCCCATGAGACTGACACAAATGAAACGTCCAAAAGAAAACAGACATTAATTAAATTAACTTAATCTTCATTTAATATTCACTCTTAATTCAATTCAATTGCACAGCTAAGACAATAAGCTTCACAATTGAATTCAAATTCATTTTAATTCCTAGGTGACAATCCAAGACTGAAGAGAAACAACACCGCGCATTTGTTTTACGTCACATAATCGTGGAAATAACGACGTTCTTTATAAGGACAGTGTTTAACTATAAGTAGTGTATAAAAAGTTGTGTTCCATAAATGGTCACACTGTGAAGAAATACTTTAAAAAATATGATGTAGAAATACTTTATTATTATTATTAATGAACATAACTTCTTCAGATTTTTAAACTTTCTGTCAAAGCTCATCTTCATTTCAATCCATTCATTATTACTACCTGCTGCGATCGCTGACAAGAAATGAATTTGATGGGATGGGAAATGAAATTATTATGAAAGGTATTCACGCGATGAGTAGCTTCGACTGTCAAGTTGTTAAAAATTTGTGATAAATCAAATTGTCTTTCTACTCATGTCTATTATCAAGCCGATCATAGTTTTATGATGATAATAAAATAAAGTTTTTTTCTTGCATGGTGAGAAAAAGAAATATTTAAGCTTACTGAAGGTGTCGAGAGCCATAAAAAGTTTTTAGCAAACGGCAATTGTTTATTGGAAAATATCAAATTTGTGTTTATGCAATGAGTAATTTTCACTTAAATTGCTATTGAGGGTCGTTCAGTAAATGACGTCAAATAAAAAAACCAGCAAATTTGAAGTTTTTTAATTTCCTTTGAAAAAATTTCAATTTTCTAGCACTTTAAAATTAGCTGCGTTTGTAAATTTTTGAATTTTAAAATGACTTTAGAAATTTAATTTGATTAAAAGTTTTAAACAGAACGATTTTTAAAATGAACATCATTCATGAACAACCCCTTCTTCCTTCATGAATCATTGTGTATTTAACGATAATATTTCTCTGAAATTCTCTTGTAATTAATTAGTTTTTTTTCTTCCTCCACTGCATGTATTATTAAATGCCACAGCCACAGTCAAATTTGTTACTCATTATGCCTTTGTGTTGCTGCTAATTTCTCCATTGTCAAGAGATCATTTAGTTTGTTTTTTAAAAATGATTTGATATTAATGACATCATGACCGATAAAATGACTTGATGCTGTTAATTTTAATGTCTATAACACCAATATGTGGGTTAATTTTACTTCCATTCCTTTAATCCAATCACGAATAATTACTTTTTGATCGATTTTTTGTAAAACACAATTTTTTGGAATCACTCGATTCATTCCCACACTTTGTTTTAGTCACAGTCAGTTAAAATTTACAACAAATCGAAGCTTTACTTTTCCTTTTTGTGCATATTTTCTTCACCATTCATTTATATTTTTTTTCTGCTGAAGGCTGCAGATCATATAAAGTCGAGAGAGTTGCATTACCATGCAATTTAAGAACTTGTTTTTGTTTACGACTCTCTGTTATGTCTCTTTTTGCGGTGCAATTTTCTGTATTATATATTTTTTGTATTTTCACTGATTCAATATTTGAGCTGGAGGCTTATTGTTCGTTTTCAGGTTCATTCTTTTAAGAGTGAGTAGGAATCTGCAGAAAGATTTATTTTGCAAATGTGTTGAAGTATATTGCGTGATGAAAAGAGCTAATTATTGAATATTTGAAAGAGGTTCTGTGATTTCTTTTGTTCTGACTATAGATGCAAAAGATTCTTCAACACCTGTGATTATATTTGAAGTTTTCAGATTGATGCAATAATTAAATTTATTTGGTAGTTTTCTAGTAGATTCCTTGCTTGATTAAGCATTGATTTCGTACTTTTAAAGAAAATTTAACAAAATTAAAATGAATTCTTTACTAAATCACAATTTTAAAAAAAATCAAATTCAAATTCTTACTTAAACTAATACATAAGGATCAGTATCTAGCAGCCTTTAATCTAGGTTGAGAAACAATAAAACATGATTTTTGAATAGCAAAATATTTTGAAGGTAAGAGTAATTCAGAGGATTGCTTCGGAATTGGGACAAACTTCAGCATTTAAGATGTTTTTAGATCCCAATTTTCACAATCTATTCCACGATTTAATTTACATAAAATCCCCAACAATTTTAAGATGTAGGAACAAAATATGTGCATTAAAAGGTCTGCACTAAAACGAGAAAAATGAAGTTTTGTAAACATTAGAAAAACTTGGAAATTTGTATCTGATTTATCAAACCGACGAACCTAATCGCAATAACAAGAAAGATCAGATCAATCTACAACAACAAAGCTCGATATTCAATTTAAAAAGAAGATTGTATTTCACAAACTTTAGTTTTATTATTGATTAAGGTTGAATCCATTGATTCCCTTAATAAATTCATTAACATCCAACAAAACTTCAAATAAAATCAATAAAAATTATTGAAATTTATAATCACTGATAGTCACAATAAAACCATAGTCAAACAGCAACAGTTATTTTAGTAGCTTTGCATAAATTCTTTTTAATTACGTCCAGCAATAAACAAAACTTCTCCAGCTCAGATTTCAACTCAGATATAAAAACCTCAAAAACGTCAATTTCCAGTCTTGATACGATGACAAACTGCACATTATTCATCCATACAGTCACTTGTTTGTAAACTTTCATATGAGATTACAATTTCAATTAGTCGTCAAGGCATTTTATCTCGAATTTGAAAAAAGTATCATCCACTTATGCATGAATAATTCTTTTATTACGTATTTAAATTTCTATAGTTCTGTTTCTCGTATTTTATACATTTTATTTCAGCCAGAACAGCGAAGAGAATGAAATTTGACTATGGCAAAGAGATTATCCAATTATAGGTCACAAATAAATGATTGCACATAACATTTGTTGAGTGATTTTTGATTTTGGGATGACCGTAATTCTTAGAAATCGCTTGTGCATGTCTTTGGTTTTGAACCATTTAAATCTGAAGGCAGAGATAATTGGATGAATTATTTTTTTTGTGGACCATTTTATTTATTTCCGAAATCTGAATAATTGTGAGCATGTGTGCGAATTGCTTTTGATTCTGAGTATTTTTTGGGGGGCTTTCAGAAAATTATTTTTTTGAATTTATGTCTTACTTGAATGTTCTGAAATGGGAGGATTTGGAAGACATTAAGGAAGTTTATTGCAAGTTGTAATCAAATAGTCCCTATAATATAAATTAATCCTTCAAAATCTTCTAGGTCACGGTCATTCAAGATCAAGAAAGCTTTAAATTCAAAATTATTATTTTTTGCGCGTCTCCTGTTGTTTTGGACACTTTTTAGGACAGATTAACGCGTAGCTTAGAGGTTATCAAATCTTAGATAACGCAAAATCTTTGCACATTTAAGAATTAATTCTCCATTTTGGAGTTTTTTTTTTGATGATCGTGAACTAATTGGACCACAAAGAAATCACTCTTTAAGCCACTTTATTAGCTCTGATCAGTCTATTTCACCTTTTAATTTATTCATTCACATTAGCTTTGACATTTGCAATAATTAAAACGTGTGCAATTCGATCACTTCCTTTCAAATGTGTTACAAAATTATTAATTTTTTGCTAGTAATACAACTAGCTTCTAATGACTGTCCATTTTGATTTTTTTTTGTTGTAATATTTTGGAAAGATGAAAAATTGGAAATGTTTGGAGATTTATTCGATTGTATGTGCTTTTGGGGTCTATACAAATGTAGATATTAGCAAACCACTACTTAAGATCAAACTATGTGTGTATGGATCATCCTACGTACTTCCACTCGATGAAGTCACTGCAAAATTATAGGCAACCAACTTTTGGCTCAGCTTTATGGACGGAATTTGAATTTTTTTCACTGCTAATTTTATACCAAAATTGGAAGTAAGTTCCAAAACTTTTGTAAGGGCAGAATTTTTTATTTTAACTGCGAAACTATTTCGAGCCCCCACAATTTACTTCATATCGACGCAGCGTTCAATTGACGACTGAGGCAATGGAAGGAAAAACGAGTTTAATGTTTCATACATTTTATATGAACGTAGACTTAATCTTGGGTCTGTGAGCGCTTCCAATTCGCTGTCAACACATTTTCATGAGATTTTTTGCTATTGGAAAGGAAGCTTTTGAGATTTTTTGGGGAGTTGGAGATTCAAGGAGGCAGATCAAGTAAGGATTAATAAGGAATTGATGATAATTTTCAGTAAAAGCAAGCTTTCATGTCGTTAATCGGTAAGTACAATTTAATTTCTCGCATCATCGCCATTCCTTATATCTCTTCTCATATTAATCATGTTTACATGATTTTTATTTGTTTATAATAGCTGAGTTCTTTTTTAAACAAACCATATCCAGAAAGAGAGAATATGTGTGTTATTATTATTGCATGATGAAAGAAAATCTTTTGTGTCGCCTCCAATAGTCAAGTGTAGATAAAATTTCGTGAACTAAAGAATTTTAATAATTTTTTCCTCCATTATTAGGGAAATTGTGAGGGTAGTCATTGATATATAATTTTTTTTCCTGTGTTTACCGACAAGGTAAATAGGTAGTATGTCTGTAAACATTACATGAGCAAACAATCAAATGATTTAATTAGAATTTCTTTTAACGGTTTTTAAAAATTCAAATGGTTTGAAAAAATTTAACCTGTTGATTTAAATGCACAGCAAGTCATTAAGTACGTCCATAAATTATGATGCCTCAAAAAAATTAAAATTTTATTGATTTTTGATTTCGTTATCCTTTATGTATATAGTAGTTATTAGAATATGTATACAGGCTATAAATATCATAAGTAGCTTTTTTAATATATAATAATTTTAAAGGTATTGCAACCAACAGAAATTGTACAAGCTTTAAAAATTTATAAATGGTATATTGCTATTCACTTAGCCTTTTAAGTTTTTCGATTGTAGATAGATCTGTTGATTGCCTGACAATAAGTTACGAGAGAAATCTTAACAGAATAGAATAAAATACGAACGTCTATAAACTACAATGTTATCAACATTAAGATTCCAAAAAACATCCTTCACAAGACGGATTCATAGTGTTTTTCACATATGGGGGCTGTTCACAAATAACGTCAAAGAAATCTTTCCAAGAACTTATCTCTTAAAGCTTCAAGCAAGAGTTTTTGGCAGTCAGAGTCAAATCTGGTCTAAGAAAAATTTGTAATCGTTCATACTAGACGCTGATGCCTAGATGCTATTTATAATGTCAAGTTCTCAATACCAAATTCCTTGCTAAATCAAAATCTTTCTTACTGTACTTCAAATCTTTCACGAAAAATCTTGCAAAATCTTGCCGTGCAAAAAATACTTTACAGCTTTAAACACTTCCAACCCAGAACACATCTAACATCACATATGAACAACCCCCATTTAGCATTAAGAATAGAGCAGTTGAAGTAAAAATGGAAGCTCAGAAGAGACAGATTTGGTGAAAGTAGCTTGAGCGATAGTTTAACGTAAGAACTTTTTCATTTGCTTATTTTGATTCTGCATTGACATCTCAGCTTGTTCACTTCTTGCTATCAATGAGTCGAGTGCATCCATGTTTTTGCTGACTTTCGATGCAATGTCAATTGTTTGATTCTTGGCAAATTCATAATCCGACTGATTGTTTACTTCCTTCATTTTATCGAGGTTGTCTAATGCATCATTGATTGAGGTTGAAGGTGCGTCGCCATTTGGTGCTGGCTGGTCTTGAGCTTGGCGATTTTCAGGTGGTGCAGGGCTGGATGTTCGGCTTCTGAGAAGATTCGTGAAGCTTCCACAAACACTCTATAGGATATAAAACTTTTTAGTACAATAACATTGGAAATCTGCGACTGAATGTCACCTTAAATTTGTTTATTTTCACTTGAGTTGCTGACAATATGCTGTTAAGTTCATCCATTTTGCCTTGAGTTCTTTTTGCCTGTTCACCTTCACCTTCCAAAACTTGTGCAACCTCATTATGTTCCTGTTCTATTTCGGCTTCTTTTCGAGCTTTCATTTGTTCTTCCCATTGTGCTCTTTCCGGTGGATTAACACCGAGCAATTCTGCCCGTTCCAACTCGTACTCGTATGTGCCTTCCATTATTAGATGATGACAGGATAAAGATTAAGTTTACGGATGAGGAAATACGGAAATATTAAATTTTAACAAAATAATCTACGCCTTTAAAGATGGAAAAAGAAAACATTAAGCCTTTATCGATTTTCCCATTTTCCTTGTTCTAACAAGTTTTTTAGTCCACGGACATAAAATGGTTGTAACGGATTTTTATAATTTAACTGTATAACTTCTTCATCCTTAGCATAACTTTAAGGGGAAATATTCACATGTATACATCCGTTGTTTGAAATTTATCTTGTGTTCTTGTTGCTGCATTTTGGTTTTTAGATGTTGTAAACCTCGACAGCTTTCCACTTTTGAACCAACTTTGACTGAACATTTTATTATTTGCAGCAGGATTTCTTGATCTTGGTTCCTGCATGTGCGATTGTGGATCTTGATGATTGATTGAATAAACTGCAACTGTTTTGGATATACTTCCAGGTGCACACATGCAGAAATATTTGTGACACTTTGAGCGACGGAATGCTCGTCGGAAATTTTCATTCGTTAGTCCATAGACGCAAGGTGTTAATGCACAGTTAAGAAAGATTAAGTAACGTGAGATGTACCAATGAATTCTTTGAATTCCATCCACAGAATTGATTTCAGAACTTTGTAGTCTATATGAGCGCATGAATACAAATGTTGTGAATGGAATACGCAGCACAAAGAACGTTACCACAACAATAAATAATGTCTTAGCAAACTTCCTTTTGTAGCTTATAGTCAGCGGATGATCACGTCTTTTGCGAACTCTTTCGTACTGATCAAGCTTAATGAATATTGTTGTGTAGCAGAAAATAAGAACCACCAAAGGTATCCAAACTAATGCAACAATAATCACATGCCAGTAAAGTGGCAGTACATTTACATTTTCAGAACAAAATGCTTCCAGGAAGTTTCTCCATTGCCGTTCTGTGTAATTTTTAAAAATTGCTAATGGAGATGAAAGAATTAATCCACAAATCCAGGAAGCAACAATCACAACTTTTGTGTCATGAAGTGTCAGTCTGGCTTGCATTGGAAAGGCGATTGCTGTTAGACGTTCATAGCTGTTGGGATAAAATAATTTTTTTTAAGGAGCCGTTTATAGATTCAGTATATAGGGCTGTTTCTATATGACATTAGCAAGTCATTTCAACCGAAAAATAAGCTTTCCAATGAATGTCACAAGTAAACAACCTCTTAAAACGTTACCTGACAAAACATAAGGTGATGACGGAAGTGATTAAAAATGAAACTTCAATTGTAGCTTCAACTTTACATCCAACAATCCCTAATTTATAGTTTTGGAATATTTCATGCAACAGAACTAAAGCTGGTGAGAACAATAAGGTACATAAATCTGATATTGACATATTGGCTATTAAATAATTAGTTGGAGATTTTAATGACCGATCCCCAAGGATTGTGCAAATCAGAAGGATATTCCCAATTATTCCAAATATAGCTAAAGGAGCCACTATTGACACCTTAATTATGATATCCACTGGAGGTAAAATTCCCCAAATTTCTGATGGAAAATCGAAACACGAAAAATCAACCTGTTGGATACAAAATTTTATTTTCATTAGTCACTGACAAAACTGTAAATTCTCACATCGTAATCCATTATCTAGCTCCTTACTATGCAACTACAGAAATAATACTAATTGAAAAATATGCACTTACTATTGATGTTAAGTTCATTCTACGCAAATTATGCTTGTGTGTGGTATGAAAAGCTGGAAGAGTTTAATGATATTATCATGGGAAAATATTCTAATTCCTCCTTATCAATATTTTCCCCACTAAATGCATTTGTTATCAGACACGACCTATCAATTAATTTTAACATGAACCCGTGATTTTATTCTTTATCTACTTATTATTTTATTGCTAATGACTTGATTATTCATTCACACAGTCTTTATCTCATGATTTTTATGTTATCTGATGTTTACGCATGTTAATCTCCTAGAATTGATGTTACCGTTGAGATTTCTAAGGCTGTTTCAGATGATGGTGTAGTACTTTTCGCCATATCACGATGAACTGACATGTGACGCATGAGCTTCGATGGTGATTCAAACTTTTTTCCGCAAACAAGACATTCTGTTCAGAATTTAAAGGATAAAAGATGTTTTTACCGAAATAAGTAGCTCAACTTACCATATCTTCTCGGTCTTGCTGGTCTAGGCGGGGGCTTTTTGTCAGATCTTGTGTGGATTTTCGTATGACGACGAAGTTTTGAAGGAGTTGCGAATCGTTTGTTACATTCAAAGCATGTTGTGTTGACGTCTCCAATGTCACTTCTTCTAGTCTCCAAGGATGTTTTCATTTTATCAGGCACTTCATTGGATATGCTATCAGTAGAGATTATTGAAATATTTCGCAGGTGCTGAGCTTTCATGTGATTCTGTAGTTTAGGCATTGACATGAACTCTAATCCACAAACTCTACAGGTGCATTTGTCAACAGATCCTGTGCTTTCTGCTGGGTTTGAATGAGTTGTCATATGCTGAGCTAGTTTAATTGTTGAATCTTGGACGGAATTGCAAATTGTACAGTGATAGTGTTGAGATGAAGAAGCAGCAGCTGACTTTTCAATGTTTTTGTGACTGCTCATGTGACGTTTAAGTTTGGATGGAGTTATCCATAATTTATGACATATTGGACAAGCATAACTCTTTCTTTTCAAATTTTTGCTTAATGGTCCATTAAAATTCAATTGAGTTTCATCTAAGACGGGTACGGTGCTATTTTCTATCACTTCTGTTTCTAAAATCAATTCTTCAGCTGTTGTCTCATCCTTGAGTGTAGATCCCTCAATTAAATATTCTGACAAATCCATGTCATACTCATCAATTAACGTTGAGTAATCATGCTCATTATTACGACTAATTGGACGACGGTTTGATTTAAGGAACTCATCTGAGCTGATACACATTTGACGAAAATTGTAAAATTCTTCCACTTGCTTCTTACAATCATTGCATATATTTTGAGAATATCCATCATTCCTGTTGATTGTAATTGGTACTATTTGGGTAACTGCTTTATAAATCTCAACTTCCTCAAAAATTGTTTCATCAAATAATGAGATTAAATGTCCATTTTTTAGGCAACATCTGCATGTGTCATCGGTTTGATTTAATGAAACATCCATAACTTTATAATATTAATTACTTAAAAGACCTCTAATGCCTTTAGTTTACTTCAAAATATAATTTATTTGTTGACTATTTTTGTTTTGGTTTATTATACGGCGAAGAGTATACAATTCAGAAAAGTATACATTAAAGCATTTAAATAATAAATAACAGTTACGTTTTATACAAAATTGTTGTCTTTAATGCTTAGAGACATGTTTATTGGTTTTAAATGAATCAATTGGACATAAACTTAATCAAATTCTAACTGTCGGAAAGAACCACTTGTGCCATAAAATAAGTCATTCATTTTTGATGCATTTGCAGGAGGTCTCTTGCTCTCCTCAACTCCATATTGCTCTTCTTGTTTATAGTAATCTCGATAGGATATGATCTTCTTTTCCCAAGCCTCATTGATACTATCTAAGCTTCCAACTTCTCCACCATATTCAGTTGGCATTAATCGTCTAGGAATGACTTTATAGAGTGATTTTAAATTGCTTCCGTGTACGTAGAGCTGGATAAATAATAATTATTGATTTAGAAACTGTCAACCTATCAGTTCTTATCATTCAAACCTTTGTTTTGTTTTTGTCATTAATAAAAGTCTTAAAGATATTAAAAACTGATTCAAAGCCTCGCGGGGTGTTGATGAAATGGAATCCCTTCTGACGTGTAGGACTAGCTTCTTGACTCATAATTGTTATCTTCTTTATAAAACTTGGATTGAACTGCTTAAAGTGAGCCATCGTTACATTTGCACAATCTAGAATTCCAATTTGGCCAGCGACTACGTAATTGTCATCTATTAAAGATAATATTTATGAGCTGTAAATTTTTATTTTGAAAAACCAATAAGTGATTCATACCTTCATTCATAAGTATGTCTTGAATCATATTACTGATTTTGATAACATCTGCGACGGTATAGACTGATGCATCATATGCACCTGGTCTGATTAATATTATCCTCGGACCATCTGGTTTTTCTGTTAGTGGAAGTGGAAGTCCAACTCTTAAAATGAAGTTACAGATACAAATTTTTAAATCTTTGAAATTTTGATTTAAAAAAATAAGGACAAATAAACACAAGCTTAATTAAGATTCGAACCTTGAAACACCAACAAGCTTCTTTAAGCATATCACAGCAGCATCGATCGTAGAAATAAAAAATTTTGAACCCAAGACATTTCACAAAATGCATAAAGTTTAAAAACTTACCCCAACTTAATGAGCTTCCTAAGCTTATCATCATATGGATCTCTATTTAGCATTACTTCAGGTAAATGACATCTTACTGTGTAATACAGATCGAACTTTTGTTTGGCTTTCTCTAAACTAAATTTGCATCCACGTAAAAATGTCACTAGGAACTGATTATCTGTCCGAACTCTCAAATGTGGACATTGACTTATCCAGTTCTTTAATAATTGAAGATCAGAGACGAGTCTGTCAGGTGTTTCATTTAATTCTTCAGCAGCAAGTGCCTGAAGCGCAGGTGTCAATGGTCTTACATTATTTATTATTGTACCTTTCATGGTGCTACTGATTATATATCGTCTACTGAAATGAGTTACGTATTATTATTATTATTGAGTTTTATTCACTACTTCTCCTTCTTTTTACAAGGAGTATTAATTTCTTTTTACTCCTATCCTCCTTTTTACTACTATCTCAAAACTTAATGCAACTAAATGGTTATGAAATTGATAACGTTGTCTTATCGGCACCTGGCTAATCTCCTTCATGAAAGCAAAACATTTCTATCCTTGATATTTTTAGGGAAATTAGTCAATCGTATGAGGAAGGGAAAATATTGATACTGGCAAGTGAATCATCGATAGATAAGATCTGTGAATGAAGCTCAATTGGACAGAGTGAGAGCTTCTTTAGTCGTCGTTAATCAAAACATTGAAACTTTTATAAACCGCTTGTATAAAGTCATACGTTAGAATCTTACTGCCAGACTATGTAAGGTCAAAAAACTTCTTCAACTTCTGATTTTCAAAGTCTGTTGTCCTGTCACAGATCGATATACCATTTAGAAAGATGGTTGCAAGCAAGTGGAGAACTTGACAATTTGTATAAGAAATGGCACTAGTTCATTTATCGATTAATAGCTTAAAAACTGCAAGCAATTGACAACAAACTAATGAATTTTCGTAAAAATTTCAAATCATAGCACTTGAAAAAGTTATCGTATTAAAACAACCAATGTCTAGATAAGTATGAGTCACGTTTGGATTTTCTACGCAAATTACTCATTCCACTTCTCATTATCTATAAATAATCTTTTATCTTGATTCAAAACTTTCTTTTTCCTCCAATTTCCACAAAGCAGATCCACAAATTTGTTTCCAAAAGTTGATAAAATGTTGTCTTTACCAATTTACTTAATTTGATAAGCGATAATAAGTCAGTGACGCTAAAAAAACTTACTTTTAAAGAGAAAATTTTCTTCGACAAGTGAAAAAGAGAGACTAGAGATAAGATATTAATTCCTTAAAAACACTCAACAGAGGAACTATTTTTTTTTGATCCTTTCCACTTGTCACCACAACACAAACTAAATCGCACATGTTCAGTGCTCAGAGAATTTAATTTACTAATTTTTTGTATCAATTTCTTATCGGTTATTTATCGCATTCAGTGATAAGATAGAGTCATTGTGAATGAAAGTTGGAAGTAAAATTAGATAGCTGAAAAGCATGCGTTGCAAATAGAAATTTGACATGGGAAGTACGTTGGAATTAAAATATTTTTATTAAAAAATTTCATATCAAGGCGCGCGTACAGCACAACATATAAAGGTGCCAAAAATGTGATATCCACAAACATTATGTAGTTTTTTATATCGTTGTCTCTCCCTTGCTGTAAAAACATTAGATAAGATAATGACTTCAATGACTTAAGTTGTTATGATGACGCGAAGTTATTGACAATCGTTTCTACTCCACGTGCTGCTCTCGCCACTCGTGTTACCTTTCAGGAAATTTTCGATATCATCAACTTCAAAAAATTTACTAGGTGTGAGTGCTTGAGAAGATCTTTTAGACTCGTCCACGCCAAACTGTTGCTCCTCTTCCTCAAAATATTGTCGGAAATAGAAAATCCTTTCCTCCCACTCACGAATCACGTCTGATAAAAAAAAAATATTTTTTTTTGTTCATTACTGTGCATTTTTTGTGCTTATCATTGTCATACCATTTATTGTGTACAGGTCTCCGCCGTATTCTGTGACGAAAAATGATTATTTTTTGTTAATCTGTTGATTGTTAAGAATTTTCGAGAACATTACCTCTTGGCATTAAATGACGTGGAACCATTTTGTAGAAACTCTCGAGATCACTTCCGTGCATGTGGATCTAGACAGGAAAATGTAGAATTTAGTTATTTCAATCAATAATTTATTAAGGACATTCACCTTTGATTTATTATCGTCATTGATGCAGGACAGAAATACACTAAACACTTGCTCGAATCCCTTTGGTGCATTTATGTAATGGAACTAAAATCCAAAATTCATGAATATGAATATTATTTCACTTCCATACTCTATAATTACCGCCTGTTGTCTAATCGGATAAGTATCTTGACTGAGCATTATCATTTTATTGACTAGGTCAGGATTTAATTGCATTAAATGTTCACGTGTTATTCCAGTGAGGTCTAAAATTCCAACTTGACCTGCTACAACCCAATTGTCATCACATCTTAGCTGAATATCATTAATCATTGTCGATACTTTAAATACGTCTTGCATTGAATATTTATTTGGATTCCAAACTTGCGGTCGAATTAAAATATATCGTGGACCACCTTCTGTTGCGGTGTATGGCAACGGAAGTCCAAAACTGATAAGAATAAGTTAATTAAAATTTATTCAGAAAAATTCCCAAAAAAAAATTATTTTTTACCCGATTCTTATCAAAGATCTTAGTCTCGAGTTTACGGGATTTCTATCTGCACGAAATAAAATTTGGTAAGCACTGATATGAATGCTTTTAAAATATCCACTTGCTCACCTTTAATAATCTCTGGTATGTTAGTTCTAAGCGTATAGAATGCATCAATTTGTTCCTTTGCCTTTTCGAGATCATAATGACAGAATCTTAAGAAAGCAATTAAAAACTGCTCATCAGTCCTTGCTCTTAAATGTGCTGAATTTCTAATCCAATCCTTAAGTGCCGGCACTTCATCTTCCACCTTATCCAGAGTTTCATGTAAATTTTCATTTGCAATTTTTTGCAACTCGCTATTAAGTGGTCTTATATCGAGCATTATTGGCCGAAAACTAAACTTATCAGTCTTGACGCGAAAAAATTCAACTACTCAATATGATAACAAACCGATTATTATTTACTTGTACTGGTCCTATCACAATAATATTTTCATTGATGATCAAAACACGTGCTGTTCAGACGTACTCTGCCGCAAGAGTTTGTTTTCTTTTCTTATTTATTTTTACTTTTTTAATGCACAACTAGAAAAAAGACGTCTGATCTGCTTTCTGGTGGAAAATGTTTTAAAACGCGTGGTATGTTTTTAACCAACACTTTTGCAGAAGGGCTTTAAAAATCTTTATTTATATCTTATCAGCAACAAAATGATTAAAGAAACATTGAAATACTGAAAAAGCTTTAGTCAATATCAAGTTTTCTGAATGTTCCATCAACACCGAATAAACTTTCAGGATTTTTAGGCTTTCCAACTCGTTTCTTCTCATCAACTCCGTATTGTTCATCCTCGATGAAGTAATCTCGATAAGACATAAGCAATTTTTCGTTGGCTTCTATTAGGGATTTTAAGGAACCTGCTTCACCTCCGTATTCTGATGGAGAAAAAAGCTATGGTTATTCTTAAGTTTTAAAAGACTTGATTATAGAGATGTGTTTCTCATGATTATCGTTCAGTCTTCTTGCATTACACGCGTGAACCAAATGTTGCAAGATTATCAAAAAAACTTAGACACTATTAACATGTTTACGTGGAGCTTTTTACGTGACACTTCAAGTACTTCAACCTACCTTCAGGAAGCAATCGCCTTGGAATGGCCTTGTAGAGTTCATCCATATCATCACCATGAACTTGCATCTGCAATTGTTTGAATTGTCAGTAAACAAAAATAATTTGAATCTGCAACTGTAAAAATGTCACTTACGCGTGATTTATTTTTTTCATTCAAAAATGATTTGAAAAGATTAAACACAGTTAGTGCAAATTGAGGCATTTTGACGAAATGAGAGCCTTTCTCTCTGATGGGCATGCTATCTTGTTGGATTGAAGTTGTTTTTTTGATGAAAGTCGGATTGAATTGAATAAAATGCTGAATTGTGACGCCAGAAAAATCAAGAATTCCAACCTGTCCGGAAACAACATAATTATCATCCTCAAGCATCAACGCTTCCATTTGCATTGTTGATATTTTCATAATTTCCTGGATTGAATATTCTGATGGATCATATGCGCCTGGTCTAACGATGAAGTATCGTGGTCCATTGGGTTCAGTGTTTGGTAGAAAAAGTCCAACTCTAATAAGTGGATTATCATCTTATCAGTTAGAATTTCAAGATAAGGAAAGAGTGAAAACATAAATTACCCTTGTCTGATTGCTCCCAGCACTCTTTCGTTCATTGGATCACGATTTCTACATAATTCTGGGATATGCGTTTTAAGCGTGTAAAACATATCATATTTTTGTTTCGCTCGTTCAATGCTGTATTTACAGCCACGTAAGAACGCAATCAAAAATTGATCATCTGTACGACCTTTAATGTGAGGAGATTTCTTTATCCATTCCCTAAAAGTTTCAAGATCCTTCTCAATTCGACTTGGATCCTCAAACAACTCATCTATTGCCTTCTGTTGAAGTTCTGGATTTAATGGACGAATTTGAACCATTTTACAACCTTTCTTACACAAAACTTGATTAAAAATGAGCTGAAAGCAATTTTTTTTATCATTAGATAGGTAAGTTATCAATACGACAATGGAATCGATTAGATTAGGTATCGTAATAAGCAGCGCTTATCGGTTAAGTTTAGCATTTTACTAGCATGTCATAGTTATTTCACAATTATTAATGAAAACTTTATAGATAACAAGATACTTAATCAATTTGTAGTTGTCTGAATGTCCCGTCGATGCCAAACAGACTTTCAGGATTTTTAGGCTTTCCAATTCTTTTCTTTTCATCAACACCATATTTTGTTGTCTGGTCTATTAGGAACTGTCTGTTTGCATATATTTTATGTTCCCAGTATTTTACAATATCTTCAACAGAATCTCCATCACCTCCGTACTCTTTTGGTAGAATGTGCTTAGGAACGACTTTGTATAATGATTCCAAATCATTGCCATGCATGTAAATCTGAAAAATATGGAATCAATATAGCTCTACGTCAAATCATAAATATTAAGATGAACTTACTCTCGATTTGGTTTTCTCGTTCAAAAATTGTCTGAAGACATTGAACATTTTTTCAAAAAATGGAGGGACATTAATGTAGTGGATAGCTTTTAATCTAAAAAGCAAACAAATTATTTTTAAGCATTATTGATAAACAAATTCAAAGTACCGGAATGGCGAAGCATCCTGCATCATAACTGTCATTTTCTTCATCATCTGTGGTGAAAAAGCTGTAAAATGAGCCATAGATGCATTCTTTAAATCAATGATGTTAATTTGACCAGAAATTATCATTTGATCATCTTCTTCATGAAGGATGTCACCAACAAGCATAAAACATTTCATTATATCTTCTATTTTGTACTTTGCAGGGTCGTAACCCCCAGAACGACTGCAAATAACACGTGGTGCTCCCTCTGACCATGATGTTGGTAAGGCAAACATCGCGCTTTAAAATTTTTTTTGAAGTGGTTTTTGGATGTGTTTAATTGAATTTAAGCTTACCTTATCTTCATATATTCATGCACATTCATTTTTTCTGGGTCACGATCCTTGAAAAATTCAGGCGAGTGTTGACGGACAGTATAAAACATGTCCAATTTATGCTTTGCTCTTTCAAGGCTGTACTTACTGCCTCTTAAAAAGGACACCAAAAATTGATCATCAGTTCTTGCTCTTAAATGTGGTGACTTCCTTATCCATTCTCGAAATTGTTCTAGCATTTGAGGAATCTGCGAAGGATCTTCATTGAGCTCATCTTTTGCAATTTTCTGCAAAGTTGGATTGACTTCTCTTATATTCAAAGACATATTGATATATTCGACGATGAAAGGCTACTAAATTGATGATTGGCAAAAAAAAGGCTATCTTATCGCAGATTTTTTTTATATAAGTTCTCTCAAAGTTCTTGATAAGATTAAAGAGAAATCCATTTTCATTGTCGTCAGAGCTGAAAACTGGAACTGATTTGAAAATGAAATGCTTTTAGTTTTGTAAGCTTTATTGATCAGTTTCTGGTTGTCTATAATGAATTTTAATACAATATTTTTTGATTAATTTTTTCCTTATCTTAGCTATATTTTGTGTTTGTGATGCTTAAGCTTTATCAGATTGAAATCTTTCTCATTTCTTTTGAAAGAATCACCAGCATCATTTTAACATGCCCTCCATTTTGTATTTTGATGAATCACGTGTCAAATCCTTCTGAATTTGCATGCTTGAAGAAAATGAAAGTTCACACTTCCTCAGACGGCCTCAGACAAATTTTATAGTAGACCAAATATTGATTACTTAAAAAAATGTCGTAGAATTTCTTTTAAGAAATTATTATTGGCAATAAAACTACTTGTTCTTCGCAAACTCATGAACATTCATTTCCCATGAATCACGATTTTAGTAAAACTCAACCGAGTGCTCTGGGATAATGTAAAACATGTCCACTTTAAGTTTGCTGCCCTTTCAAAAAAATGACAATTAAAATTGTTCATCTTTTCTATGTCTCAATCATCGCGACTGCATGAATCACTCCCGCATCAGACAAATTTGTGACTCATTAAGTTCTTCTTTTACAATTTTATGCAATGTTGGCGAACTAGTTCAAAAGTTCAAAAAACCTACATGCATAAAACTGCATGTTCAAAGTTAAAATCTAATTTAAGAATTAAGTTTATTTATAAATAAAAACTGCAACATCAAATTGATTTCTATAATGTTTGAAGACTTATTCACTTTTACGAGTCACGAAAGTTGCTAAACATTGATTGTCAAAAATGCTATCTTATCTTATTATGAATTATCAAACATATTTTAAAGAGTTTAAATGAATCATAAAATTCTCTTTTGTTTGCGTTTTGTCTGTCCGTCTATTGTTTTTTTCATAACAAAGCCTTCAGTTTTAGATTTTTCTCTGTGTCCTATTCAACAGATCAAGATTTATCAAATATTTTAAATATTTCTGTTTTATTATAAACTCTAATTCTGGATAGAGGAAATGCGCTTCCGTCAGCTACTTGTTACACATCTATACTAGTTACTTTCACCACCACATTTATTATGTATCTTTTCAAGTTTGTATGTGCAGTTTGAGCTATACAGTTGTAGCAAATATGTGATAAATTAAAGTATTTTTTTTTTTCATTTTTAAATTCAAGAGTTAATTTATTGTCAGTCCAAATATTTTATTCTAGTTAAAATCTTAGTTAAATAAAGTCGAAATTAAAACATTTATCAAGATATTTTTTCCATTAGTCTGCTTTAAATTCATCATAATTTATTTTAAGTTAAAGTGTTTTTTTATAAATCTTGTTTGTATAAAAAAATAAAGAAAAAAAAAAAAACAACACAAAAGAGACACATTGGTATTGTATTGAAGTCAATAATATTAATTACAAATGTTGTGATAACAATGGAGATTGAAAGAACTGATAAACAATTTATTCCAAATGCAACAAGTAAATTAATTTGAAATTGATATTTAAGTACTTTAATTAATCTTTTATTGTTATTATCTAGGGAATTCAGTTCTATACGATTTAAATTTCCGAGGACCACTTGTCAAACGAAACTGTACAGATGTGATTTGTTTACTATTCTTCTTTATTTTTCTTATCATATTTGGATTTACTGTCTATTTTGCGCAACGTGAAGGAAATTTAAGTAAATTGCTAGTAGCACGTGATTCGGAAGGATTTCAATGTGGAAAAGATAGTGAAGTTGTTAATTCGACTTTTCTCTTTTTCTTTGACTTGTCAAAATGTGCTGATCCACTTGTTCCTATTAATGGATGTCCAACACCCCAAAAATGCGTTTCAGAATGTCCACACGAAGCTTTTATTCATGACAAAACAAAGTGTACAAAGGATATTGCAGAATACAAGAAGAAGTTGATCTGTACTCGTCATGTAGACATTCAAAGTCTTAAAAATTGTAATGAAATAGACATAAAAATACAAAATCAAGAATGCGCGCAATGGTATTTGAAGTCAGAACCACGTAAGTGCTAATGGTATTATATTGTAAAAAAATGTTGTTTCGTTATCTTTCAGTTATATTGATTCATGTTCTTTTCAAACATTTTTCATCCGGGGTGGAGATAAAAAAATTTAAGAAACAGGTAGGGAAGGGGGTGGTAGTTTTGATATTGAAGGGGTTTTCCTAAATTCCTTATCAAATGAAGAAATTTCTCGTAAATCGAAGTCAGAAGGTTAAAATATTCAAATCTCCCCTAGCTACGAACCTGCTTTTGATTAAAACTGTTATTGCGAGTCAAATTAAATATTTGTTACTAATTTATTTTAATGTGTCAGCTCTTGAACAAGATTTGCGATAAGAATTAGTAATATAATTTGTGATTCAAACTATATTTGATTTTAAAATGATTATGAAAATTATATGGAAAATCCCGAGTCTTAAGAATCACAATTATGAATAAGCAGACACTGTTGAAATTAATATTGTTACGGCTTAATAGATTATTATGAAAAATAAATGCTTTGTAACCAATAAACAATGAAATTGGTGTTAATGAACATGAATGTTTATTGTTCGATGATTGAAAACAGACTCAATATTTATATTGATGGGGTCTAGCAACTTATAAATGGGGATTTAATTAGTAATGGTTGCAAATATTAAATACTCGTTGATTTAATCTCAACCGACTCCTTAAACTGTTGTCTGTGTTACAAAAATGCTTAACTTCACTAAGTTTAGATCATGCAAATCTAATTTAAATATAAACTAGAATCCTAGTCTTAAAAATCTAATTGGATCTTTGCTCAACTGTTTAAATCCTTTCTTTAAAACTGTTTTATTTTAAACACATTTATCAATCAAGATGATTGAAAATAGAAAGATTTTATTTATTTATGGGTTTAGATTTATGATTTGTATTATTAACCTAAATAGTAAAATGCAGATTTATTAAATCAAGTTTAAATAAAAAAATACTCATGCATAAATAATATTTACAGTTGGAAACCGGTGCTTACCTACTTTAGATGACATTGGAACTATTATTGACAAATCAGAGGAAATGCAAAAGATATTTGAAGCTTTGTACAACATTGAGTTATTTGGTTCATTAAATGGGGTAAGTTTGAATTATAGTAAAATAAATGCTTTATTTTCAATAACTAATAAAAACAAAAAGATATGGCAAATTAGGCTTCACTTCAATTAAAACAAAGAACACATTTTTAGCCTCTGAAGAATATTACATAATACTAATTCTCTTTTGTTTAAAAAATATACATTTTAATGTTTAATAATGATTGAATTTCATGTCTCCATTAGATTAATCTAACATAATTAAATACGATATTCTAAGAGTAGACTAAGAAAATATCATTCAAAAAATAGTGGAAGTTTAACAATGCTCATTTTTAACAATAATATACAAATCTAGCTGAAATTCTATTTTTTTTCTATGCAAAAACAATATTTAGATGAGGCAATTGATTGTTCAGGACACAATCAATACATGGCCCGTGCTTGTTGGAGGTCTGGTAATATCTGCCTTTTGCTCCTTGATAATAATTGCTATTATGAGATGGGTAGCGGGACCAATTGTGTGGTTGTCGATAACAGGTGTATTAACCTTGCTAGGAACCGGTAAGTTAATATATGAAACTAGTCTTCTTCCTCATATCGAAGTCTATTATGTTCTCTTATGGCAATTACTTTGACAAATCGTTTTTGTATTTTATCATTTTCGATGGGTAATTCCTCCACAAAATATACACCTCCATGAAGTTGATTATAATCTGGGAATTTTTCTGCGACATAATCTTTTATAAATTGCTCAGACAAATCTTCAAATTCGGGATTTTTGACAATAACCGCTGCAGGGAGGTTTGTACACACTTTATCAGGAATTCCAACTACACAAACCATTTCAACACCTTCGATAGATTTAATAACGTCTTCGATTTCTGTGGTGCTCACTTGATATCCTTTATATTTCATAATTTCCTTCTTTCTGTCAATGAGGAACACATAACCATCTTCATCAATAAATCCAACATCGCCTGTTCTAAGAAATCCATCGTCATCTGTTGCGTTGTCTGTGGCAGCTTGATTATTATAATAACCCTGAAAATTAATTTAAAAATTAATGTATTTGCATGATTGTAGTCAGGGCTGTGATATGGGTTTTAGAACCAACTTTTTTTTTTAATTTGTAATGAAAAACTTACCAAAAATGGGAATTCTGGCTTCGCGAAAATCTCTCCAGTAATTCCAATATCAACAGGTCGATTATTTTTCCCTATAACTTTGACCTCAACGTTGGGTGCAACTTTTCCTACAGTGAGTCCTTTGATATCATCTGAAGGTCCTGTTACAGCTATAGTTACACAAGCTTCTGTCATTCCATATCCAATAATCAATGGATGTTTAGGAAATTTAGCTTCAAATTGTTTTCTCAACTTTTCGGACACAAAACCTCCAATAGCATAAAAAAGTAATACTTTGTCGAAGTTCCGTGTATTAAGCGTAGAATGTTGCAATAGTAATGATAGTTGATAAGGTGCAGCCATGAACACATTAATCTCATATTTCTGAATCAGATAAATAAGAAGGTTTACGCTGAATGGTTGACAAGTCATGATTCTTGTATCGCGTGGCTTAAATGCAGTAAAGATTGTTGATAAAAATCCAATGGACCAATAAATTGGACTAAAATTTAAAGAACGAAACGGAAAACTCATGTCATATGTAGACAGTTGAGACAGAATATTTGCATGAGATATGCAAACTCCCTAAAATTAAATTAATGATTCACTTAGTTCACATCCGTTATTAAAATTAATAAGCATACTTACTTTTGATAATCCAGTTGTTCCTGCTGAGCATAAAATAGCAGCAAGTGCTTGCTTTGCGTCCCCCAAATGTGGAACCCTTTAATTAAATTTAATTAACGGAAAATATTCTTCCTGATTACAACTTAAAAATTTTTTTTTTGAAACTCACTCAAATAAATCTTCAACTTCTGTTGTTGATAAAAGCTCGTCAACGAATTTAACTCCATTAATTGGCTCGCGCATTGTGATAATAAGAGCATCATTTTTCATTTCGTCAAGTGACAATTTAACTGCTTCATATACATTAGAATCACAAATGACCAGCTTTGGCTTCGTTTGCGAAAACATGTGCTTAATATCATCTTTTTTGAATCCGACATCGAGTGGATTTATTGGCATTCCTAACATTAAACAACCATAAACAACTGCTGGCAAATATGTGGTGTTGCTGCAAATGATTCCGACAATATCTTCGGATTGAAATCCAAGACTAGATAAGTTTTGAGCTATACGAATACTTGATAATCTTGTTTCGTGACATGTCATTGATGTCTCCTCGTCATAGCAAATGTTCAGAACTCTCTCAGGAGTCTCTGATAATCTTTTTAATATTTCTGCGCCAACTGATGTATTGTGACTAAATCTATATGGTATTTTTAGGCCTTCCCACACTAATGATGCCATTGTTTAGATTATTTTCAAATTAATTGGTTATTTAACACAAAATTGTACTTTTCTCAGTAAAGTATGTCCACTAGTTCCTCTGCCAATGCAAGCAAAAATTTATATAAAATGATGATAAGAATGAAAAAATGTGAATTTTTATTTTTATAAATATTCCAAAAATACCAACGAATTGAATCACCTAAACGTTTGAATGCTAAAATACAACTAAATGCGTATATTCTATCTACTACACGTGATTACAAACATGTTACTGGGATGTGGAAAATTCAGAGGCGTAGTGACGTTTTTATCTTTTATAAAGACATTATATGTATTTATATAATACAACTTTACTAAAGTTTAATAGTGTTAGTGCACTAATACATTCTTATTTTGTCCCTGTTTACAAACACACTCAAACAATACAATTGACAATTTATATCCACACCGTACTCATTTTGGAACTTATTGCTTTATTCTTTAATCAGAAACTTAATAAATTTAGGCATCGCTTGATTATTCTCGAAACTAGATTTCGGAAGGATTTGAGACTTTTTGTATCAATGCAAAAAAAAGAAGAATTGTTAAAAATTTGGGTAATTGACAAGATTCCAAAATACTTATTTTAAAATTAGTGATCTATCTATTCTCAAGATTTATCTTTGGTACGGTGTGAATATGTCTGCGTTGCTTTTTCAGCTTTTACATTTTCTAATATAAATATTTTAGTCAATACAGATGCAGCAACCACTTTTGGTACTCACATTTGTTTCTAATACTTATTGTTCTCACTTTTACTTTCGCAAAAAAAAACTTCTATGTCCTTAATGTTCTCGATCAAAAGAATCTTTAGTAAATCCTTAATAATTAATATTTGTTTCTTTCTGTTTCTTTGAATTCAAACGTTTTCAATATTTATTTTCAATCAAAATTACAATCTCTTTTTTTATTAATATCTTTCAATAGAAAAAGGGAAATTATTAGAAAATGATTCAATGGACACTAATACAATAGAGCATTAGCTATACATTAACATTATGACACGTATCAAAATCATAAATGTAACACAATAATAAATGTAACTGGGGATAAGATAATTTATCTCAAACTTAAGATTGAAAAACCCAATCAATCAAATATTTAATTGTAAACTATTTACAAGCTCAATCGATGTCGGTATTTATCAGTTGCAATTTCTTGTACAATTGTTCTCAAAATTCTCCCATTAATTCCAATCGGCATTTCCTCCACAAAATAAACTCCTCCATATAAATGTTTAGTATGAGGTAACCTTTCAGCTACAGTTGATAATATATCATGTTCATTCAGACCTTCAAAATTAGCTTTCTTTACAACAACTGCTGCAGTTAAGTTAGTAACTTTTGAATCGCGAATTCCTATAACACATACTGATTCTACACCTTCAATTGCCTCTATAATATTTTCAATCTCTGATGGAGTGATCTATTGACAAATAAATACAGTTATTAGCTAATAAGAATAACAATTGAGAAGTAAGATCTATACTACGGGTGTTGAACTGATCAAATATGATTTAAACCAAGAACCAAATCATTGTGGATTAAAATCAATACTTACCAAATTTTCTTTATATTTGAAAATATTTTTATTTTTATCGAGTATGTTGACATATCCATCGTGATCCAAAAATCCAATATCTCCAGTTTTGATGAATCCATCTCTATCAACAACTTCTTCTGTAGACTCAGGGCTATTATAATAACCTTGAAATTTGAATTCAGGCTTGACTAGGATCTCTCCAACTTCTCCTAAATCTAATGCTGATCCTTCTTCGTCAACAATCTTTAATTGTATATTAGTGAATGTTCTTCCAACTTTTAAGCCATTATTATTTTCGCCCGGAAACATAGCTGCGATGAAAACTTCAGTTGTTCCATACGAGATTAAAAGAGGCTTGTTTGGAAATGTTTTCTTGAATTTATCACGTAAATTTTCAGTCACAACGGCGCCAGTACAAGAGAATAAAACGATACTTGAAAAATCGCCAGATTGAGGATATGATGAGTTGATTAAAGCATTTAAATATATTGGTGGCATTGCCACAACTGAAACTCGATATTTTTCAATTAGTTCAGCACATAGTTTTGGTGTGAACGTTTGATTAGTGGATATTCTAGTTTCACCTGGTCGAAATGGTGAAAGGAAAATTCCAATGATTCCAACACAAGCATGAATAGAACTAAAGTTTAAAGAACGGAACTCTTTCATAGAACGACATTTCATTTCAGCATAAGTTAGAATAGCTGTATGTGAGATGCAAACACCTTTAAGCTTTCCATTTGGGTCAGATGTGCACATTATAGCCATTAATTTCTCAGATGATTGTCTATCAAATTTAGTTGCTTTATAATGATATTCAGATCCAGTCGGTATTAAAAGTTCATTAATAAATGGAACAGCTTGAACTTTTTTCAGAAGAGTGTAGATCATTGCATTACTATTGATTTCTTTGAGAGCATTTCTTGTGATTTCCAATACATCAAAGTCACAAAATACAAGGACAGGCTTAGTTTGTTCAAAAATCTCTTGAATTTTACTTTTACTAAAAGTTATATGCACTGGATTTACTGGCGCACCAATCAATACACAACCTAATACAAGTGAAATTACTGTACTAGAATTCCTGCATATAAATCCAATTACATTGTCAGTTTCTATTCCTAGCCTTTGGAGATTTTGAGCTACACGAATACTTGCAATTTTAATTTCTTCACAAGTGTGACTTGTACCTTCTTCATGATTTATTTGCAAAACTCTATCAGGCGTTTCATCAAGTGCACAAAGTAGTTTTTCTCCATAAAATAAATCCAATGGATAGCTATATGAATTCACTGTATTTGTCCAAATTTTGGAATTGGGATTGAAAGTTCCCATAATAATTTATAAATTCGAATGCTAAAAATTAAAGCAGACCTTTTTTTCACATTTAATCAACAGAACTGACAACTTCGTTTTTATAAATAAGCTTTGTTTATTCTTATCTCTAAAACTTGCTTTCTATTACACCAAAAAATATATCTTATCAGCATTTTATACCATATACGGTATGAAATGTCATATAAGGTAATTCACAATCACACGTTTAAATTCGCTCTCATGATGCTATCAAAAAAGCTCATATCTTTTATATATTTTTTGCTGGTTTTTAAACCTTTACTGGTTTTTGAACCTTTTTTAAACCTTTACTCTTTTCCAATATGTACTTAAGACTTAAATAACAGTTATATTAATAATTTATTTGAATCTTATTCCCATTTAGGATTATTCTTTAGCTATAGACAATATGACTTCTATAGTAAGAAGCCAGTCGACCGATACAATCTTCAACCAAATCTCAAATCAATCATCAATTCTTATTTTATCGAAGCAAATACTTGGCTTTATATTTTGATTGGATCATCAATAGTCTTTTTGGTAATCTTGCTCTTAGTTATTGTTTTCCGTAAACGAATAACAATTGCAATCGCTCTTATTAAGGAAGGAAGCAAGTAAGTATAAATAGTTGAAAATTGAGCTTTAAGTTCAAAGACAATAAAAAATCTTTTAACTGCTGTCAAAACTTCTTAAAGAAGCTAATATTGTTAAATTCTTTCCAGAGCTGTATCATCAAATTTGACAACAATCTTATTTCCAATATTTCCATGGATTTTACAAACAATCGTCACAGTTGTATCAATTTATTCATTTTTACATCTTCTATCAATTGGTAAACCAATTTACAAAGTCTTGGGAATGAATGAATCGTGTCTTTGTACTGGAAACTATTCTTCTATACAGAATGGTGATCTGTGTGATCCGATAAAATTGCATGATTTTTGTGGATCTCAGAGTGATGGATTAAAGTGTCATATGTCTTGCCATTATACTGGAATTCAACCTCCTCCAATTGCAATCTATTTTAAATTCATTAATGTTATTGGATTCTTTTGGTTGTTATTTTTTGTATCAGCCTTTTCGGAAATGGTGTTAGCTGGAACATTTGCACGATGGTATTGGACAATGAAGAAAAGTGATGTGCCATTTTTTAATCTGACTAGAAGCATATATCGAACAGTAAGATTTCATCTTGGCACATTGGCTTTTGGATCATTAATTCTAACAATATGTAGAATCATTCGACTTATTCTTGAGTATGTGAATGAAAAACTCAAAGCATATAATAACGAATTCACCAAGGCTGTAATGTGCTGTTGTCGATGTTTGTGCATGTGTTTGGAGAACTTTTTGAAATTCTTGAACAAAAATGCCTACATAATGTGTGCGATTCATGGAAAAGCATTTCTACCTAGTGCCAAAGATGCATTCAGTCTTTTAATGAGAAACTTTCTGCGAGTAATTGCATTGGACCAAACAACAGATTTTCTTTTCTTCTTATCGAAGCTTCTCATATCACTTGGGACATCTGCATGCTGTTATGTTTATTTGACAAGTGAATGGTTTCCAAAGCACTTTCCACACATTTTTCTCCACTACCCACTTGCTCAGATACTTTTTATCTTTATTCTATCATATATCATTGCCTCTATCTTCTTCAACGTTTATTCGATGGCTGTTGATACACTGTTCCTGTGTTTCTGTAAGTATAAAATAAGATTTGAAAAAAGGATTAGGTTTGGGAAAGATTCCAATTTATTTATTTTAGTGGAAGATTGTGAAAGAAATGATGGAAGTCCAGATCGGCCATACTTTATGAGCAAGAAGTTGTTGAACATTCTTCGTAAAAGAAACAAATAAATTTACAATTGGGTGATTCCGAGATTTTCAAAAAAGCTCGAATAGTCATCAATTTAAAAAAATGATATCTCTCCATTTTCTTGCATATTTTACAATAATAGAGGCTTTCCATTTAGGAATGGGAAATATTTAATAATATATATATATACTTTAGTGAAATTGATCGATAATGTTTTGAATAAATTTGTTAAAATATCACAACCGAAAAAGTCATATTTAGAATAAAATTTATAATATTGTAAAAAAATTGTTTAATTTAATGCACTTAAAATGCATATTCACATCAGTCTACGCCGTAATTCTATATTACTTTCCTCAGAGTTCTTGATAAGATTAAACAGAATTCCATTTTATTATCATCAGGACTGAAAATTGAAACTGATTTGAAAATGAAATGTTTCTTTATTTTCAAAACTTTATTAATCGATTTCTAATTTTCTGAAAGTTCCATCAATTCCAAATAAGCTTTCAGGATTTTTAGGTCTTCCAATTCTCTTCTTTTCATCAACGCCATACTTTGTGGTTTGGTCTATAAGGAATTGTCTGTTAGCAAAAATTTTATTTTCCCAATATGTTGTTATGTTGTCCATTGAGTCACCATCTCCTCCATACTCTTTTGGTAGAATATGCTTTGGGATGACTTTGAAAAGTGATTCAAAATCATTTCCGTGAAAGTAAATCTGCAAAAAAAATTGAAATTAATAATTTGAAAATTTAATATTGGAACTAAGTTTTACTCTTGATCGAATTTTCTCATTCAAGAACTGCCTGATAATGTTGAAGAATTTTTCAAAAAATGATGGAACATTGACATAATGAATAGCTTTCAATCTGAATGGACTTGCCTAAAGTGAAAAATTAATTTGCTATTTTCATCCGTTACTGTCTCAACTTTGTTTTACTTACATCTTGCATCATCATTGTCATTTTCTTCATATGCTGTGGTGTAAATGATGTAAAATGCGCCAATGTAGCTCCTTTTAAGTCTACAATATTAATCTGACCAGCTATAATCATCTGATCATCCTCTTCATGAAGTAGATCATTGATTAGCAAGAATGACTTCATAACATCTTCCATCTTAAACTTATCAGGATCGTAACCGCCTGGGCGTGCTAAAATAACACGTGGTGATCCTTCAGACCATGTTGTTGGTATTGGAATCATTGAACTTAATCAAACAGCTGATTAATGTCAATTAATATTTTATAACTTTTTATCAATTTACCTAATCTTCATGAATTCCCGCAAATTCATTTTGTCAGGGTCACGATCTCCAAAAAACTCAGGAGAATGTTCACGGATTGTGTAGAACATGTCTAATTTTTGCTTAGCTTTTTCAAGACTGTATTTACTGCATCTTAAGAATGAGATCAAAAATTGATCATCAGTTCTTGCTCTTAAATGTGGTGACTTTCTTATCCATTCTCTGAACTGATCAAGAATTTGTTGAATCTGTGTTGGATCCTCATTAAGCTCTTCTCTAGCAATTTTCTCTAGAGCTGGACTTAGTTCTCTAATATTAGGAGCCATCTTTATGTTTCAAAAGTTAAAAAGCTACTAATTATTTCATGATTGATAAAGTTTACTGATTTTCACAATCATTATCTTATCGATTATTTTTATAAGGTGGGTGCTCTGTTCGTGATAAGATTAAGGAATAAAACAATTTATGATTAGAACTAAAAGAATTGGAATAGATTGAAAATGGAATGTCAACAAATTCAGCCTTTATTAATCAATTTCAAGTTTTCTGAAAGTTCCATCAATTCCGAACAAGCTTTCAGGATTTTTGGTCTTTCCGATTCGTTTTCTTTCATCGACCTTATATAGCTTGACATCTTCCACTAGTCTTTCGTAGTTGTCCTTGATTTTTTGCTCCCAGTGTTGAACTATATAGTCAATTGACTCACATTCACCTCCGTATTCCTTTGGCAAAATGTCCTTTGGAATTCCAGATTTAAAAAGTGACTCCATGTCATTTCCGTGGACAAAAACCTAAAATGATTTAAATTAGATAAAGCTTAAAGCAATTTCAAAGTCATTACTCTCTTCTTCATTTTCTCATTCATGAATGATACGAATATGTTAAAGACTTTCTCGAATCCAGGTGGAGTATTGACATAGTGAATGCCTTTCTGACGAATTGGTGAACCTTCTTGTGATAGCATCGTCATTTTCTTGATTATTGACGGCTGCATCTGAAGCAAGTGACCTAAGGTTACATTTTTCAAATCAATAATACTTAATGAGCCAACAACAGCTAGATTGTCATTTTCAATCAACATTAAGTCATTAATAAGCATAAATGCTCTTAAAATTTCTTCAATATGAAACTTTTCAGCATCATAAGACCCTGGACGAATGATTTCTATGACAGGTCCATCAGGTTGTGACTTCGATATTGGAACTATAACTCTGAAAAGTTTGAAATGAATTAACTGTAAGAATATACAGGCAATGATCAATAATTCCTACCCAAGTCTTAAAATTTCTAAAGTCCTTTCATCCAATCCTTCACGTTTTCCAATTAACTCACCCGAGTGGACAAAGTACTAGTTAAAAGCTTGCAATTGACTTGCCTGTTCATGGCGAGTAAGTATCCATTGACGTGCCTTTGCAACTAGACTTAGGGACGACTAATGACATATTTTGCGCTTTCCATTTAACTGGACGTAGGAATTGCAAATATGTCTAGTTAATGTCCAGTTACAAAAAAATCGAAATAAAATAAATAACACGTGTCTTTTTCTCCATTTTTTTATTTTGTAAAATTTTATTATTGTATTAGTGTAATTAATTAATTAAAGTACACTAACACTTATGAAAAATCTCTAGTAAAAATTGAGTCTCGAACACTTGCGCGTGAAACATTTATATTTACTTAAAAGTTTCATACAAATTTTGGGAGGCCTTATATAAGTGATTTCTGCAAGCGCTTGTGAAGTATATGGTCAAAAGAGTAAGGAAAATTATTTTTGAGTTTCGAACACTTGATTGATTAGCATGAATGTCCAGTTAAAGTCTAGTAAACGTCTAGTTCTTTATGCCGTATAAATTTGGGCAAGTCAAAAGACTGTTAAATGATTGTCCAATAATGGACTTTAACTGGCTGTGTCCACCCGGGTCAGGTGCATGTGTACGGACAGTGTAAAACATGTCAAGCTTTTGCTTTGCTCTTTCTAAACTGTATTTACATCCTCTTAGAAATATTATCAAGAACTGATCATCTAATCGTGAATTTAAATGTGTCGACTTCTTAATCCACTCTCGAAATTGCTCTAGCATTTGTGGGATTTGCGACGATTCTTCATGTAATTCCTGTTTTGCAATCAACTGCAGTTCTGGAGATAAAACTCTAATATTTGCAGACATACTTCTTGCACTTTGATTCCCTGAAACTCGAATGTATTCTCAAAATCGGTTTCTCGATTTTTGTGAAGCCTTATCAAGTTTTGCTATCGATAATTGCGATAAGATTAATGAAAAAAGCTTTAAAGGATTACTACATGCTTTTTCGGATATTTAGTGCCTTTCACAATATTTATCACCTCGCAACACGTGAAAGTTCTTTCTTTGGTAAACAAACTGTTTATTTTGGAATGACAATTTCGTGAATCTCTTGAACTTTGGATATTAAATTTGTTCATTTCACATCTGACAAGTTTAAGCTTGATACTATAGATTTTTATTATGTAGTTTAAATAAATTATTTACACTTTATATCAAATCAATCAATATTTAATTGACGGAATGAACCTTCACATCCAAAAACAGTACTTGATGTGTTTTGTGGACCAACTCTTTTACTTTCTATTGTTCCATACTTTTCTTCCTCCATAAAATAATCTTTATATGATAGAATCCTCTTCTCCCACATGTCAATAATGCTCTCTATAGATCCTATTTCACCTCCGTATTCTAGAAATTTAAGATAAGTTAGACAAGCTTGATGAGATTCCATAATACTAACCTGTTGGAAGTATCTTTTGTGGAATTATTTTATGCAACGATTCTGAACTGTTATGGACGAAGAGCTGTAAATCAATTGAACAATATTAAAGCATTTTAAATAGCTTAGATCAAGTGATAGGAGCATTAATAAATTAAGAATAGCTTTCAATCAAATATTAAATTCAATATTCAGCAATTCTTTAAGCAGTTCGAACTAGAATTCTAATACTTAAATTCAAACTAATCCAGAAAATTATACTTACTCTCGATCGATTCTTCTCGTTCATAAATGATGTAAACAGATTGAAGACTTGATCAAATCCTTTAGGACAATTGATCCAATGTATGCCTTTAAGTCTACCAGGAGCTGCGTCTTGAGTAATTATTATCATTTTCTTAATGAAAGACGGTGTATATTGAAGGAAGTGCTGTAATGTAACACCTGCTAAATCTAAGATACAAAGCTGACCAACAATAACAAAGTTATCGTCTTCATTCAGCAAAATATCAAGCATCATTGTTGTCACTTTCATAGCATCTTGAATAGTATATTTGGATGGATCAAAAATTCCTGGACGGACTAAAATAATTCTCGGTGAAGCAGGACTTTCTAAAACTGGTAAAGGTAGCCCAAAACTGGAACAGAAACGTAATTCATAGAATAATTTCCTGATAAAAATTATGCGTTATGAAGTAAGCTCACCCTTGTCTTATCATTCCCATTAAATATTGATTATTTGGGTCCCGATTTCTTATAACTTCGGGTGTATTTTGACGAACTGAATAAAATAAGTCTAATTTCTGTTTAGTTTTTTCTAGACTGTACTTGCAACCTCTCAAAAAAGCTAATAAAAATTGATCATCAGTTCTAGTCTTCAAATGTGGGCTATGCTTTAGCCAACTCTTTAATGATTCTAGATCTGATTCTATCCTATTTGGATCTTCATTAATCTCATCAATTGCCACTTTTGCCAACTCATTGTGTAGCGTACGTAGTTTTGTCATCTTTAATTATTTCCTAAACTTATCACACTATAAAACTGTTTGAGAAAGGTCAATAATTTTAAAATGTGGAGCAAACACGACTGACTATTTCGACTGTTAAAAGAGAAGTGAGGAATTGAACAGAAATGTTCATGTTTATAACTCACGAAATATAGACTAAATGAGTGAGCACAGACAGTGTGATAAGATAAAAATAAAGAGAATATTTTTAATTCATAGCATATTTGTATTAGTAAGAAATACTGTCATTGGTTATAATAAAGATTATATGACGAAGTGGCTGCTAGGAAATCAGCATGGTAATGTCTGTATTCAGGTGGTCTTATAGCTTCAAGTGTTCCATAAGCAGCATCTTGGATGAAGTAATCTCTGTACTCAATCAATTTCTTTTCCCAGAACTGAATTATTGCTTCTAATGGACCCGACTCGCCCCCATACTCTAATGGTAATATGTTTCTAGATATGTGATCACTTAAGGTGGCACTCGTTGTAGGGTGGATAAATATCTCTGCTGGATAATCTTCAGTTTGCATATCTCTTGTTTGTGTGATTGTTTTGAAAAGATTGAAAACAACATCAAATCCTGGTGGCGTATGAACATAATCTAATAATAAATAAAGAAATGTCATTTAGTACTGACGTGCCTCTGATTATTCCTTTTATGGAAAACGAAATTTTCGATAAATTCTTATCATTTTTCGTGCTTTAGATTATAAGAAATTTTGCTGCGAAGTTACTTACGAATAGCATTTTGATGTAGTGGAGAGCCTTCTTGGTTCAAAAGTGCTAGCTTTTTCACCAATAATGGTTCAAGTTGCAGCAAATGACTCTTTGTGACGTTCTCAAAGTCAACAATTGCAATCTCTCCAGATATGACTAGATTATCGTCCTCGATCAGTAAGATATCGCAAATCATATTTGCAACCTACATATTCGTACTTAGTAAGTGTGCTTAACCTTGATATTCTGATTACTTACCTTCATAATATCAATAATGCTGTATCTTGTGGCATCGTAACTTCCAGGGCGAATCAGAATTACTCGACCACTATCAGGTGTCTCAGTCAGTGGAAGTGGCAATCCAACACTAGTTTTATGATTTTTTAATATTCTTGCAACAACGAAAATATATTTAATGCTCACCCTAATCTAATAACCTCTCTCAAATGTGGATCCAAAGGATCTCTGTTCACCATTATTTCAGGCATAGCCGTCCGGCACGTGTAAAACATTTCAATCTTAGTTTTTGCCTTTATCAGATTATGTTTTGATCCACGCAGAAAAGTAAGTAAAAATTGATCATCTGTTCTAGCATTTAAATGCGGTGTTCGTTGTATCCATTTTTTAAGCTCTTCAATTTCTTGCCCAATATTTAATGGCTTTTCATTTAATTCATGAATAGCCCTATATTGTAATGGCTGTGAAATTTTGCGTATACTTGACTGCATCTTTCCCCCACAAAATGTATCTCTATACTCACGAGTTTTGATATTTTTTTCAATCAAATGTATAGCACAAGATACCAATAATTATCAGAAAAATTTCTTATTTCTGTTTGATTCGTTTTTATTTCTAAGTACTTTTTTTGATAAGATAAGATAAAGTGTTTAGATGTGTTCGTGCGAATGTACTTCTAAGAATCATGGAAGTTTTGTTTATAAATTGCTTTGCTTCTGGTAATTGGGTTTAATCAAGGCTTATTTACTTTTTACAGCCTATTTCTGAACAAAGTTCTCTTTTGAAAATATATCAGCAACCGATTAGCCTTTTTTGCGACAAAGCACCTGCCTTAATCACAACAATTGTTGTTAGGCAAAGCTTTGATAATAATTCTAAGTGAATAATTGGATTACAACATAAGTGGGGAATTTCGATAATAAAAGATTGATTATGATTCATTGGACTTTGAGTAAACAAAACAAATTTTAGGTTATGTGTGTATAGGGGTACACAAGTAAGCACAAGCTAGTCGATGAATGTTTGAAAACAAATAAATCTAAGAGGTGCAGTCAGAAATTGTTTGAAGGTTGCTGCTTCTTGACAGTGGTTACTCAGTCAAGGGTTTAAGCGCCATTTTGTACAAGAACTCTTATATATAGCTTGTAAATGAGAGTACAATCAGACCCTGCTTCTTACCTAAATACACCCCAGCCTTAAATCAATTTTATAATTCATAAAGATTTGATAAAACTAAAGATACTGGATTTTTGTGCGAATGATAAGATGTCTGAAACTTTTATACACCTAACTTAGTGTCTACTACAATAACAAGTAAGAGTATTTGATTAAAATCGACATTTTTATTAATGATAAAAATATGGCAAAATAATCTTATGTACTTGTTATCACAAATGACTAATCAATGTTTAATGAACGAAAACTTCCACCAACACCAAAAAGTCCATTTGAATTTTCAGAGTCTTTTGGTGGAATATAGCGGAACTGCTTTTCATCTTCTAAGAACCATTCACGTCTGTCCAATGCAAGCTTTTTCAAATCTGTTCTAATTTTCTCTAAACTCGAATTTGTTCCACCTAAATCGGACGGTAAGTGATTCTTCAAATGTGGTAGTTGCTCATACATTTTGTCAAAGTTTTCATGGACGTAAATTCGATTCCTAAGCTTTTCATGACAGACGCTGTTTAAAATGCTGAATGCCATGTCAAGTGCTTTTGGTGGATATACCAAATGAATTGCTTTAACACGAACTGGAAAAGGCTCAAGAAGTCCTGATAATTTCTTGATTAATGTTGGAGTGACTTGAGTCAGTAAGTTTAGTCCACAACCGCGTAAATCCACAACATTGATTGTTCCTATAACAATTGTCACATCAGACTCGAACATTGATCTAAAATCAAAACTCTGATTAATCTTTTGTGGTTATCGCAAAAAAAATATGACTTACAAATCTCCAAAGAAATAAGTCACTTTCATGATATCCACAAATGTATATTTATTTGGATCATAATTTCCTAACTGAGTTAAGACTACTTTGGGTTCAGGCTTATTTTCGTCTACAGGCATTGGAATGATAAATCCAAAGTTCATAATTTCACTCATTGTCTTATCACAAACATCCCGATTCGCGAAAAACTCTGGAGTTTCCGCTCGTGCTTTATAAAAGCTTTCGATTTTCTTTTTTGCCTTTTCAAGGCTAAACTTACATCCACGAAGGAAAGTTATTATGAATTGATCGTCGTCGCGGGATTTCAAGTGTGGCATCTTCTTTATCCATTGTCTTATTGATTCTATATCCTCTTCTATTCTCTCGGGAACTTCATTTAACTCCTCAATTGCCACTTTTTGTAAAGCTTCTGATAATGGACGAATTTTTGGCATTGTGAACCGACCTATTCGAAAATTAAATCTCAAATGAATGTGTCGATACAAAAAGAACACAGATAATACAGCGCCGCTTGATAAAATGCAGTACGATATGAATGAAGGCTTTCCGTGGTGCTGATAACAACATTGTCGTGTCGATTAATTAGATTTTACACCTGTGTTTGTGATTGACTGAAAATTGAATTAAGGAGGAGAGACATAAGTAAAGGTTTGGGGGTGTTTGCTTGTAATGGGGTTACGTAGATGATTAAGGAGATTTTAAATTTAGGTATAGCATGGTACTTTTTGGTCTGTTTCATTCATAAAGTAATCTTGTTGTTCTCGTTCAGATTTCTGACTCGTTCCTTAATCCAAAGTTGTCGTAAAGTGTCGTTATGTCTTTCCTTTAATTATAATTACTGTTTATTTGCGTTTAATTTAAGTGTAATGTCTTTTATTTAATTAAATTATAATTTTTATATTCACACCGTTTTCACGTGTGAATCTATTGGTATTGTTCAGATTGAAAAATCAGTTTTTAGAATTTTGTGAGGATATGGAGCAAGATAGCTTAAAATGTTCAGAGATGAATTTCACATCTTTTGCAAAAAACAGATTTCAAATTGGTTGCGGCATTGCTGAGAAAATCGCAAAATATGCTTTCTGTAAGCAAGCAAACAAGCAAGTTAATCAGCAAGAAATCTCAATAACGAGACATCGTAGAGACTTCTAGTTTTTTACAATTGATCCGTGCTGCTCTATAGAAGAGCTGTATTGTTTTTGGGCAAGGTAGGAACAGCCGTTGCTTCAGAAAAAGCATAAAACTTTCCTTTCTTACGAATTTTTCAAATTAAAAGTTCACTGTGATTTTTTTTTATTTTAAATTAAACTTTGGATGAAAAAAAATTTTTTGAGCAAAGAACCAAGAAAAAAAAAATACATTTTCAATTTTGGACTAGGGGCTAGGGTTTGTGGAAAACAGATGTTTTTGAAAAACAGTCTGTTTTCGGTTTTTGATTTTTAAAAACAGCTGTTTTCCTGTTTTTCTAGAATTCAAATTTTGAATTTCAAAATAAACTGAGTTATCCTAAGTGTTTCTCTAAGATATAAGCAGGTGGTTATAAGCAGTTAAGCATACATTTTAGAGCTAAGCATTATTATTTCTTATTTTTTTATGTTAATTAACTCTAAAAAATATAATGAAATATAAAAATGCAAAAAAAAATCCAAAAAAAATTATATTTTTAAGTAACATTGCATTGTTGCATTGTAAAAGTTCCATAAGCTCTAATATTTTATTTGAAATATTCAAAAAATCTTTTTGAATAAAAAAATATCTTGTAAAATTGTTGATTATATTTTTAAACATTAGTAAATGCTACAAAAGGTTCAACAAATTTAAAATTTCGATTGCAATAAATTTGCATAAATATTCTAGTGCTTAAAACAAATACAAATAAAACATTCTGAAATTTTTTTGAGCAAAGAACCAAGTAGGAAATACATTTTCAATTTTGGACTAGGGGCGACCCTAGTCAAAATCAATTTTGTCACTTTTTTCTTCGAGGGTTTTTCCAAATGGATTGAAACTTTGCATAAATATTCTAGTACTTAAAACAAATACAAATAAAACACCCTAAAATTTTTTTGAGCAAAGAACCAAGTAGGAAATACATTTTCAATTTTGGACTAGGGGCGACCCTAATCAAAATCAATTTTGTCACTTTTTTCTTCGAGGGTTTTTCCAAATGGATTGAAACTTTGCATAAATATTCTAGTGCTTAAAACAAATACAAATAAAACATCCTAAAATTTTTTGAGCAGAGAACCAAGTAGGAAATACATTTTCAATTATGAACTAGGGGCGACCCTTGTCAAAATCAATTTTGTCACTTTTTTCTTCGAGGGTTTATCCAATTACGGTGAAACTTTGTGTGAGAATACTAATATTTATACAAAACAGTTTTAAATATCTAAAGCAAGAAATGTATTCTCTATGTCGTTAGGCCCAAATTTTATAAATTTGGTTGTACATTCAAAAACAACGTGACTTAAAATTTTTCAAAAAAAATTATTTTTATTAATTCAGAAATGTGTGACCTGAGGATTAGAATGCTCATACAAAGTTTTACTGTATTTGGATTTATCCTCGAAAGGAAAAAAGTGAAAAACGAGATTTTGACTAGACCTGTCCCAAGATCATAATCAAAAATGTATTTCTACTTGGTTCTTTGGTCAAAAAAATTTTTTGGATGTTTTATTTGAATTGACATAATTCTGACATAAATCATATACCAATATTACTTTTTGTAATGCTTAGCTTAAAAAAAAAATCGAAATCTAAAATTTCGACTATCCCACCTGAATTTTGTTCATACTCTTCACTGTGGAAACCAAAAAACGAATTCTTTATCTTAAAACACTTGACAAAATAGCGATATAATTCAGGATTAATTACGAGAAAATGTGGTTCAAATAAGTGTGAAGTATGGCCGAGATTTGGACCAAAATCAGCTATACTGGTTCATAGTGTTCCCGAGGGTGACAAAATTCAAACTAAGTGTTTTTGTAGCTGACATAATTATGACATAAATTAGGTATAACTTTTGAACTGTGTCGATATGGGTCTCGGCCTTACTTTACGACCACCCTTCAAACTTATGCTGAGCAAATCTTGGTCTATCCATAAGACTTTTGATGGTACGGTGTGAATATATCCGAATTGGGTTTCTACCCGATACACTAGTTAGAAAACATGTGTTCTTGACACTTTGTACTGCGCTTTTATAAGAGGGTGTGCAATTACGAGCGAATTCGCTCGAGCACAATGCAGTTCAAAGTGCGGCAAACAATTCAAATACAAAAGTTCGTTACATATTGTACTTAAATGTTGACTTAGCTAGAATTAAGGCATGGATTAGGCTTAAGTTACTTTAAGTGTGTAAATAATATTGTAAATAACTAGCCTGTACATTAGATTTAAGGTATTTTAACAAATTGACTACAAGAAATGAATATTTAAAGTATTAGCTGTCATTCTCTTAATGACACAAAGTTTTCTTAAGATCCATTTTGGTATTCATCTGAATGATACAAGTTGACCCAACCCTCTGATCTCGCTTCATACCCATTTCTGTTTATTACTGGACTAAGTTCTTCAAAGAACGGAATAAAAGGCAATCAAATCAGCGTACACACGATTTTAAAGATGCAACTTTTTATTTATTTATCTTCAAAATCATAAAATTAATAATTTATATTCATAGTTATTGTATGTTCTTCATGACAGATACAATTACGAATTATACACTACAAATATTAAAAAGTTAAGCATGTAAAGTTAATATATACATTTCTTATCTGTGCATTATTTTCGGATTTGCACAAAAATCCATTCCAGATCAACTTAAAATCGATTGTTATATTTTTTAAAAAGTTTGCTGCTGCTGTCCATAATATTGTGATCCATTACCCATCCTCCATGCATCATTTAAAGTCGGAGCATTCGAGTCTAAAATTGTGTAATAAAGCTTCTGCTGTTCACCGTCTTGTGCTAAAACTGTATTTTCCTGTACTGAATATGCTGGATTTTGTAAATTCTGTGGTATCCTTTCTGTCTTTACCCTCTGATTTTGATCTACAACATAATTAGTCTGTTGCTGCATTTGGTATTGTTGATATTGTTGCTGTTGAAGTAGCTGCTGCTCTAAAATCATGTCTAGATTATTTTTCTGTTGAATTTTCGTCACTTTTGGAGACACTGGCTTAGTTGGAGCTTGCTGAATGACACTCGTGTGCTGTACAACTGGTTCTTTCTTAGCAACATTAACCTTAACAGTCTCAGGTGCTTTAGGTTTGTTACTGGACTGTAGGAATTGTGCAAATGCATCATTATAAGATGGACCTCGAGAGGCATTTACTGGAGGTGTTGTGGGTATTTTAGGTTGTGGTAATGGTACATCCACTGGCTTTCCTGACATTACTGTCACTTTTTTATCTGACTTTTCAAAAACTGTAACTGAAATTATGCATTCTTATTATAAATGTATATCAAGGTGATGCAAACTACAAAATATCAAATCAACAAGCTATGGAAATAATACAGCATACAAAAAATAATAATTCAAGCATTGCTCAGCGACAAAAATGATCAAAAACTAATTCTATCTGAAGAATCAAAAATTCAGTACCTTAAAAATATTTTAATCTTATTCTGTACAGTTGCAATTTTATTGCCTAATTCAAATTGATGCATTGTACAAAATTGCGTAGAAAATGCGATTCTTCAGATGTTTGTTGATTTAGCTGAGCAACGCTTGATCTTCTTTTTGGCTGTTCCTACTCCGTACACACAGAAAATTAATTGGAAAAGAAGTAGAAGAAGAAATCAAATTTTTTATTCTTTTGATTCATAATTTGAGCTACAGAACTTCCAATATTTTTTTGGAACTGATAAATTTTCAACTAAATGCTAAAATTCAAATGGAACTAAATTTGCGTTTCTTACCTTTAGCGCTGCTTCCATTTGTTGGTTTTGAACTCTCTTTAATAGCATGTGCCGTCAACGGCTTGTTCTGAGAAGTTGAATTAGATTTAGGAATTTCCTTCTGAACTGGCTTTTTAGCAACAGGCTTAGCAAGTGTCTTTGAATTACTTAAAGGATCTTGGTCCTTTGTTGTGACTGGCGAGTCTGGTTTCCTTTTAGTTGGTGGCCTGCCACGTCTACCTGGTGGTCTTCCTAGCTTCTTAACTTTTCCATCTTGTGTGACATACTTATGTCCTTTAGATTCAAACCAGTCATCATCATAGTCTGAGTCGTGCTTCTTTCGTCTCTTGCCACGTTTAGGTCTCTCATCTTCACTTTCTTCTTCGCTTGATAAATCATCAATTATCATTTTACGACGTGCTGCTTCACGCTCATCAAAGTCAGCTTCCATTCCTGCAACTTCGTCTTCAGCAGACACAAAATATGATGCACGAATATCTTCTTTAGTTTCATCAGTAACTTGTGGATTGTCCAAAATGAATTGAAGATCCAAGTCTGGGTTCCTTTCAACGAATGACATTTTGTGACTGTATGTTGGTTGATTTGTATCTGCTAGATTTGATGCATATTCTGGATGTGGAGTTTTGTCCTTTCCTGCCTTCCAATCCTCAAAAATCGATGGCTGAAATCGCTGAACAAATGTATCCATTGGAAATTTAACAGAATCTGGACAACAATGGCAAAGAACTGCATGCTTGCCATACTCAATCCAACGTTCTGTTGTGAAATTTGTCGATTCAGCACAATTAAATCCATGATTAAAGCCTGCATGATATCCATAAGGGAAAGTAATCATAATTTCACCAGCTTCTTGTGTGATTCTATCGTATGGAATATCATAATCATCAAGCCATTTCGGATGTATTGCAGTCATCTTGTGACGCAAAAAAGCAGGACATATCTCGTGAGATTTTCCAAATAATGCAACTGTCAATTTCTCAAATTTCCGTCCATAACATGGAGGAATTGTGTACCAAGACTTTGACATACCAAAATGTAAGAAATTAATACTGTATAAATCCATATCTTCTGTATGCCAACCGAATGTTGTTTTCCACATACCAAAATAAAGGTACGCAGTATTAACACCGTCAATAGAAATGTCATAATCCTTCCCAACATAATCTAAGATTGTATCTAATTTATTAATATTCCAGTATTCATAATCTGGATCTGTAATTGAGCCACAAACATCAGCTCCATAAATACCAAAATGTGATGTCATTCGATTCCAATAAATCTGCTCTAATTCAGCATAATTTCGATGTGGTGGCGTGCAATATTTTGGTGAATTTGCAAGATTCTTAAAGTCTGTAACCGTCATTGACTTCATTGGAACATTTACTTGCTGATAAACGCCATCTCCTTTGTCTTTAACTTTAGCTACAACTTGACATAATGGCTTCTTTATCGTCACTTTTAACTTTGTCAAATCTGAATAGCCTTGCTTGCGAGGAACATACTCTTTCGGTGGAATAATCTAAAATGAGAAGAAAATTATATGAAATGTAGTATGACTCGTAAAAATAGACAGGAAAGCAGTATGCTACACATAGCTTGTCGCGGTAGACATTTTGCTTATGTGTACATGAATGAGGAACGAAAATAATAATGGGGACGGTGTTGGCTGCACGGAAAAAAGTTGAATAAAATTTGATGAAATTTTGAAATTTTGATTCGTGGATTTTTTTTAAGGATTGCTGGATGGAAAGTATGGAAAAATAGCTTAAATTGAGTTTTGATGTTAAAAATAGCTAGAATAGCTAGTGACGTCATTTATGGATATATCCTATGTCTGAAAATTGATGATAAATTTTTTGGATCAAAAGTCATGATAATTATTCAAAAATGCTGAATTTAAGCAACTTTACTGAAAATCCATCAAAATCTACTTTTAAGTCCAAAAAAATGCAAACAAATGAACAAAAACAAAGAAAAGTAGGCCAATGACCCAAAACAGCTGATTTTTGCCGGCACAGCTGATTGTCGGAATTTTTTGCAATTAATTCAAGACTCTGACTTTAAAATCTCTCAATAGACACAGAATTAATTAATAATAACTAGGAACTAAGGAGAAAACCGAGAATAAAACATAATTCATACGAAAATAAATCAGATGCGACATCGACGATTGTATGGAGAAAACTCGTGTATGCTATTAGCTCTGTGTTTTAACAATTTTACATGTTTTTAGCATTTTTTGAGATTAAAATCAATAATTAAACTTTAAATTTCCTATAATTAATAATTTAGATGCTATTTTAGCAAGTTTAGGTTTTTCGAACATCAAAACCCGAGTAGACACGAAAACGCACATGGCATAGCCGAACATTTCCGAACATTTGTTGTCATGTCTAGTCTCGTTCTGTTGTTGATGTTTTTAAAGTTGTTGTGAAACTTTTTGAGATTTTTTTTTTTTAACTTTTTGGATCAACTTACTTTTGCGAGTCCAGCACGATGAGCTCCTTGTGACTCGATATATTTAATGTATTTTTTGAAATCTTTGAATTCCTCCCATGTTGGTCGGAACGTTTGGATTTTGAGGGTCGGATCGTCCATAATTAACGATAATCTGTGGATTAGAATTTTAATTGATTTTTATGCGTTTTTAGGATATATTCACTATGATAGAAGGGCATTTTATGAAGTTTTATGGAGTATTTGGTATGGTAAGAAGAAGAAAAGTATTCTGGATTTCATGACGAGTGCTTGACTTTCTTTAATTCCAATACTAAATCTAATGACTTTACTTCATTATTTCTTAAGTATTTGAATGCCTATTTGACAAATTTAAAGTTCAAATCAAGGTTGAAGAAAGTTATGTGAAGTAAAAGTACAGAAATAAGGAACTGGACACACAGAGTAGCCAAATCATGATGAAATTCAGAATATGACTACGTGATTTACTATTACCTCTTAAATCTCACTTCATTCTAATAAATCAAAAGTTCTAGCATATAATTATCGACTTACCTGATCTATTTGTGATGATTTTAGAACTTTTTAACGTAGTTTTACGTATTTTAATTAACAAAAAAACTTCCACAATACTTTTATACGTTTTAAATAGTTTCCAAACTTATTTTGGACTGTACTTCAGGTTTTTCCTAATCTTTGAATGTCACTTAACACGTTCACATATATTAATTGATTTAATAATACAGTTAAGTTAATAAATTTTTACATTTTTCACGACTTAATGAAATCACTCAAATATCTTTGACATTTTTTTTGTGTTCGATTTTCGGGTGAAAAATTTGAATTCTTAAAATCCGTTGATAAAATTGTACAGCAAAAAGTTGAAATGCTGATCAACATTAAGGCATAACTTTAAAAATCATTAATAATACATTTTATTATTCAAATTCACTTTATTAAAATTTTTAAGACTTATCCGTAAAAATAATGAGCCAAAGGATACCTAATCATGAATGCAACTAAGGAACAAGCAACTTGAAAGCATAAAATAAGATTATTTAACTTATTTTCATGAATAGGTCCAGTAAAAAGGATGAAAAAGTTTATCAATGTCAAGTTATTACAGTAAATTACATTATCTTTGGTAACTTCATATTTAATCAGTCGTAGAGTTTTAAGGATGTTGAAGCATATCCTTCCTAAAATGCTTAGGTCCTCAAGCTTGAAGCTTGTTTTACTGTAATTAAGTAATCCTGTTTTAGGATCAAATTTAGGCAATCTGTGTCTTGGACATGGAATAAAGTGGAATAGCTGAGGTGTCGAGTACAAAAAGTTCAATATTTGAGGGATAAAGAACAGCAGCAAGGTCTTGCTAAAATGTCCCAAAATTCCAACAACTGCAAATGTCATGCCTGACAAGTAGTTGAATGTATCCCCAACAAATACAGTCGATGGATATCTAAAATTAAATGATTAGAATTTGTTTCTTTTTGATTAATATCAAGCCTTACTTATTGAACTCCCATAGAGCTAGAGTTGTTGCTAAATATGGACACATAATATATAACGATAATTGATGCTTCTCAGAAACAGAATCTCCAAAAATCTGCAATAGGTTGAATACAATGACAGAAATCGCTATGATCAAAGACTGTCCAACTTCTAATCCATTGATTCCAGCCAGAATATTGATTGCATTTGTACAGAACACAGCCAAACTGCCCATGTACACGTAATATAAGAATCCTATGTTAATAGAAGTTGTGAAACATTCATGAAGTATTTTAGGCAGCATGATTGTTGTAGAATTGAAGTTGACATAGTAAACCATTAGAAGTGGCAATGAAGCTATTGTCGGAAGTAGTAATTTATGTCTCCATTTTAAATTAAGCACGTCGTCTGCAAAACCAAGCAATATCATACAGCATATAGACAGCAGTGCAGAAATAAGCTCAACAAACTGAAATTAAAGAAAAAGGAATGTTAAAAATTTAACGGCTTTAAATTTCAAATTTGAATTCAGCATAAAATTCAAATTATTTTTTTCCGTTGGACAAACAAATCCTTAATTTGTAGTCTCAATCCTGGTACAAAATAGCACTTATGGATTAAGTACACGTAAGCCTTTACCTCATTATTTGAAAAATCATCTGATCTCCTTTCAAAGAAGATGTGTCCAAAAGGAATTGGGATGAAAAGGAACAATGAAATGAGGAATATACAGCCTGTCACAACGCCAAACGCTTCTGGACTGTAACAAATATGAAATAAGCATCAGGTAATGTCAATTAAAGGTGCTTGAACTGTGTACTTACACTTTAATACCATTATCTTTATTTAAGTCTATTCCATAAATGTTTGATTTTATGAACATTTCTTTTAAATTCGGAATAAGCTTCCTTGTAATGGAATATGCAATTGAGGATATTAAAACATTGCAAATGAAGGAAATCAGCATTTTGAATGCCTTTAATTTTTTTTATTTTTTAAACTTAAAATGACAACATTACTCTTCACAATATAGAACTATAGAGCACATACAGTAGGTGTTATTGCCCACACTTTGGCTGTTTGTCTTCTACTGCATAGCTGGATCTTGTTGAAAAACTTCCGGAAGTTGCTTACGTAAACTTAAAATACGTACGTAATATTACGTAGTTGCTGAAATTTTCAAATAATTTTTGACCGTTAAAAATTCAAATCCTTTTTAATCGTTATTTTTTAACTTTCAATTACAGATTTGATATTCAAAACAAAGCGCCTTAACGGATTACAAGAGAAGCTGACTTTCCCTTGCTTACTATTTTCAGTTGACATTCCCCTGTTGTTGCCGCACAGTTTAACCGATTATTGCAACACGTTTAAAACTTTTCAAGAAAAACAATTAATTTAAGTAGTTTTTAAAGCTTTTAAGTAAATAAATACAGTTAAGTAGGTGATATAAGGACCCAACAAACATGTATGACAACGACGATGGTAAGAAAAAGCCTTAATTCAATGAAATTTCACAAAAAATTGAAATTTGTTTTGCGCTTCCATTTTTGCAGCATATAACGATGAAGATGATCAAGAGATTTCTGACGAATTATGGCAAGAAGCTTGCTGGATCGTCATTAACGCTTATTTTGATGACAAAGGTCTTGTCAGACAGCAATTGGACAGTTTTGATGAATTTATTCAGATGTCTGTGCAGAGTATAGTCGCAGAATCTCCAGCTATTGAATTACAGGCAGAAGCTCAGCATATATCCGGAGAAATTGAGAATCCAGTTAGGTGTATTACTTTTTATTTAAAGAACTTTGTGTATTAACAGAGTTATATCCATTTGCAGCCAAGATATGTCCTTAAATTCGAACAAATTTACCTGTCCAAACCGACACATTGGGAGAAAGATGGTGCACCAAGTCCTATGATGCCAAATCAAGCTCGTCTGAGAAATTTAACTTATTCAGCACCACTTTATGTTGATATCACTAAAACAAAGCATGTAGAAACAGGAAAACCAGTTGAAACACAACATCAAAAGACATTTATTGGAAAGATCCCAATTATGTTGCGTTCAGCTTATTGTCTCCTTAATAACTTGTCTGATCGTGATTTGACAGAATTAAACGAATGTCCTCTAGATCCTGGCGGTTATTTCATTATTAACGGATCAGAAAAAGTCTTAATTGCACAAGAGAAAATGGCAACAAATACAGTCTACGTATTCAGCATGAAAGATGGAAAGTATGCATATAAAGCAGAAATTAGATCATGCTTAGAGCACAGTTCACGTCCAACATCAACATTATGGGTAAATATGTTTGCTCGAGGTGGAAGTAATGCTAAAAGATCAGCTATTGGACAGAGAATTATTGCAATTTTGCCATACATTAAACAAGAAATTCCAATTATGATTGTTTTCCGTGCACTTGGTTTCGTCGCAGACAGAGATATTTTAGAACATATTATTTACGATTTTGATGATCCAGAAATGATGGAAATGGTTAAGCCTTCCTTAGATGAAGCTTTCGTAGTTCAGGAACAGAATGTTGCCCTTAATTTCATCGGTTCTCGTGGTGCTCGTCCTGGTGTAACAAAAGAAAAACGTATAAAGTATGCAAAAGAAATTCTACAGAGAGAAATGTTGCCTCATGTTGGTATATCCGATTTTTGTGAGACTAAGAAAGCTTATTTTCTCGGATATATGGTCCATCGATTGTTATTGGCATCTCTTGGACGTCGTGAACTTGACGATCGTGATCATTATGGAAATAAACGTTTGGATTTAGCTGGCCCGCTTTTGGCATTCTTATTTAGAGGATTATTCAAGAATTTAATGAAGGAAGTTCGAATGTATGCTCAAAAGTTCATTGATCGTGGAAAGGACTTTAATCTTGAATTAGCTATAAAGACAAAAATCATTACAGATGGTTTAAGATACAGTTTAGCTACAGGAAATTGGGGAGATCAAAAGAAAGCTCATCAGGCTCGTGCTGGTGTATCTCAGGTCTTAAATCGGTTGACTTTTGCCTCAACTTTATCTCATTTACGTCGTGTAAATTCTCCAATTGGACGTGATGGAAAATTAGCTAAGCCACGTCAATTACACAATACTTTATGGGGAATGCTGTGTCCTGCTGAGACACCGGAAGGTGCTGCTGTTGGTTTGGTCAAGAATCTAGCTTTGATGGCTTATATTTCTGTTGGATCACAACCTGTGCCTATTTTAGAGTTCTTGGAAGAATGGTCGATGGAAAATTTAGAGGAAATTGCCCCATCAGCCATTGCTGACGCCACAAAAATCTTTGTCAATGGATGTTGGGTTGGTATTCATCGTGATCCAGAACAATTGATGTCAACTTTAAGAAAATTACGTCGTCAGATGGATATCATTGTATCAGAAGTATCTATGATTCGTGACATTCGAGATCGTGAGATTCGTATCTATACAGATGCTGGACGTATTTGTCGTCCACTACTTATTGTTGAAAACGGAAGTCTTTTATTGAAACGTAGTCACATTGACAATTTGAAGGAACGTTATGAGACAAATTATGGATGGCAAGTTTTAGTCGCTAGTGGTGTTGTTGAATATATCGATACATTAGAAGAAGAAACAGTTATGATTGCAATGACTGTAAGTGATTTAAAGCAAGAAAAGGAACTTGCATATTGTACAACATACACACATTGTGAAATTCATCCAGCTATGATTCTTGGTGTTTGTGCATCAATTATTCCATTTCCTGATCATAATCAATCTCCTCGTAATACCTATCAAAGTGCTATGGGTAAGCAAGCTATGGGAGTTTACATTACAAATTTCCATGTTAGAATGGACACACTTGCTCACGTCCTTTATTATCCAATGAAACCATTAGTCACAACACGTTCTATGGAATATCTTCGTTTCCGTGAGTTACCTGCTGGAATTAACTCAATTGTTGCTATCTTGTGCTATACTGGTTACAATCAAGAAGATTCTGTCATTTTGAATGCATCAGCTGTTGAACGAGGATTTTTCCGGTCAGTTTTCTATCGTTCCTATAAAGATTCTGAATGTAAGCGTATTGGTGACCAGGAAGAGCAATTTGAAAAGCCAAATCGACAGACATGTCAAGGGATGAGAAATGCATTGTATGATAAATTAGATGATGATGGAATTATTGCACCTGGACTTCGTGTTTCTGGAGATGATGTTGTTATTGGAAAGACTATTACTTTACCAGAAAATGATGATGACTTGGAAGGAACGACTGCTCGATTCACAAAAAGAGATGCATCAACATTTTTACGTAATTCAGAAACTGGAATTGTCGATCAAGTTATGTTGACATTAAATAGTGAAGGATACAAGTTTTGTAAGATTCGTGTACGGTCAGTGAGAATTCCACAAATTGGTGACAAATTTGCATCTCGTCACGGACAGAAAGGTACTTGCGGTATTCAATACAGACAGGAGGATATGCCATTTACATGTGAAGGACTTACACCTGATATTATTATTAATCCTCACGCTATTCCATCTCGTATGACAATTGGGCATTTGATTGAGTGTATTCAAGGAAAATTGGGTTCCAATAAGGGAGAAATTGGTGATGCCACACCATTTAATGATGCTGTCAATGTCCAGAAAATTTCGACATTCTTACAAGAATACGGTTACCATTTGAGAGGAAATGAGGTCATGTATAATGGACATACTGGACGAAAAATCAATGCTCAAGTCTTCTTAGGTAAGCTACTACTAATACTCAATGCTTGAAAATCTGAATTAATTAATATTAATTGCTTTACAGGTCCAACATACTATCAACGTCTCAAGCATATGGTAGACGACAAGATTCACTCGAGAGCTCGCGGTCCAGTTCAGATTCTCGTCAGACAACCTATGGAAGGTCGTGCTCGTGATGGTGGTTTGCGTTTCGGTGAGATGGAACGTGATTGTCAAATTTCTCATGGTGCAGCACAATTCTTACGAGAACGTTTATTCGAAGTCTCAGATCCTTATCGTATACATGTTTGTAACTTTTGTGGTTTGATAGCTATTGCAAATCTCCGTAATAATACATTCGAGTGCAAAGGATGCAAGAATAAGACACAGGTAAGAAGATTTATAGACGATTGCATGTGAAGTCATGCATTAACACATTTTGAACTTTCTTACAGATTTCACAAGTTAAGCTCCCATATGCTGCAAAATTATTGTTCCAAGAACTGATGGCAATGAACATTGCACCAAGATTGATGGTAATTTAAGCAACTCGATAAACTCTTTTTATATGAAATTAATGATCGACTCTAAGTTTTGAGTTTAGAATCATTTTTCTTAATTAAAATAATTTTTGAAGATTAGAAATAAAAGTTTAAATACGAAACAGGAAAGAAAATTCCTTTTAATTAGATTTAGATATTCAGAGATAGAGCCAGGCGACATTTAAGGTAGGTCATGGATTTGCCTGTTTGGTAATCAATAGAAGAAAGTAGGTAAGTAAGTTAGTAAGAGATACTCACCACTATAATACCGAGGATAAAATTATTTAAAATTGAGAGCAAGAAAAGCTTATAGTTATCACATGTAGATGTCGCTGTATGCCTTGCCTCATATTTTCAAAAAGGTAATTCCTTTTGCTACTAAATTGTCTTTTTAAATGAGGACTAGGTATGTTAAATTTAATGATTAAAATACGTGACAAAAGTGCTTATTAAAAATTTTATACACAGAGATTTGTCATGTAAAAAGCAATCAACAAATCCTCAAATTCGTAAAAATGATCCTATTTAAGGTGTTGCTAGGCTACAAAACACAAATTTTGTTGATAAAAGAATTTTCAGTCGACTTTTTTTCAAGCAATTTGTGTATCAAAATTTTGTGCAAATTAAATTCCAGAGCCAATTTATCTCTGCTACACAAATTGCAATGTCAGCTACATCAAATTTCCTCAAAAAGGGAACTGGTGCAAAATACACGTTACATCGGAGACCGTACACAGCAAATTGCTCAAAAAGAGTAAAAATTGATGTGATTATTAAAAGTTTATTGACAAAAATTTGTGATTTTATCTCTTTTTCATTTAGATTGTTCCACCTTTCTCAATTCAATCACTTCAAAAGAATACCCTCGTTTTGGAACCTAAATTTGCTAAAAAGTGTATGTATTTAATTTTATTGTGGATTAAATGCTATGTTTTCTTTGTAAGGGGAATAATTGATTTTTTTTTGTCATGGAATTTAGTTCTTTTGTGCGTAGCTATTTAGTGTGAATTTACTTGCTATGCAACATCCAGTTCAATATTCGTTTCTGTTAATTCAGTAGTGCTAAAGTAGTATAGAAGTATGTGACACAGGATAAAGACCAAAAGTGAACAATTAGAATTTGGATCATTACCCACAATAATATGCAATACAACTTACTTCTTCTAATTTTAGTCATTATCGATCGACACAATTTCTCAAAACCAGCCACATCATTTCGAATGTATTACGATCGAGGGGACTTGCCCATAAAAATGGAATATCTGATTGGTGGTGAGAAAATATCATGGACTGTCGATATAGATAAGCTCGACTACACATTATACCTGCCATTGTTCTTTGATGGACTATCGGAAACACAACATCCCTATAAAACGTTCGCGCGTCAAGGTGTACAGGATCTTTTGTCTAATGGAGGCGATAAAATCTTCCCGATTATACCGCAATTAATAATTCCAATTAAAAATGCACTAAATACGAAGAACATTGAAGTCATGTGCACAATTATGAAAGTAATTCAACAGTTGGTCACTGCGTCAGATCTTGTCGGTCCAGCAATGGTTCCATTCTATCGACAGCTGTTGCCTGTATTTAATGCATATAAAACGAGAAACAGTAAGTCGTGTGTGTCTGTATTTATTCTAGCGCAAAAAAATACTGAATATTGGCACATGTGATGCGTCTGTGAAATTGCTGGAAAGAGAAATGAGAGAGATGCAAAAAAATTATAATTAAAGGATTAAATGGGAGGTCATATTGGTACCATATGCTCTCTATATCTCGCTTTCTCAACACACTTGTAATTCGAGACATTCCAAATAATCGTAAATAATTTAATTCAATGTGTCAACATTCCCAGTCAATAACAGTTAACATTATCATCACGTCAATTAAAACTAATTTTGTTTCTCTCTGTATTCTGTTCTAGTTAATCTTGGCGATTGTATCGACTACGCACAAAAGAATAATTTAAATTTGGGAGATTTAATCGACGAAACCCTTCAAGTACTCGAAAAATACGGTGGCGAAGATGCATTCATTAACATTAAATATCTTGTACCGACTTATGAATCAACATTCATTAATTAATTAGATTCAATTTATACTGTTTACGTTTCGGCTTATATCCTTACTTTATATCGTATTGTGTTCTACTTTATAATGGCACATTGTATGCTCTCTCCTTGTTAGCGTGTTTTTTGTCGAAGCTGAGCTGTGTTTCGTATAGGTATGGGATTGCTGGGTATTGATCTGACCAGATCTGACAATTCTAGGGTAAGTACTAAAGAAGACGGATCGATTCCTATGTTAAGGATACACCATATAAAGACTTTTTCAAGGATACCGATCTTGAGCATCTTATGCAAAGAGCTACACTTTAACTACTCCACCAATAATGAATGAAACTGCCAGCATAACCAAAAATACGCTTCTTCCAGTTATCAACCAGGAGACTCTTCATAGCATTTAACGATAATTGTAGTTTTTAATACCACGAATTTAAAATTATTTTGTGAACAATTCATTATGATATTTTTTCAGTCATCCAGATCGTGTATGTGCATGAATGTCAGATGTGAATGTTCTGTGCCAATTTTATGTTCAGTGCCTCTAAATCTTTAACATTACTATGAAAATTTATTAAGTTTTTAAGTAAATATTGTCACAAGAAGAGTGAATAAATGAATGCAAGAGGGAAACGAGCGAATGAATGACGAGTAAAGTCCATTAGTTGAATTTTTTGTTCGCCTTTTAGCTTATAAGCTACATTAAAATTTGTTAAACTAGTTATAAAAGTAGAGTTTTTAAAATGAGTAAGGATTGTCCCTTTTTTTTAAAAATAAGGAGTAATACATAACAATTTCCGATTATCATAAAAAAAATAAAATAAGAGATATTCTCTAAACCCCTTTTATGGCCTTGCGCTCGATTGCACAACACTATATTAAATGGCAAATCATGTATCATTAACTGATTTTATTATAGCGAAATAAAAGGATGGAAAGAAAAAGAATTAAAACTTTAAATAAACACACAAACACATGCCGCACTTACTCTTCATTTATTTTATGGCTCATACTGTGATTGTAGCTATTTTAAACTAGGATAGATTTAGAGGAATAATGACGACAAGGCGCTTTCATGATGTTAATGTGACTATAGACGATTTTTGTTATAAACTCATACAAGGAACAGGAGAGAGATGTCAACTTTTATCAGATATTATGATTTGGATGCATGGCTAGCAAGACAGTGGATCAGCAGAAGGACATTGAATTCAATCGAAGTTTTAAATGGTCGACGAACCTGGCTCAGTCATCAAACACTCAGTTGAATAATTCGCATCTACAATCAAGATGTTGATCAACCAAACTTGTATCTTGTCAGACAGGCAGCCTTCCTGAGTACAACAGCATCTCTTAATACGAAGCAGCAGCGCTAAAAAGTACATGCATACGCCACCCTTTTGTGTCAGTTTAAAAGAGAGAAAGAGTCTGAAAAGAAATGAATCGTTCCGATGCTGAGGCAAGAGAGAATATAATTTTTAATCCGCATTTCAGACATTAACATTCTTCCTGAGTGACTGGCTGCCTTGAATATGATTCTGATGGTGGGATATTCATAGACTCAGAAAAATAGAATAATGCTTTAAATTAGGCATAAAAGGATTAAGGAATAATATCTAAAAAATAAACTTTCATTTCGTTTAAATTCTTTATGCTCTAAAGAATTTCATTCTACGACTTACATGCAGCATAATTTTTAATTCCTTCTGTCTGGTTGTTACTCTTTTTGTTTTGTATATGCTGCTACATATTTATATTACCTTTTTCCTTCCTCTCTTCCTTACTGGTCGACATACAATATTTCTATAATAATCATACATAGATGTAACTTTTCATGTACCTTTCCGAAAAAAATAGACGACTTTTATTAGATATTTCTATTTGACAAAGCATGAGATTCTTCTCACAAAGCCATAGCATGCATAAGCGAACGATTTAATCTGCTTCTCTCGTTATTTTTTTTTTCAAAACATTTAATGCAAAGCGATTCTCGTCCTTTTAGTTATTTTTTTATCCCATAATATCCTTTTTACATTTTACTATTCGTACTTTTTTTGCTGCTCTCTATCTGTTGTGTTCATTTATGCTACAATTTTTTTAAATGTTCAAGGATAATCTTATTAAAGTCAAAAGCGAGTAAATTTTTAATGATTTTTCATTCGGTCTTTTGCAGAATAATTTTTACATTTTTTATGACACAATTATCGTTTGATTCTGATGACATTTTGTCTTTTCATAGATATTTGAGAGTTTGAGAAATTGAGGTTAAATTGAAAATTGTTTATGAAGTTTCTGAAACAATTTTTGAAGGTTTCAAAAACCATTTTTGAAGGTTACAAAAACCATTTTTGTAGGTTCCAAAAACCACTTTTGAAGGTTTCAAAAACCATTTTTGTAGGTTTTAAAAACCATTTTTGAAGGTTTCAAAACCCATTTTTGAAGGTTCCAAAAACCATTTTTGTAGGTTTTAAAAACCATTTTTTAAGCTTTCAAAAACCATTTTTGAAGGTTTCAATAACCATTTTTGAAGGTTTCAAAAACCATTTTTGAAGGTTTCAAAAACCATTTTTGTAGGTTTTAAAAACCATTTTTGAAGGTTTCAAAACCCATTTTTGAAGGTTCCAAAAACCATTTTTGTAGGTTTTAAAAACCATTTTTTAAGCTTTCAAAAACCATTTTTGAAGGTTTCAAAAACCATTTTTGAAGGTTTCAAAAACCATTTTTGAAGGTTCCTAAAATCATTTTTGAAGCTTTCAAAAACCATTTTTGAAGGTTTCAAAAACCATTTTTGAAGGTTTCAAAAACCATTTTTGAAGGTTCCAAAAATCATTTTTGAAGCTTTCAAAAACCATTTTTGTAGGTTCCAAAAACTATTTTTAAAGGTTTCAAAAAGCTATTTTTGAAGGTTCCAAAAATCATTTTTGAAGGTTTCAAAAAGCATTTTGGAAGGTTTCAAAAACCATTTTTGTAGGCTTCAAAAACCATTATTTAAGGTTAGAAAAACTTAATAAATTTTACACAAACCTTATTCAAACTCCAGAAGACGCGTCAAAATCCTTAGACTTATAAACTTAAAACATTTGAACTCACATATCACATTATGAACTTCGTTAATACTCAAGCATATAAACATGCGAAACAACAAAAAAGAATTATCATTAACATTTCCTCATGTCAAAGTTGGCTCGTACACATAAATTGTAATTAAAAATAAATTTTTAAATATTCTCCATGCAGGAAAGTCAAAAAATTTCTAATTATCATCTTTCCATTCACCTCTATGCACTTTCCATTAAAATTAATTTCCTCCTTTTTTGAGGAATTTTACTTCCTTTGTACTTTGAAGAATCTAATAATTTTCATTTTAATTGCCGTAAAATCAAAGCCTTAAACTTTCATGCCTTTTAATATCACACACACCTTACCCTCATTTCCTTTAACTATAGCTACATGTGCAGCATAGTAAGAGCTTTATAGTATCAACGGTATAAAAGAAAGATTGTCATTGCTGCTTCATGATCTTATAGTCTTGAGCTCAAAGGAAAATTTTCTTCTTACATTTAATTGCTTTTACTCTAATTATTATTATCGTTATTATTATTATTTCTTACTCCTTTCCATATTCGTTCTCGCTTCATTTCCTCTTTTTTTCCCTCTTGTAGTATCACTTTTAACCACACTAGTCATACAGAATGGAACGGCTTTAGGATGGAAAGAGTTTAGCGATTTACATGACTTACTGTTGGACTTTTTATGGTCTACACCTGGTGTAGTACATTATCTAATAGCTACCCTAGTTATCTAGTTATTATTCTTAGATCAGTAATATCCTAGAAGATCTTTACTAGCCTGGGAGATCAATATTACGTTGACTAAAACTACAAAAGTTAATCACTACTAACCTAATGCAAACAAATCCTTTAATATCTTCTTTTTTTTGTTTAAGCTTGGTCGGACCGATCCCTCAATCCTAGTCCTTTATTCCCTTTCCTAACAAAATTCTTTCTTTGATAAAACCCTGCTTGTACTTATCTTTAAAACTCTCTTATAAGATGACGATGATAGCAATCAAGAAGAGCAACTATATGTTTGTATGCAGAACGTATAGAGTCAAGAGAGATGGATAAAGGAATATAAGATAATATCTGTGTAGAGAAAATGCGGAAACTTGTCTTATGAATATCATCATACAATTTAATCCTTTTATATAGCTTGTGACAAATAAATAAAATGGCAAGTACTATAGTGGGTGGATAAGCAAAATTGCAATTACAAAAAACTAAGTTCGAGTCTTTGAATTTTTCGATGATGAAATAGGAGTTTAGGACGCAGTTTTTGTGTACTTTACTTCCAACAAAGTTATGAATTACATCAAAGAATTATAGTTGCACGATGGAATTTGAATTGTTCTGAACTACTTGACTAGATGAGACCATAGTAATGACGCCTAGCTTTAAAATTAAACAGAATCAACTAATCATAGTCAAAAAGGATAAAGGCGCCAAAATTCAGAAGAACCAATCAATCTTTTGCATATTATTTCATACATTATAAGGAATCTTAACGAGTTAGATCTACAAAAATCTTCCTACATATGCATGATGGGACAAAAACGAATGAGTTCCTTAGGAACCGCACATACATTCATATCCATATAAAATGTATGAATAACATGCATTAGACAATTAAATATATATTAAAGAACATGCTTCAACTCGTTTGAATAATATTTAATGAATATGGCATAGAAAATTGTCTTCATCTGATGTTCTTCCTTGTGTCTTTCAAGGAAGTTGTTAAGAACAAAAAAAAAAAATTGCATACGGTTCCATGTTTTCTCTCTCTCTCTGCATGTGTGTGCTTATTGTCTTTCTCAATAAATTAAGTACAAGGCATAAGGAAGTTTTATGTGAATGTACATACAACGAATGTGAGTAGCTAGTGCTGAAAAATATTCAAGAAATTCGTATATATGAATATGCACAAATAGATTTTAAGTATCAACAACACAATAAGTGTGGAAATTTAAGACGTGGAACGAGGATGAACATTTCTGGAATGAATGGTTTGATGCTATGGCATTAGCAGGGTTGTTGATTCTAGATGATTAGATTTTAGATGAAACTAGCCACAGGTTCTGGACAGTTTCTAATCTTACTGATGCCTATCTCATGTCTCAGACTAGACCTGCATCTTATATTGTCTGTACCGTCATCCACTCCTCAACAACTCTGTTCATTGCAAAATAATAATTGTACTAAGCACAACAACGGTGTTGTATTCATCACCATAGCACTGGCTC